ATGGGATATAATCAATCTAGCACTTGTTCCCCTGTTTTCTTGTTCCGGTTCAACTCATATGCGACTTCTACTTCAACGTCTGTCTTTGATCTTATCTTCAGTCCTATTTGATGTCTTGTCCTTCCCTGTGTATTTTTCTCGGGTTTGTCGTATGTATATCTAATTGCGGCACAGCGAGTATTTTGCATCGTGTCCATGTTAAACGTATGTCATGTCATCTTTCCCTTCTTCCTACTTTTCTCCCACCGTTCTGCGCGGCCCCTGTTGCTCAACAGAATATGGCTGGCCTCAACAGAGCTTGCTTCGTCTTTGCTATGACTCCGCATTTTTTCTAACTTGCAGTTGTCTTGCAAGACATCGTCTTTAACTCTGTGGGAGCACACTCGACCACGTCGTGTGCTGGATTTCATTTATTGCACATGCATATATGTACGCCATACTCTGTCTGTCCCTCATCCGATCCCGCCGTGTGGCTTTTATCTTGTTTCCATAGATTGTTAAAAATTCAGCATACGATGTTGAAACTATTGAAGTGTGAAAAAAATTTCGTCAAGGTCATGGGTGTTTGAGAGTCCCGAATAGTGTACGGTGGTACGGATACGTCCAACATTGAGTCTTTGTGGTAGATACAAAATCGACTCGAGATGTCTTAAGGCCCAGTCGAAATGACTTCATTTTTTTCCCTTGCAATTCTACGACATCCAAAACTGGTAACGCACAGGCATTTATCATTACATTTATCTTATTTCCTTCTGATATTTGTCCCTTTCCGCGCGGGCCTTGTTTATCGGTCAGGTGAGATATAAACAAGATGAATATGACTTTCGACGCAGCTCTATTTTGGATGTGTCACGGGAAGCATTTGTAAGTCGGGGCCGGCAAGGTTTGCTCTCGCATCCCGTTATGTCGCTCATAATCTTCTCCTCTCTCCGCAAAACATGCAGACAGTGTAATTATCCGAGATGGGATACCCACATCTGCTAAACAAAGGGCTAGATTCGGTCGTCGAGACTAAGGACAGTGGGAAAAAGAACAGGGAGCACAATAAACATACGCGTAAAAGTACATATGTAACAGTGACCTGTTGTACCGTCAAGCGATGGCAATGCTCTTGTCTCTAGTTACCTCACCGAACTGTCTATTTTAGTATTCGACTCTTCTTGCCATCTACTCTTTGTTCCCCTCGCTGTTGCTGATGTCAACTTGCAATGCTAATTCTATTACCCCGTCTTTGCGTCACATTGACAAGTCCGTTATGTGCATCAAACAGTATCTGCAATTTACCGGCAGGCTGCGGCAGGCTCGGTAGCCTTGCATTTCCACACACCTTGTCAGCAACTACGAGCCTTTCGTACGCATTGCGGCACCTCTCGGCAGCCAAAACAGCCTTGCAGAGGAGCCTTTCTTAATTTCCTCTCCTGAGCTACATTGAAATGTACCGCGCCCTCTGCGACTAAGACTTAACCGCTTTCACCTGTCCCAGCTTTCTTTTTTTCACGGTCTCGCGCTTTTTGTCGCGCAATCTCAAATGTGAGCTGTAGCAAATAAAAGTATGTCGTAATCTGTATACGAGAGCAATAATCAAGGCAAGGCTGCCACGCTGCGTTTTATTACACAACCTTTTGCATATTCCCTGCCCCGGAGCTTTCAACAACACTATAACATTGCCGTGGTTTAACAAAAGAAACTTTTCACAGACATACGGCGGAGTAATGCAAATGATCTTGGACACGACGTCCTCCCTGCCTTTTTTTACGCTGCGCCATCTTCTTGTTTCCTACATTTTCATCCGGGAGCCGTGAAATTACCACTCGCTGGCTGGGCACAAGAGCAAAAAGAGCAAAAGGAGCTAAACTTGATCCACACGGCCCGCGCATCAAGAGATCCTTGCACGGAAAACCTGGTCAGTGCGGTGTGCCGTCCCCCCTCTCAACCCGCGGCCCTTGTCAACTACGTATCCATGGCAGAAGGAGCGGCCAATATTGTCAATCCCTAGAGTAAAAAGAAAAAGAAAACAAAACGACAACTGCAAGCTTCAGCTATCTTTACCTATGGCAGATGGATAGAGCTGCACCCCGCAGAGAACATCCGTCCCCCCCTTCTTCTTCCTTTTTTATTTATTTTTATTTTATTTTTATTTTATTTTAATTTTATGCCTACTCTTCCCTCTTGCAAATGTAACCGTAAATATTAACCCACCCTCCTTCCTCATAGCTCGACAAAGAAAAGGTTTAGGCATGAACCCGATTTGCACGGATACGATGAACCTATCTTGACCATATTTGACTATAGACAGGGACGGATAGCTGCCAATTGGATGAAACAGGCCAAAAGGGCAGGGACAGATTGAAGTAAATGTATTTCGTAGATGGCGACACCACCACCTTTTCTTTTACTGTGTGCTTGTGATACCGACATTTGAAAGTCTCCGCGTACTTGACATATTGCAAACCCCGTGTCGTTTCTTGTCACCTGTCAACTTTGACGTTCGCCCCGCTTGATGTGATTTGCAACCGTCAAATCCAAATTTCCCCCTCTCCTTGACTGCATTGCCATTCCTGCGGTCAGTCTTTATCTCCTCTTTCTTTCTCAACCTACTTTTTTTCGTCACAATCCTGCGAGACAAAGTGGGCTTGATGGCCCAAAACCTTCACTCTTCGCATCCCAGACAAATGAAGGGAAGCAGATTGAGAGTGGGCCATCAATAGTGCGGCCAGCTTTTTTAATTCTGGCCGGTGCGGTTTAAGTGATTGAAAACGACAGGCTGGGGGCTGTCCTTGGCCCCGCTTAACATCAACCATGCCATCACATTGCACAAATCCCACCCTGGAATCACAATCACTTTGGCCTGTGCTCAATGCATGAAAAGCGAACAAAAATCGACGAGAGGAGGTGGAGAGACGGACAGGGCTAACCAAATAAAGGTGAGAAAGGTAGAAAAAAAAAAAAAAAAAAAAAAAAAAAAAAAAGAAATCGAGTTTCAGAAAGTAATGAAAGTAAAGAGGTACAGAGTACTCCGTAGACAAGAAAAGAAAGGGAGAAAAGCATCGGTTTGCACAGTGGAGCTACGACCAGCTCTGTTGGCCCCATGTCCTCCTGGCTTGGGAAGTCTCCAGGATGTCCAAGGAAAGCGTCTCAAAACTCCCCGTTCTCTTGCAAGGAAAAGCTGAATAGCAAAGACTCCTCTTTCATCACAAATATGTGTGGCGATCAGGGCCGTCGGGGTGCTCACCTTATGTAGCATCGTGAACCAATCCTCGCAACCCTGACCTTCTGACCCTTGAAGGGAAAGAGACTGAATCCTACCTGGCTACCACGTCAAAAATACAGTTCATGCATTCCCGTACATGCCCCGGTCTGGCGAACTGGCCTCGTTTTCGACCGAAGCGATCGGCTAGCTTCTGCTCTCTTTTTATGACACTTGCCCAGAAGAGGCAATACCCCGTTGCTGACGTGAAAACGAGGCTGCTTCGGAGCGAGGACGAGGCATCATCACTCATCGGGCGTGGGTGTCTGGGCCAAAACGAGGACGAGGTCGACAAGCCTTGTCACACTATGGAGACACACAGAAGCTAGAAAGCAGAGGTGAATGCCAAAAGAAGAAAGGGTCGATTTGATTCCCAGCCAACTTGTTTGGAAGTACACGACTTTTTAGGAAAAAAATCGTCTTTCATCTCCCATTCAGCTCCATTCTCAGCTCCGACGTGAAAACATCCGTTCACAGTGGCCACACCTTGGACGTTCTTCGTACTCTGTATTTCTGCCAGGATTGGTGATGAGGACGAGTAACAAAATCAAAAGGACAATACGTCGCACTAAAAGTGGGAAAGACTCATCACATCGCTCGGCCACGAGATATGCACATGAGGGGGTTCGCTCCCAAAGCAAACAGTATCGTGAGCAACAGGATTTTCGGCATGAGGCGGGATGCAGAGTGGTGTGCTAGTGACAGCTTGTGCCTCTACATGTCGTATTAATAGAAACAAGAAGCGTCTGACTAACCTGTTCCGACGTCGTTTAAGGATCGTGGTCGTCCTCATGCAGTGTGATATCGTGCTGAGCAGCGCTACTTCGATCCAGAAAATGAACCGAAGGGAAGCATGTCAGCTGTCAAACAAAAACTACACATCACACGTGCTCTGGATTGTAAATTCGCCGTAATTCTGATTCTTCTCCCACGAGGCACGTAAGGGAAAAAAGGAAAGAAAAAAAGAGGAGAGCACAGACATTGTGGAGAAGGCACAGACAGATGAATGCTTTATTGGCATCTGGAATAATACGGAATACGGAGCACAAACGGCACTTTAACGCCCTCAGATGTCCTTGATTGCTTCTCCTTAATGGCCTGCGTTCATATTTTTTGTACTCATATTTTTGAACAAAAAATATACGGAGTACAGGGCTGCAAAATGCCACCCGTCTTGCACTGCATACTGGCCTGTCTCGGCCATCTTTTATGTCTCTCCAGCGTGTCCAGCATTTATCGCATTGGCTCGATAAGCGGTGAAGGTGTTTTGTAAGACTTTTTATTGACACAGAATCTGCTCCGAACACTTGTGCCGGGCTCGGCATGATGACAGCTCTAGCGCAAGGACCACAAACGACCGTGCTGCTGTTGTTTTCGTCCAACCTCACCACGTTGGCTTTGGGAGATGAAGGAGAGCTTTGTCGTTGACCAGAGACAGTTTTGTCGGTACCCATGTGCTACCGACGTCTCGTTTTCGTTTATCTTCCGTAATACGGGGCATCTTTGACCATCGCCGTGCTCTCTGTTCTTCTGTACCAGGTTTCATAGCACCTTCAAAGCCCAGAAAAGAGAGAGAGAAAGCCTAGAGGGCTGAGAGTCTGCTTTGCAGACGGATGTGTGCGTGCCTCACAGAGAATACAATGCTGCACCCGAGGAAGACCTTAAAAATCTGCTCCTGTTGCTCCACCTATCCCGTCTAGATGTACACTGTCATCGTCGGAAGACCCAAACAGCTCAATCCATCATACTCACATCAAAACGTCATTCGTTTCTGCATATCCTCTGGCACCTTCCAACCATGCGTTACGGCAGCTCGTTTGTACGCGTCAAACGCCTCGGCCACGCCGTAATCTTTGTGAACGTTCCGGGCATCCAACCGCGCTGGTCGGTCCGTTGCACTTATGGCCAGCCGCACCTGCAAGAGCACAGCGTCAATCTGGTAAGCCGGCAACCATCCGGTGCTCGTGAGCAGTTCCAGGCACATGGCACCGCCGCTCGTCACATTGCCACCGCCGCCTTGTAGGAACGGGACGAATCGCGGCCGGATGACCCGCACCAAAGGCGGCGACATGGGGTAGTCTGCGCCAAACCGCAGCTCGCACACAATCGATTGCACGCCCAGGCGTTCCATGTCGGCAGCTAGAGGCAGCGTCCGATCGAAGCTGTGCAGTTCCACAATCCACTGGCACATGTTGTCCATTCGAGTGAAATCAATGTACCAGCCCAGCTCGCTCAACGGTGTGTCTCCCTGTACCTTTTGCATCCTGTCCATTTCACGTCCTAGTGCCCGTTGCGCTTGCGGAGTGCACCACGGCGGAAGTGGCAGTTGCGGAAGCGATGTGTAGTCCAGCGAGCCGGGTTTGAACGACGTCACATGGAGGGGCATTGGCGGCATAGTGTTCGCGGTAGAAACAGTTGTAGTTACAACAGGTGCTGATTTTAAGCTGGGCCTCAGCACAGATTCGCCCGCTTCCGAGTCTGAAAGTAAATCGATGACAACAGCCCCATTTGGTATCTTGCTGGTCGGAGAAGATTCAGTCCTCACTGTGACAGCGGCCACTTGCTTCTTATTCTGCGACCTTCTCACTCCCCTGTCGTTAGCGAGAAATGCTAAATCGCCGGCGTCCATGGTTTTTTCCTCAGGCGATTTAGTCCTCGGTCGCTTCGTATAGCGATTGGTAACGTCCCAAGTATTCGATGGAGCTGGCATCGACGCGTTGGGTACAATGATAACACCACGCAGGGGACCGTACAGCAATCTCTCGGGGTCGTCCTGAAAAAACTCATTTTGAACATTCAGTGAGGTCTGTGATGATTGCCAACGATGTATAGAACTTTGGGGCTGCGTAGCTAATATTTGTCCTGCTGGTAGTCTGGCTGTGTTGGCCGGCAACGGTGTTTGAGCAGCCGAGGGTGCGGCCGTCGTTTTGTACCGAGGACGGCGGTATGGCGCGGCGCTGAACGTGCTGGACAGCAACGAGACTGCCTGTGGTGCTGGGCCCGCAACTGGGGCTGGCTGCGAGAGCGGAGCCGCTGTCGATTCGGGTTTCGCAAAGAGAAAGCGACATCGACTCCAGTTGGCGTATTGAACTACATAATGCGGTGTGTTGCTTATGAATTTTGAGGGTGCATTGATGATCTCATTGAGGCTGACAACAGAGCACAGGTCGAGAAATGCATTGGGCCACTGAGGCTCTTTTTTCAATTTTCCCGCGTATTGGAGACTGACTGTGAAATCAGGACTGAAGTAAACGCCATTACCATATGCACGACCATTCATGGTGATAGAGAAGTCCAGTCCAGTTCGAAGGATACTGTGCCAGTTGCTAATACGACTTCCGTGCCATGCTAGCAACGTAGGATGGTTCGGGTTGTCGGCTTGGGCCAACTGTTGCTGAAACTCGTGGTCGGCTTCGGGCAGCCCCTGCAAGAAACAAAACTGCAAGAGATTTTCTGGTGGAGCGAGCGTGCCGTCGTCTCTCTTTTCCTTGACCATAAGCTTCGGCTCGTGGATTTGCAGGACGCACGATCGATTCGTTGCAATGATCCACCGGAGCAATACGGCTGCAGCGGGCGATACGCCAACGACGGACTTCAAGTCGTTCACCGACGGCTTTTCCAACTCCGACTTCAGGTACATAACCGGCGGTAGAGTGTCAAGCAAAATCAGTAGCTGGGCAGCTTTGTCTTTCGCGGGAATATCGTCAAAGTCTTTTGTGTATCGATATATCTCGGCTCCTCGGTTGCGTATGGTAGTGGATTCGTCGTCGAAGTGGTGAACGTAGACCGTCGAGTTTTCCTCATCCACGCCTGTGACAATCGCGTGTCGTAAATCACTATGTGGAAGGGAGGGTTGAAGCTCTCCCTTCGAGCCTGACCCATTCGCTTCATGAGTCGAGCCGAGAAGTATGTTGTAGCTTAAATTGGCCGCCAGCCTACCCAAGACAATGGCCACCCACTGACCGGGTTTGAATTTTCGGATCGACGATTTGCTATCTGCAGATTTCGACAGAATGAAGGATGTCCTGTCACCGATGTGTCTGCTGTATACACCACTGTGCGGGTCGTGCCAGTCGACGATTTTTAGAGGCAAGCATGTAGGATACGCGCGGACAGGATCGATCGCAGCAGTCAGAGACGACCGTAGCGCTGCATAGCAAAAGTTGATGAGCAAGTCGACAACGTTTGGCTGGCATAATATCTCGTACTCTGCCGAGCGTCCCATGCCAAGACTCATATACTGAAAGAGACAAAGGTCTCGCGAACAGACCGTCGGCTTCAGCGAACGCAGCTTGTCTTCAACGAGGTTGTGGCATACCTGGCAGTATGCTGTGCAATTTGTGAGTTGGTCCATCGCAAACTGCATAGCAAGCAACGGGAAGCTTTTCTGTCGATTGTCCGAGGCATTGTCGTTTCCGGAGGCAGGGAAGCAGGTGTCTCCCTTATTTCGATTTGGGCTCCTGCTGTTCACCACAGCATCCACAGCATCGGCCCACGAGCAAGCGATATCCTCGTGGTACCGTGCTAGGTTTAAAAAGTGGCCATTCATGAAAGAGGCCAAGCTCTTGGATATCAAAATCTTGGAGAAGGTGGCGCCTGTCTTGTCTGGCAGAAGATTATCCTGGTGGTTGTTGCTAATCCCAAAGGCTTCATTGGCATCACTCAGAAACGGTTTGTAGGCCGCACACTTTCCAATGCGAAAAGACAGACCGACGTCCGACTGAGACGAATTAATGAGGGACTCGTACCCCATATAGCGAGAGGTGAGCCGGATGAGCATCACAATGAACATGTCAGGGTCAAGATCCCAAGCCAGCAGCATCTGTGGCGAGAGCCCTAGATCCGAAGTCCGGACGGAGATAGCAAGGAGGTTCTCTGTCGATACTTCGTCCATGCCGGACAGGACGCCAAAATAATACCCATTTTGACGGACGGCTGTAAGATCGACACTGATGCGCTCTGTTCTGGGATGCGGTTGGCCCACAGAGCTGTAGTATATGAAGCTGTTATCTTCGGCGTCGTCCGCGTCTCCGACGTCGCAAGTGTCGTACAAACCAGAATCGTCAGAAGCGTAGCCAGCTTCGTCCAAGACGTCATCTATACCGTTTTGTCCACTACTAGCAGATTTTTTGGCCGTCGTAATATTGACAGAGGATGTCTGGTGTGGGTGGACTGCGCTCGAATTGGCCCACCCGTGTCCCAGAGCCTTTGATGGCGATATTGTAAGTTGGCCTGACTGGATGGTTTCATCATCGCTGTCACAGTCCAAACTGACTTGCTCACCACCTAATCGCGGAGAATCTGTAGCTCGGGGTTTTCTTCTTCTTCGTTGGTTGAGGTATGCAGAGCTGCTGGTTGTTTTAGGCATTTGTACGCCAATGCTGCCACCGTCATTTTCGCTATCGCTATCATGTATAATAATAACGTCCTCTGCGGTAGGTAGCTTGCCAGACCTGGCTTTATCCTGCAAACGGACAAATGCATTGTGTACTTGTTGGATGACTTCGGAAAGAGTTCGGATTTCGTTTGCGCTCTGAACCTTGGTCAGAGCCTGCTTATACCCATCTGGTGCGTGATCCAAGGAGAGAAAGTAGGACTTTGAAGAAGGGTAGCTATCAATGTCTAGGAAGCAGCAAATGTGAGTAAATATGAGAGAAAAAGAAGACAGGCAAGACTTATCGTCTGGCGCAACATAAAACTCGCAGGTCTTACCTCCGCATATGATGGTCACCACAACTGGTAGAGTCAGTTGTTGGTAGCGCATATCAACAATAACAATATCATCAGTACTGTCGAATGTGATGTGTTTGATATAAGGCAGAGCTCCAGATGTGGCCTGGGCCGAGATCACCTCCACATCGGCCACAAGCGCCCTCCTTGGCATGGCTCGGAACCCAGATCGGGTATGTTGAGGCTCAGCAAATGTCGTGAAATGTCTGGTCCGGGGTGTGTTGGAAATGAATGATCTGAGAAAAGGTCCACGAAGGAGGAAGCTGAAAACGATAGTACACAAATGGCAACAAGCGTTCTTGTGTTTGAAGAATGAAGATGTAGTATTTAAAGGACGAACCGCGGGGCAGGATGTAAAGAAACACAGTAAGCAATGCGACTATTCAACGAAGCTCCAAATTCCAGCAACAGAACCCAACCGGCTGGGCAGGCCTAAGCGAGACCGAAGTGAAGTAATCGAGTGGCGATTAGCGAAGTAGGCTTCTGAACGTGACTTGCAGCACTTCTTCACTCAGGCCGGATCTTGTCTGCAGTGTGCCTGTGTTTGTTTGAGGGCGGTGACCGGAAGACTCTGCTGGCGGGGCCGGAGTGCGAACATATTGTCTTGCCCAGCCGTGGCTCAGCTGTTTATTGTTGAATCGTACTGTTTTCACTACGGCAGGAGATGGTGATAGTTGAATAGGGGCAAGGCCATAACGTTGATAAATAAAAACTCGACTTGATACGGAAAGAGGGGGAGGGTATGTAATTCGTAGGGTAACCTAGATCGTTCTTGCCTACTTCCGTCCTGCATCTGCTGCCTCAACCAGATGTGGTACTTTACCAACCCCTGTTCGAAGGGAAAGTGCAACTGTTGCGTCCAACGTAGGAAAGCGCGGCTCAAACCAGTAAAATTGATGGTGCATGCGCCACATTAAACAAGGCCGACGCGCGCGGAGCTTCCACTCTTTGCAAGACACCACATTCGCCGCTAATTTCGCGTAGCTCCCCACAGCCTCGCTAACTGCCTAACTCACCACATCCAAACGGCGTCTCGTCACAAACACCACCAAAATCATCAACCCCACCGAGTTTCCGAACAGTTGATGTGACTACCCAATTTGCGTCTGTACGCAATTGACTCAAACTGCGAGTCCTTCGCCGCCCTAGACCATCGACGCCGGCCTTCCATACCCCAGCCACGTTCTTTGCGACGCGACACCACGAACGATGGCGTGGGACTCCAAAGCAGCGCTTGCGTCCCGGCGCCGAACGAACAGCTCCGCCAACCGGACGTCGGCATTGGCAACGCTGACCTTGCAGCAAAAGGCCGGCACAGCAGTTCCTGTCCATCCAAAGTCCGCGCATGTGGCAGATCCTTTCCTACAAGACTTTCTCCAGCCCGGCTTCGACCCAGCTGCCTACTGGAACGCAACACTCGGAGGCAGTGGCGGCACCGGAGCCGGCGTCGCATCCGGTGTGTCTCGGACACGCTCGCCGGCACCCACCTCCGCATCCACCTCCGGCGCGGCAGGGCGCCTCGCCGCTGCGGCTAGTTCTGCCACCGCCACCGCCGACCGTGCCGCCCAGGCACAAGCAACACTCTCACAACTAGGCGCCCATACATCACGACTCACCACCGTGCTCACACAGTTAACTGACGACATTCTGCGGAGCGGGCGGCGGCTGGCATATGAAGTGCAGCTGCTGCGGGGCGAGACGCTGGGACTGGGTGAGGTTGTGGAGAAGCACCTAGCACTTCTCGAGGAGAGCGAGAGTGGTATTGCCGCGTCGGGTGACAAAGCAGACGCCGAGTCGGCAAAGACGGACGGTGGCGAAGGCACAGAAAGTGGAGCGGCCGCGGCCGCGGTAGCGGCGGCAGCAGCAGCAGCAGGTGATTCGTCCGAATCGTCTACTGAACCGCCGTCGCTTGCTCAGCTCCGTATACTGGCACAAGTGCGGTCCCGCCTCGACGCCGTTATCCGCACATTTGGCGAAGCCATGGAGTTTATCATGCCACCGTCGACGATTTCTGTCTCCTCCGGGTTCCTGTCTGTGTCTGGGCCTGACCAGGAGAGCGGTGGTGCCGGTTCTGCACGTGCAGGTGGATCTCAGGATGCTGCGACAATGACGAGCATGGAAGACAAGGGCCAGAGCATTCTGCGCGGTCTGCGCGACGAGGTCGCCCACCTGCTCGACGGTGCCAATGTAACCGACGGAACCGAGGCCGCTGCTGCACGAGTCGAGGCACTTCGTACGCTGTGTCGCGTCTGGGCCGGCACAGCTGAAGAAAAGGCTCGTTTCAAGTTTATCGAAAGTTTACAGCGGATGGTGGAGGACAAGCAAAGGGAACTGGACCGCGAGCGGGAGAGTAGCCAAGGCAACGGCACTGGTGCCAGTGGCGGCGTTGCTTCTTCTGCGGGCCAGGGTGCCCAGCTCGACGGGTCGACTACCGGCAGTGGGGTGAGCCGAGGCTACGCGGCGGCCGGCTATGGTTTCATTAGCCAGCTGCAAAAGATTCGGAGCGGTTTATAACAACATAGTCACGTACAGTAGTTCAGCTGGTATGCCGTTCAAAGCAATCAAGCGCCATTAAATTGTTCGAATGAGACCGTGTGAATAGTACTAACCTGAGGCCATGGTCGTCCCTACATAATTAATTATTAATGTCTAACATATGTTTTCAAAAGTCATGCCGGGTCCAAGACTCTATTATGGGAGGATGCGAAAGTTCGTCGTGCCAAGCCCGGCCACGGAATAGCCAGCCATCCAAATGTATCTATCAAAAATAAAACTCGAAACGAAACCGTCAGTTCTCCAAATACAAGTAGTAAGTACTCTATGTCGGTATTAAATTCGTGTAAGATGCCTTCTATGAATATGCCCGAAATTAAACTCTAGTCGTCGTCTTATAACCCTTTCGAGATACTTCTCCAACAGATAACCCGTGCATTTTCGCGGAAGACACACGGGAATGGTAGAATAATGATGGTCTAACCACTTGAAACTCCTTCGTTTACTTGCATGCAGAATGTTTTGTGACTCTTTACGAGTTGTTTCTCTGGAGCGAGATATTAACCGATGAAAAAAAATATGAGAAAAAGAACACGTCAGACAGCGACAATAAGGGTTCTACCGTATCAAAAATAGGAAGAAGGCAAAAAGGCAAAACAAAGCAAAAAACTCCTACATCGCCATAATGATCCATCCTTTTTTTACTTTCCTTTGCCATTACAGGCCCCCAAAACAACCCATTAGATTCCTCCGTGTAAATGGAAGTCTCATATATACGGCGTCCGTGAAGGAATGAAATGCAGAGGGAGGCTTAACGTAGAAGTAGAAAGGTAGAAGGCCAAACCGTGATGGACAGAACCAACCCGAATGAATCCTAAGTGTAAAAAAACAAATATGCAAGGATCTAAGACATGCTATACCCCAAAACGCAGACCCCGGCGGTTGCTTTCATGAACCCGTGTTTTCTCCCAAAACATGAAGTGGCGCAAAAGTGGAATAGAGACCATAGAGCAGTCTTCGCAGGAAATGATATAACAGGGGAGAAAATATGATGTAAGTAGGTTAAATGGACCCAGAGAAAGCAGTCAGAAGTAGACCGCAGTATAGACAAACAAATAGCATAAAGGGGGGAAAGAGGAGTGGAATGGATGGCGAATCAGTGCCTAAGGCCGTGAACGTTTAAAATTGTCGAGAATCTGCAGTGATTTTAACTCCAGTTAGTTCAAACGAGGCGTTTTATTGTTGATCGTTCAAGCGCCTCTAGAAGTTCTGGACGCTCTTTTAAGGCCTCAGCTGCATCGACGTAGGTCATCCAGCAGCGATCCCGTTTGCTCTTTTCGGGCCACTCGTTCTCCTCGCTGACGACGGTGCCTTCATAAAACCGATAGAGCGCCTTTTCGCGCTTTTTTGTTTTTGATGGCGCTTTTGGTGGGCGGCTTTCGACAATATCGCCCAGATCGTACTCGATCTGGACAATAATGCCGGCTTCTTCCCAAGCCTCCCTCTGGGCGGCCGACTGGCAATCTTCGTCGGTTTCCCAGCCGCCTTTTGGCAGAACCCAGCCTTTTCTCCGGTCTGATTGGATGAGTAGAACAAATCGTTTGTCTTCAGTCAAGGGCACAACACCAGCAACTAGCCGTTCGCCTTTTGAGTTATATCCTAATAGGAGAGGCCAACTGTTAGCATAACTACACGGCAACGCAGAAGATTATTATGATGAGGTTCTCTAAAACTGCGAAGCTTACTCTGCTTTGAACGCCCGGTTCTCGACTCCATTGACCGGCTACTTGTTGTTGTGCTTGAAGCCATTTCGCGGGGCTCCGATGTAGGAAAGGAATGCAAGGAGGTGGAGAGAGACGAAGTTTCGAGGCGTACTCAGAAACGAAAACGAGATATTGTTTGTAGATGTACAAGTAGCTGATACAGTTCTTAATCAACGGATTTCCGTTGCAAAAACAGCTGCAGGGATATTTGCTGAATGCGACGGTCTTCGATATAGAAAGGCCGACGGGGGTAGTTGCAGAAAGGCGGGCTTTCTTTATTGAACGAGCGGCATAGTCGTATCGATAGACATGTATGTGCGGTGTATAGTTAAAAGTACGCGGTTTCGTTCGTCGGCAACAGGCAAGGCTTTCGCAGAATCGTGTCTGTCGTGAGGAATGATTGGTCGCGTGCGCTCGGTACAAAAACGTCTGCCCTCTTCTTTTGTCCTTTGTTCTGGTTTTCACCACCAAACCCGTAACCAGCTGCAAAGCGGTTGTTTAGAATCAGTTTCCCGTGGAACACAAAAGGTAGCTGTTGTGTAACCGATAGATCTGGGGTGTCTGAATCGAGGCAATTGCTAAGTGCTACGGCACAAAAAGACTTGAGGCTGTGTGAAGTTGCGAGGTCGGCCCACACTATCGGGATGCAGCGCGATGAGGGGACCTGTAGATCTGTGTAGTAACCCTGACGGAGAGCCTGGCGTTCGCATCTAGAGGGAAACCCTCGACAACTCGGAATTAGGGCGTAATAAGCGACGGAGAACCGGACTGTTAGAGAGCGAAGGCAAGACAAGGGAGGAGTAAGTAATGGGCGTCAAAAGCGCTAGAGAGCTGCGTAATTGGGGTGATCTAGCTTCGGTTCTGCGTAATGGAGATCTCTCAGCTGAAACGTCAACCCTCCGTCCAGTTCACAGACGTGACGAGAGTGCCTTTTGTTTTTGAGGTCGGTCGTCGCGAGGAGAATTGTCGGCCGCAGTGAGACGCAAAGGACCACGCTGTAGAACCGCGATTCACTGTTCAGCAGATGTTCGCTTTGGGTGACGGTAAGAATCGTCAAACGAGGGTGATGCGAACAAGACCAAGCAGAGTTAAGTGTAGTGCGTCAGAGGGAAACGCCAAGAAGGTGATGCTGAGGGAGAGAAATGTACTCTGGCTTGTGCAAGAAGAGCTGGGGATGCGACGCAAATGGAACCGCAAGTCGGAGGTACGACGTAAGCGTGACCGTGCCCGAAGTCACAAGAGCAACAGCAGGTAGATTTTGCCACGGAACGGAGGGCGCGGAGACGAAGGTGTGGTGATGGCAAAGTCCGTGGCCGTGTTGGCAGCGGTTTGGAGGACGAGTTAATGTAAATAAGAAGAATATATCTCCTGGCTGGAGAGTCCAGTTGAAGACAGACGGAAGTCTCGTGCCATAACAGAGGGAGGTGCGAGGGGCAACACCTGATGGTGACAACTAGACTGATATATACAGAAAAAAGACGGTTTGAGGAACCGAAAGGGCCAGGCCAGAAAAAGTTGGAGCCAGGGTAAGAACGAGGGAGGAAGTAGGGCAACGAACTAAGAAAAAAAGGAAGCTACGAGTAGTTTGGGCAAAGCTTCGTTTTTGGTGGTGCGTGGGTTGCAATGACAGCTAACAATTTCTAAAGCTTTTTCGTTTTATTTTTTGTCAACGGAGTTCAATTTTCCCCCCTAAACCCTTTGCTGTTTGGAAAGTCGTTCGTTACATCATTTTTCTCGGTCGCTGAGACTCCTGTTGTTTGCCGCATCTGCGTTTTGTTAATTTTAATTATTCGCTACTTCGGTGAAGCAAATTTGTTGTCTTCTTTCCTTCTGGATTCTCTTTGCTAGTCACAATGTGGAATGCGCATACGACGCTGCAGCTACATGGACACCCACATTGAGACACCTGCCGCAGTTTGCGTGGGGTGTAATAAGTAATGCACAGGAATACCGAGCTTAGGGGGAGGAAGCAGCGATGCATGATGCGAAAGAGGCGAACTGCCAGGCATCTAGTAAAGTGACTTGCGACAAGTTACCCCAAGTAGAGATTTAGGTCCATGGTACTTTGCGGAGCACGTGCGAAGGTACCGGACAAAACGACCTTGCGCGGGGTGGCTCCTGCCTCCATAAAACACGAAAATGGACAAGAATATACGGTTTACTCGATGGCCTTTATGACACAGACGACAGACGTGCCTTGCAGGTCTGGAAGAGAACGACTCTTTGCACCTCAAGGCGACAAGCCTGTCCGGGATTGGCCATGTGAACATCCTGCGTTGAGGTGCACGTTGTGGTTGGCATTTGCTGTTGACTATATGTTTGTATCCTCATTGCCTTCGTTTTAGTTGGGGCGGGCGAACCGGGCCTATCGCTCTTGCTCTGATTGCCCGATCTGGGTTCGCTCAAAACCTATTTTGGCGGCCAAAACAGAAGGAGCGACCACTGTCGTGTGTCCAGACCCCACCAAACTAACCACCCCCTTTCAACCCACCATTTTCGCTTCCTCTCACCTCCTCCCCATTGTTCTGTCTCTATTCTGTACTCTTCCAAATGGCCCAGCCTTTTTGCCCTCCCTATCTAGCCTTTTGTCCAGGGCCTCTTCGTGTTTCCACTACTTGTTCATATTGAGGCGCTACCACATTACATCACCGCCCCAGTTACCAGACCACTGGCCTGACCGCTCACCCTTCTTTGCCCGATTCCTTGCCGCTTCCGCATTTTCGTCCCTTGGGCCGCGTCGGCGACACGATCGGCATGTCCTGCTTTGGCTGTGCTTTGGTGTTGAGTTGCCCCTGAATTCTCTCTCGTTTAGCTTCATAAGCAAGTTAAGTTTACCACGTCGGAAGCTGTCTTGACTGGCTGGCACAGTTGATTACTGCTGTGCATCCCACACCATAAGATACATCGAAACCAGTCGTTCGCCGTTCACAACCCACGACCTCCCACAACACAAGATGACAGATGCACTGCATTGCGTCTACGTCGTCTCCTCTTATTCTTCGCAACATCTGGATTGCGCCGCGGTCTCCGAGGACGGGTTTTCCGCTGCTGGCATAGCGGAGAAACAGCCGATAGTACTCTTCACGACTCCGGCTCGACCGGCACCCTCCCTTTATGCCGCTCGGTTTGGCACCCACTGAACAGTTTGTCACAGCAGCTGGAGTAAACCGCCAACAACTAGGCTGCTCCAGTTTTAAATAGCCTCATTTAGGCACTACCGAGCTTCGGCGGGCCTGGTGGCACACTGACACACAAGGCGCATACTGCTCTCCATTCAATGCCCTGGTCTCCGTGTCCAATTGTTAATATCATCCAAAATCTGTCGAGCTTTTTCACTGACAACTTCTTCGACGGACGACCTTGACAACGCTGGTGCTTTTACGCTCTCTGCCCTTCACTTCCCGCCCTACGCCCTTTTATCTCGCCATATTTCTCGCTCGCCGCCTTTATCACAATACACCGAGACCGCTCCCTGCGAACCCGCCACCATGGAACACCCTGAAATGAGCTCTCCGAGAGACCGCTTATCATATATCATGCCAATTGGTGAGTTGCAAGCTCTTTCCTCCAGTTGGTTTTGTGACTTTGTGCCTATTTTCGCTCCGTGGGTTGTGTTGTGTTTACGGCGTGTAACTGGTAACACGTTTTCTCAAAAGCATATGCACGAGCTGTGCTGTGCTGCGAACAATTGTGTGCCGGTTCTATGAAAGTGACTTGCCTGCCTCACCTGACAGACTAACCTACCTCTCACCACAAAATCCACCCAGCACTTCATTGTACCCTCTCGCCCAACCATTCACCCTCGTGCATCTTTTGGCCCCGACCGTTGGCTCATCTCTCCCTACAGCGACATCTGTCCAATTCGCATTCCCCCCACACCACTTTGTTCATAGGCGTCGTGGCCGTAGAACATGCACCAAACACACCAAGATTTTTTAAGCTTTTTTACAATTCATTTGTCCTGTCAGGGCTCGTGAGATCCGATCCACCTTCACCAAACCTACCTTCACTATTAAGTCTTTTTCTTATGTCTACCACACCACTCCCTTTGTGCTCGTTTTCTCATATAACGACCTTCAACTTTTTCTTTCAGTCGAGTCGTCTGCAGGTGGACCTAATGTAGGTTACGGAACCAGATCATTGTGTATCCCCATCTCCTCCTGTGTTCCTTGCCCAGCAGCGTGGGACGTTCCTTCACTCTCCGTTGCCCACGTATTACGTTTTAATTCTGGTCCAGACACCCATGTGACTCATTTTTGTATTCCGTCTCGACATTCGTGTTTTCATGTTTTGTATCCTGGTCGTGCAACTGGTCATTTGCGATGCCTCGTCAGACCTCGTTCCTGCTCAATCCTGTTCCGTACTCACAAAGTTTGTCCTTCTTTTAGGTTACTGTAACTCACCAACCTGTGGTTACTGTCATAACGATGCCACCAGTGGGAAGCCGAATAAAAGTAAGATGGTTTTTCTTTCTTTTTCTTCCTTCCTTTCTTTCTTTTTATTTGTTCTGTCCGATGCACCTGGGTTTACCCGACGTCAACATTTTCGGGCCGCGCACCGGCCAATGCCGTGTTGGCGTTGACCTGGAGTTACCTGTGCAAGTGTATTGTGCCTGGTGTCAGAAATTGCCTTTATTGGAAATGACAGGGTCAGCCAACACCACATGTGACAAGCCTCCACATCATTGACCCCCACCAAAAACACCGACCATGACATGTCGTCATTACACTCCGTCGACCGACGCTGTTCTCGGTTGCCGACCGAGTAATGCTGCGAAGCTAGGCACTGTTGTTTGGTTTTGATTTTTACTGAAGTGCATTAATGTGACGTGTGGTCGTACCGTTCATATTCGTCCTCGGTTGTTCCTAACAAGATCTAGGGTTTTCATATTATACTTCCAGCCACTCTTTGACTCCTCAGCTGTACCAGATTTTACTGGACCGGTGCTGGAGGCGGTCCGGCACGCTGCTTTACCGTCCGAACCAAAGAAAGGCTTGTTGTCCTCACTACTCCATACGCTTGGATGCAAATGCATTCCACGCTTCACGAGACCAGCGTCAGGCTGTCAACAGGTTCAGCAGGTTTATTATCGGGGATGAATATGCCAGAGTGGCTGCCCGCGTGAATCCTCGTTCCCGTGCAGAAACAAAGCGACGTGATACGACGTTCGATCTAGTTGAGCGCGTTCATGAGGCTGAAAGCGACAACCTACCACCACTCCCTTCAAGTCGCGGCCACAAGGCTTACAAAACACAGAGGGCCGGCGGCGACAGCGATGGCCAAGCAGCATCAGTCCCATTGCCAGTGGAACCAGAACTGACAAAGACCATTGAACCCGCCCACCGGTTTGTAGTGACCTTGGAGCCAGATACATACAGCGACGAAAAGTACGAAGTTTTTGAAAACTACCAGCGCATGGTGCACAAAGAACCACCGTCCAAGATCTCCAAACGAGGCTTTACCAACTTTCTGTGCAACTCTCCTTTGCGACGAGAAACCTTTACAGAAAGGAGTGGCCGGCATAAGAAACTCGGTTCGTTTCACCAGTGCTATCGTCTTGACGGCCGCCTCGTCGCCATTGGCGTTCTTGACCTGCTACCAGACTGCGTTAGTGCCGTCTACTTTTTGTACCACGAGTCAATTCATAATCTCAGCCCTGGCAAACTCGGCGCGCTTAGAGAGATCGCGCTGGCTCTCGAGGGTGGCTATCGTTGGTGGTACTCGGGCTACTATATCCACAACTGTCCCAAGATGCGGTACAAGATTGATTTTGCGCCGCAGTATGTGCTCGATCCCGAGTTACCCTCCAGCTGGGATCTCTTGGACAAAGAGGCACTGGCCAAGTTCGATAAACAGCCCTACGTGAGCTTCTCGCATGAGCGGGTGGAGGAGTATAAAACGAAGTTGGTGAAGCAACACCCTAACGGCGACAGCGACAATTACGGCTTTGGCCTTTTCGGTCTGGGAAAACCGTTGACATTCCATGGGCCGGCAGTAGAGGAGCCCGCACCTGATGGAGGTGACGCGGTGACAGGCACGAGAGAAGAATCGGGGGAACCAATTGCCGCCCGTGACGGTGAAGCCAACAATGGCGACGACGATGACTCGGATTCGGACGCTGAGAATAGCGACTCGCCGAATGTGCCGCTCTTCACGAGCAATATGCCAGGCCTACCGTCCATGGCAACCGTGGCTCGGTACCACCTCGATGACATCCCGATTCTGACATCGCTGCAGCCAACCATGTTTCCTGTTCATTACCTGGCTGTATGGGACGAGGGTACAGTCACGGATGGCACGAGTTTCAAGAACAAGGTGGCGGAACTGGTGGCGATGATGGGCTCCGACCTCATTCCTCAACTCTGCCTGGACTTCCGGAGACACCCGTCATAGTTGTCTCGTGGTGTAAATGCTGCTTGGGCTGTTGTAACATCGAGGTTTTCCCGTTGTAAGCTAGCGCTTTTGGCTATCATTTTACTCGCATGAAATTGTCATTTAGACCCATTACCTGTTGAATCATTTTTTGTTATTTATCGTTTTCCAGAACGAAGCCAGCTCTACGAAAACGCCTCCGAGGCGTTCTAGAAGCGTCTGACGACTAACCCATTTATTGCGCTTTACCACACACGACACATTCCCTGTCCCGGTAAGGTACAATCTGCCACATCCCATAGTGCAAGGCGAAAAAAAAGTGTGTCAACAGAGTTTTCTTTCCGCCCACTAACCTCTGTCGGTGAGCTGTATCTGGCAGGAGATCACATGCCCGTTTTTGGCTGTCGGTCAGGGCAGGATGGATCCTCTTTCGGGGCCACCCACCGACGCCGTCTTAGCCCTCAGCCATCGGCGCCGCTTTAGGCAAATACCCTTGAAGCAGTGTGGGCGAGACCGAAATAGAATACAAAAGGGGCGAGCCTTGTCATCTCTCGTGGAGGGAAGGTGATCACGAGGCTCCAGCGACGTTAGCCTATGAAAGGGCGCTGAACTGGCCAACCAGAATATGAACGTATGTACGTAAAAGTTTTCTTGTTCAGGCAATCATACAGTGTGGGGAGTGGGATACTGAGTGGGATAAAGGAATTATAAGACGTGTGTCATCCTCTAGCAAACTGGAGAGATGGCCGCAGGTCACAGCCTCACCCGCGTCTGTCTTTTGATTTTGCGTGGGGGGATTTTGTAGAGAATAAGCACTCCGGGAGCAGCTTGTCAAGTCCAGGAAGTACCTGAATGTACTCTTCCGTGTCTCAGGTACTTTTGATATTTCCCAACGATGTATTTCCCCCCGCCATTCAAAGACGATGAGAAGATCGAGTGGTGGCCAGTCTTTGTACAGCATCTTTCTCCCTCTTGCTCGCTTTCTCTCTCTTCCTTTGGCACATAGAATCTGCTTCTAATAGACAATCCTGGAAGAAATAAAGTTAGTGTTGCATTATTTAAAATGGTCTTCTGATCATTCCCCATTCGAGAGCCCAATGATGTTGTTATGTTTCGCATATGAGGGCCAATATTAGCGACAAATATTGATATGGTTGAGTATTTCTATTTTTGTGCAAAGAGAACAGCCAACCAGAATCATAACAAGAAAGATCTGTAGTATTCCTTTCTTATGTCACCTGCAGAGTTGGTAATGTCGACGATGCTTGATGGCCAAACGATGACGACGTTGTCCAAAAACGGCTTCTGATTGGACACTCTGGTCACGGAGATACAAAATGGGTTCGGAGGGTCTGGGAGAGTGCGGAGAGCCATGCACGTGCAAAAGCATGTGATATATTACTCATCAAGGCTACCCTAGTCTGGGACTAGTGCGTTCGGCGACAAAAGTTAGGGCTGGCCACAATAAAATTAACTTTTTGCTGCAACATGTGCAAAAAAGTGCGAGGCCCACTTTTCTGTGTGAAAAATCCCATTCAGACCGCCTGAAAACGAGTGACCCTAGTTTGGTAGAGAGCCAGCGTCGAAAAGTAGCGAAGGAAAAAAAGTGTGTGAAAGGATCTTTCCCCTCGTCTTCGTTTTGACCTTTCCCTCTCCAACACCCAACCACCACCAACGACAACCATCGCCATCTTCGAGAGAACTCTGGTTTGTTCACCCCATTCCGTCGTCATTCACTTTGGCTTTCGTTTTCTAACTCGACAGTTACAATGGGTGCCCTCAAGTACGTCGAAGAGCTCCAGAAGCGCAAGCAGTCGGATGTGCTGCGCTTCCTCCTGCGCGTCCGCTGCTGGGAAGTACGTTGAAACAACACCATCCTCCTGAATTCAGACATCGACCTTTCGAGAAATAAGAATCTCCATTACCCTTCGTTGCCGGTCTTTCCCACGGAAGCCAGAACCATACAACGCCAGGCCGAGTTGTCGGGAGGAAAAGAGACGACAGGGCGCGAGAGGTACGAGGGCGATAAAGAGAGATTGAAAGAGGGAGAACGGGACAATGTGATGGCTGAGAGACATGAACAAGCTTTCGAGACGCAATCACGGTTCGGGAGTTGAGAGATTTGAGACAATTTCTTCTCCTGTACGAATCGATTTTCCTCTCGTCAGATTTTTCAGCCTCGTCGGCCTACGTGTTCTTACCAGTCTCACCTCGTTCGCGATCTTTCTTCATTACCTCTTGTCTCGACGACCGCCCTTTCCGACTCTTTTCCGTTCCCAACTTCCGTCCTAGGATCCCGGGCATAAAAGACACTTGTTGATCATTGTCGCTTTGTCATTGAAATTGTCTGTTGGTTTCAATCAATGCTGACTGAGAGTGTTTTTCTGCATTGTAGTACCGCCAGCTGAACGTCATCCACCGTGCTTCGCGCCCGTCCCGCCCGGACAAGGCCCGCCGTCTCGGTTACAAGGCCAAGCAGGGCTATGTGATCTACCGCGTGCGTGTGCGCCGTGGTGGCCGCAAGAAGCCCGTTCGCAAGGGTGCCACGTACGGCAAGCCGACCAACCAGGGTGTGAACCAGCTCAAGTACCAGCGCTCGCTCAAGTCGACCGCCGAGGAGCGTGTCGGCCGCCGCTGCGCCAACCTGCGCGTGCTGAACTCGTACTGGATCAACCAGGACTCCACCTACAAGTACTTTGAAGTCATCCTCGTCGACCCCCAGCACGCCGCCATCCGCCGCGACCCTCGCATCAACTGGATCGTCAACCCGGTCCACAAGCACCGCGAGTCGCGCGGTCTTACCGCCACCGGCAAGAAGTCCCGCGGCCTCAACAAGGGCCACAAATTCAACAAGACCCGTGCTGGCCGCCGCAAGACCTGGAAGCGCCACAACACCCTGTCCCTGTGGCGGTACCGGTAAACGTAGCGTGGCTCCTTCTGTGCGCGCTGTGTATGGTGCTGTTGCTGCTTGCGGGAAGGGTGGCGGAGTCATTGACGCCGCCGACGATGGCGACGGCGTTGATGAGAACGTCGTGGTTTATCGTGGCGGCAACCTTGGACGGAAAGCCGGCCTGTGGGCACGGGACGCCGATAATCTACTACGCCAGAGCATCGAACGTTTTTGTTGCCACTTATCTTTGCTTTGTTGTGCCTGTCTCTGTTTTCTGGGACTTTCAATTTTGCATACGGAGTTTCTGGCGCTCTTACGGCGACAGACATCAAAGGAGAGGCCGACTGACGGACAAGGCAAACGGAACAATATTAGGGAGAGCTGAGAAGGGAACGGTTCTTCTATAACGGACAAAAAAATTTCATATTAGGGAAAACTGTGTTTTAAGCAATAAATGCGCTCCCAGACATCAAGTGGGAAGTAGTTCATTCACCAAACGACGACAGATTTATGTGACTGTGAATCGTGGCTTGTGATCCGAAGCCTCAATAAGCAAACTCGTTTATTAGTCATTGTGATGTTGATGGTTGGAGGTGGGCCAATGTTGTCCCAACGTTTTGGGTCTTGTTTTTGACTTGCTGTAGAAGAGACAGGCTGGTAACCACAAGTCTCGGACCAAAACTTAACTGAACCGGGAATGCACCAACGTAGGCCAGCATGGGCATTGAAATATTTTCTCGAGGGTGTGCTTATTGTTCAAGAGCAAAACTTGGCGAAGGACCGATAGATTGCATTTTAACAGATATTCCCAAATCGCTGGAGTGTCTGTGTCTAAGTGGTCTCAAACTATGACAAGTTACTAAAATCGTACACGAGAAACCGCATAGCTTCCTTCCCCATTTCTCTAATTTTACACTTTTGTTATTTCTCGCCTTGTGCAGGAGTTGGCGGCTGGCCAGCAGCAGCCAACGTGATTACGACGCATCGAAGAAGGTTTTGGCAAGACTATGAAGTCTCGATCAGAACAGCCTGCTTCTCCGACTGCTGCGCCTTGCTCGCCGCGGCCGCATTCCGGCCAACAAAGGTCGCCATGGCTGTGTCAATACCAGATGCCCACCGTGCAAGCTGCTGAAGGCTCAACGGCAGCACGTGGTACCAGGACACCCAGCGCGCGTAGAGTGGCATACCAATGGACTCGGCGCGGCCGCTGTCAATTGCGCTGATAATGTCCTTGGCAACGTCGACAGGCTCCACGACGGGCGCGAAGAAGGAGCTGGGTGTTTGCACGCCGTAGAAGAGCGGCGTGCTGAGCTGGCCGAGGGTGACGAGCACCGTGCGGATGTCCGGGTGGCTTGTCTTGAGTTCGGCGGTTAGGGAGCGATGCAGGGCAGACAGGCCGGCCTTGGAGGCAGCATAGTCAGACAGCTGTACAGCACCGAGCTCGCCGAGAACACTGGTAATGGTGACGATCGTGCCTCCAAGGCCGCTCCGTGCAATGCCGGGGATAAAGGCCTTGAGAGTGTAGAAGTTCGAGGCGAGGTTGGTGAACAGGGTGCGATCGATCTCGGCGTAATCGAGGTCAAGCAGACGCTTTCCATTGACAACGGCAGCGTTGTTGATCAGCACGGTGGGCGGGCCAAGCTGTTTTCGTTAGCAGGGGGCAGACGTCGCGGTGCGAAACCATGATACAAGGACGTACATCTCTCTCAATGTCGGCAGCCGCCTTGATGACTTGGTCCTTGTCTGTAATATCGCACTTGTAGTAAGTGACACCGCGGGCCTCGCCATTCTCCATTTCCTTGACGTCCAGCACGGCGACAGTCGCGCCGCGCATACCGTAGACCTCGGCGATCAGCAGTCCAAGACCGCTTGCGCCACCAGTAATGACAATGACCTCCTCGCTCAAGTCGACCGTCCGCGGCTGGCCAAAGGCAATGCGCCGGTTGATTGCGCTTAGAACCCAGCCTGCCGTTACGACAGAGGCATAGATCGAGGCGGCGCGGATCGGCATGGCAGTCCACTCCATGTGCTCGGCGCGGAAGCACAGAACGACGATCCAGGCCACAAATGGGTGCAGGAAGGTGACATAGAGGACCTTGAGGACAAGGTCAACGGAGAAGGGCGCGAACCACGAGTCGCGGGTTGGCGGCCGCTGGAAGGCGTCCATTGTGTGCGAAAGGGGGCGGAGAACTAGTTTGAGAAGCAGAAGCTGAGAGAGAGGTAGAAGATGTGTCGTCTCGTCAGTGAAACAAACCAGACGAAAGAGACAAGAGAAACAAGAACGGCGAGAAGAGGCAGACAAATAAATACGAAAACAAGGAAGAGGATGAGACCAAAAGTGGGAGAGGTTTTCTAAGTTACGCCCAGCGTGACGAGGAAGAGATGTTGGCAGATGATAAACGAGGATGTGCAGACGAGACGACGAGGATGGAAACGTCAACAATCGAGGAGCGGACACGGAGCAATTGCCACGCACCACAAAGACACCGAGCGCTCTTTCTCTTTTTCTGCTCGTCCTTCTTGCCTTTGAAACGTCACCCAGGGGAGCACTCGGACTGAGAAACGTTTCGAGGTTTCGACGAGGGGCCTGTTAGTGGGGACTAGCCAGCTGTGCTCAGGCCAAAGAGCTCCCTGGAGCTGCCGACTCCAGCGCCAGGGGTTCATATGTGACAACCAATCACGAGCTGCTGCTGTGTTTTCCAAGCACACCATGTGCCTATTCGTGGAGCGGCGCTAGAGCCACGCGTGACCTAGCACGGGACTATACTTCACGTGATGTGCTTTGTCACACATGCAGCCTTCGCGTCCGTTGGCAACCTAGAGGTGGGCAAGGGCCAGTGACGGCGAGAGCTCTCGGTCCAGCCTCAAGTTCTGTTTGTCCAGCCCCAGTAGCTCCTCTTCCGCGCATTGCCTTGCATCCCACCAGGACAGCCGCACTTCCCAGCGCATACGACTTTGCATATCCATACTTTTTTAAAGATTCTAAACTGTCTCAACAAGGCGACTCCTTCCCACTCCTCATTTCTCATTGCCGACATCTGTCTCGACCAGCGTCCTTTTCCTCTCCCTCTTCGACGACTCCCACGCGAGACAAAACCACCCACTACCTCACTCACGTTCGTCGACCATGGCCGCCGCCGATTCGGAGCGGGTGCGGGAAGCCAAGAAGCTGGCAAAGTCCAACCCGGCTAAGGCCGAATCCATCTATAAAGAGGTCATCGCGAAGCCACCATCGGTTACGTCGGATGCTGCTGTCCGGGAGTACGAGGTGGCATTGATTGGCCTGGGGGAGCTGTACCGGGACCAGAAGTGAGTTGCTATAGCGCAGGCGACGATGCATACCAAACGTTCTACTAGGACTGACAAAATGCCCTCCGTGTAGGAACACCAATGAGCTCGTCGACCTGGTAACACGGAGCCGGACGGTGCTGTCGTCCTTTGCGAAGGCAAAGACGGCGAAACTCGGTAGGTTCTTGCTGCCCCTCTGCTTCAGATTCACCGCGGCCGCATGGCGGTACTGACAACGTCCAGTACGGCAACTCCTCGACCTCTTCCGTGACATCCCCAACACCACCGATACCCAGATTGCCGTGACCAAGTCGTGCATAGAATGGGCAACGTCGGAGCGCCGCGGCTTCCTGCGCCAGAACCTCGAGACACGGCTGGTCACTCTCTACATGGCCAAACAGGCGTACTACGACGCACTGACGCTCATCAATGGTCTGCTGCGCGAGCTCAAGCGCCTGGACGACAAGCTGGTGCTGGTCGAGGTGCAGCTTCTCGAGTCGCGCGTGTACCACGCACTCGGAAACGTGTCCAAGGCGCGTGCGGCACTCACCAGTGCCCGCACGAGCGCCGCCTCCGTCTACACCCCGCCGCTGCTGCAGGCCAACCTGGATATGCAGTCGGGCATGCTGCACGCCGAGGACAAGGACTTTAACACGGCATTCAGTTACTTTATCGAGGCGCTCGATGGCTACCACACGCAGGACGAGCCCGCCAAGGCCACGGCGGCCTTGCAATACATGCTGCTGTGCAAGATTATGCTGAACCTGTCAGATGACGTGAACCAGCTGATGGCCTCGAAGCAGGCCGTCAAGTACGCGGGCCAAAGCCTCGAGGCCATGAAGGCCATTGCGCGCGCGCACGCCAACCGCTCGCTCGAGGAGTACGAGCGCGCACTGGTCACGTACCGCTATGAGCTGGGCGGCGACGCTTTTGTGCGCAACCACCTGCGCCGCCTTTACGACTCGATGCTGGAGCAGAACCTGATCAAGGTCATTGAGCCTTTTTCGCGCGTCGAGATCGACCACATTGCCACCATGGTCGGCTTGGACACCCAGCAGGTCGAGCGCAAGCTGTCCCAGATGATCCTAGACAAGGTCATTATCGGCGTGCTGGACCAGGGCGCGGGGTGTCTGATTATCTACGACGAGACGGAGCGCGACGAGAGCTACGATGCGGCACTGGCGACCATTGACAAGCTGAGCAACGTGGTGGACGTGCTGTACACCAACCAGGCGTCAATGCTGGAGTAGATGGGAGAAAAGGAAGCGATAGTAAGGGGAGTCAGGGCGGGGTGTGAAGAGACGAGAGTATGATAGGGTGGAGCGCGAGATGGTCTGTATTAATAGAATAGAGAACTAGTCTTTTCGCGTCTTGCCTGGGAACTTGCCATCAATATGAATTGAACATATTTCAAAAGAAGTCTTCCAGCGCTACTTTTCTAGCCACTGGAAGAGGCCCCACTTCCTGCTAATCGATAAGGCGCCACGTCGTAATTACAGACGCGATTTCTTAGCAACATTTTTTTTTTCGCTTCCGGTCTAATCTGAACGTGAGCCAGTTTGTCTACGACACACGACCTCGCGGTATTCTTGTTCTGTTCCCCTTTTAGGCGCATTTTCGTTTTGTTTTGTCTTCTATCCATTGCGCCAATGAATTCAGTACAATGATCAATTCTTCTCACTGTGCCTGCCGCACAGCAGCGCTACACATGTTTGTGCGCAGCCTCGTCGGATCGGTGCCAGCAGCAGTTGCTACACGAGCGACAACAACCAGAGTGCCGACGGCAGCTGTACGGCACTGGCGGTTGCTTACAACAACGGCATGCCGACCGTCCGTGTCGCCGTTCCAGTCGACGACAGCGACTCGGACATTCCATATGTCGCGAAAACTGCTCAGCAATGCACAGTGGGCCGAGAAGGTCGAGGCTACTTCCAGCGACATTGGCAGCGCCAGCGAAGAGCACATAAATACAGCAGTGGAGAGGCATGCAAGCGAGACCGAAGCGCACACTGCGACCTCTGCACCCCCGCGGAATAACAATGTCCAGTCGCTACAGGCGGTAATCGACGGCGCGGAGACGGAGCACGTGAGTGCGACGACATCCCCTTTGCGAGCCAGCCAACAAGCGTCCGATATAAGGCCGGGAAAGAATATGAGGAAAAGAATACGCAGACAACAAGAGGCTGCGAGACTGGCCGCGGAAGCTGCAGCGGCAGTAGCAGGCGCGGCAGAAGGGTCGGTAGACCCAGCTGAAGCAGCGAAATTGGTGCAGAAGCTCAAGCCGAAGAAGGAAAAGAAGGAAAAGAAAGAAAAGAAAAGCAAGTTGGAGAAGATAATGGAGGAAAAAGAGGCAAAAAGACAAGCAAAGAAAGACATTCGGCGAAAGCGGCGGGCGCTCGAAAAGGCGGCTGCGAGCGGTGCTGCGAGCCGTGCTGCGACACAGACTGCGCAGGCTACGCCGCCCAAGCCAAAGACAAAGGTCAAGTCGGCTGCGCCGACAGGCTCCAACGATGGCATGCCCGCCAAGCCGTCCCCGGATACAGCAGAGTCGAAGACGAAACCGCGGCCGCTTCCCAAGCACCCGGAGCCGTGGCAGATCCAGAAGCAAGCGCTGCGTGAAAAGTTTCCTGGTGGCTGGAACCCGCGCAAGAAGTTGTCCCCTGACGCGCTTGAGGGCATCCGCGCTCTGCACCGCAAGTTCCCACAGGTCTACACCACTGCCGCCCTCGCCGGCCACTTCAAGGTCTCGCCAGAGGCCATACGCCGCATCCTCAAGAGCAAGTGGCAGGCGACGCCCGAGGAGGAAGAGGATCGCCAGATGCGCTGGTTCGAGCGCGGCAAGCAGGTATGGTCGCGCTGGGCCGAGCTGGGCCGCAAGCCGCCGAAGCGCTGGCAAGCCGAGGGCATTCTGCGGGAGCCGTCATCGTGGTCGGGCGGCCGGCGGCGGTTGCTGAACCGGAATCCAATCCTGTCACGACGGCAAATCCTGCGCCAGACACGTCAGAACCGGCAGAATTTCCAGGCCAGCCTGTCTGAAGAGGGCATCTATGGGAAAGAGAGTGTCCCATCCGCCGACGTCATGCAGCGAGCCATTGATAGCAGCGAAGATGTGGACGCGCCGTCGCGTTCTGTGCCGCTCACTCCCGAGCACGAGAAGACCCTCCGCAAGGCCACGCGGAGCCAGAGCCCTGGTCGCCAGGCAAGGCTGCGGCGGAGCAGCAAGGACGACAAGGACTTGACGGATGAGTAAGCCTTCGAAGGGTTTGAGGGCAACACCAGAAACGCAAGCGTATATCCAACCTCCACGCTCTTACTAGATTTATACCCCTGATTTATATTTTGCATATGTGCAATTTTGACGGCATTAATTACAAAGTACGAAGCAAATACATCTCATCTTTCTTGCGCACCCGTTCCATGAGAGCCAACGTGAAAAAACACATGCCTCTCCAAAGTTTAGAAGGGTACGGCGTAGGGATGCTCTGAGGTGCACGGCAAAGCGGCCTTATTGGTTACGACCAGCACAGCCGGCACACGGTCAACCATTTCACCTCGTAGTGTTCTCGTAGTGTGTCTCGTACCTAGTGCAGCCATCTCGCTTCGCCTCGCGTAAAGCTTGTGCGCTCGTACTCGTCTTGAATCATTCGGGCTTTGTTGTCAAAAGTACAAATAATCCTGCAATCAGAGGAGCCATGAAACAAACGCGCTCATGTCGCTTTCATATCACACCTTGCAATCAATGTCGCACAATGCGCACCTCTCACAGCTAGGGCTCGCTCTAGCTAGTCACACCTTGACCGTTCCTGGACCAAGCATGATCTGGACCACGGTTTTCTTGGAAATGAGTGCTGAAGCAATGCCCCGGTCAGGCGAGCCCATAAAGTTCGTCCAAAGGAGGGTCGCAATTTCATTTCGGATCCCCTGCCAGTTCCGCGAAACCGTTCTGTACTGAGTACTCCGTCGTACTGCGCAAAGATACGTATCCTTCGAGAATCGGCACTCTGGAAGTTACAAACGTCTTGCCTTGCCCTTGGCAGTGTCCGTATTGTATTTCTCGAGACCCGGTTTGGCACCAATTTCGCTGCGCTTTCACTTTTTTTTGGAGATGAGATTTCAGCGGGATTTTCCTAGCTCAGCCCTGAAATGGTCCGCCGGAGAGTTTTGTAGGCTCTGAGCTCCGTTAGGGGGCAATTCGCGTTCTGCACTTTCGGCACGTAATACTGCGTACTCTTGTGATCAAAGGCACAATACGGGGAAAGCTAGATTGGATGAGCCGTTGAAGAGCCCTTACTCTACTGTGCGCCAGAGGTGCTTTCCTCAATAGGCACTTTCTGTCGTTTGTGGCCACTGATTCCTTGCTGGCCCCCTTTTGACGCGACTGCCGTGAGTTGATTTAAAAGCGATCGCCGCATTGACCCGCAAGAACGGAACCTCTGGTGCAAGGGAAGGAGCGACGGCGATGGGGAGAAACGCACCAGCCGCTCTGCGGTCCTCTTTCCGGGTTTTCCTCGACTTGACGTTGGAGCCTGCGAGCGTTTGCACGGTTCATCATCCCAGCGTCGTATTAGGCCTGGCCTCCCCTGGAGCCAAGCCTAAAGAGGCAATGCGCTTGCCGGCTTGGGAAGACGATTTGGTGCTGCCACCCCGCGCAAATGTCGACTCAGGTCGCCCTCCCAACCCAAAAAAGAAAACAAAAAATTTAACGACTGCGATAGGAAGTGGAAAGTACCGGCTAGTGTTCCCCACATAGCCTTCACCCGTGCCCACAAATGTGAAAGCGAGGAAGCAGTGAATAACTCTGCTGTATTCTAGGGGTAATTACTGATAGCGCCCCAGGCGGCAGGTACGAGTGGTCTCATTTGGCCTTTCGCCTGGCACTTCAGCTTGCATCCTGGGCAACGACCGTATTTTAGCTTTTCGCAGAACAAGCGAAACAAGGCCTTGTCTGCGTCGTATTCTTTCTCGTGTCTGCTTCTGCTTCTGTCCTCTAGATACGCACGGGGTGCCTCGCCATCCCTTTGACTCTCCTTCTCACCGTCCAGGGAGCCGTTGACGAAAGGAAGCTGCACACCAAAGACCAACCGGGGCAGCCACCCCTTCGCTCTTGCCTCGATACGATCCACTGCACGAATTCCACACCCAAAATCTCATCATCTCGTGCGAGATCAATTTCACCACCTTTTTCGTGCCACACAATTCTTTCCACCGGATAGTCGTCTCTTTGTGCTCAGTCTCTCTTTTTTTTTTAGGTCCCTCCAAGCCACTTTGAAGTTACACCGACAAAAGAGCTGAGGCGCCTGTGACGAATGATCGCCAGCGATCGCGAGATACAGCACAGACAGCTCAGCAACTTACATATCTTTGATCAGGAATCAACAGAACTCTCCGGGCGAAAAAGACTACTTCGACGACTTCCTCTCGGACAAACGTCTCCCTCCATCAACCTTTTGCCCCAGCCGCGGCTTCGTGATGGTCCTACGTTCCCTGGGGACGTCGTGAACCAGTCGTCGCGTCTTCACCGTCTCTCCGTCGACTGCGTCTTCACCGTCTATCTTTTGTCGTCAATCGACTGCCGCTCGTTACCACACGCTCTCTTGTCATTTGTCTTCGTCTCCACTCGCTCTGCATCATTTATTCACTCACTGTAAGTTTGTCGCCATGTTACACCGTTGTCTGGTTTCGACTGCGGTTGTTTGCATCGCATCACCAGATTTCGCCCTAAAGCCGGCTTGTTTACTTTTGTATCCTGTGCCGCTTCCCACCCAAACTCGTCCACCACAGTTTGGCTAATGCGTGTACGCAGCATTTGGGAGTATCCTTTTTCCCCAGGTACATTATTTTGACATATACTCGTTACCGTCGACGACAGTTGCCATCCATATACCCATCAACTACGTCACTCAACATACGCCTTCTTTCACCCCCAAATGGCAGCAAAATGGCATCTACTCCATCCAACCGTCTCAAACTGACGCCTTCCAACTCGCCCTTCATAAACCGCATGTCCCGGTCTCCCATCCGCTCAAGAACATTTAATGATCTCGCCGCCGCCACCTCCGCCTCTGCCTCCTCAAACACATCCGCTCCCTCCCGCCTATCTCTGAAACGAGTGGTCGGCTCTACCTGCTCCTCTCCTACGGGTTTCGATACCGTTAACTCGTGCTTTGCATACATTGCTGGCGGGGCCGTGGTCGTCGTCGACGTCTACGGTGATTACTATAAGCAGCGTTTCTACCGTGCACGGCCGACAGCCGTTCCTGTCTTCTCAGTTTCTCCCGTCAACAACGGACCCTCGACACCGAATTCTACACCAAAAGCAAACGACAGCCGAAGCAGGCTTACGCTTGGTTCGAGCCACCGCGACTCCGCTTTTGGCCTACCAGACTGGGCCGAATCGCCCACTTCCGGCAAGACCTGGACCCAGCGCGAGCGCATAAAGTCGGCGACATGTCTATCCCTGAGCCGCGATGGCCGTTTTCTGGCTGTTGGCGAGACGGGCTACGCACCACGGGTGCTCATCTTCAACCTCGACGACACATCTTCCGACATCCCTCTCGTCTCGATCAACGAGCACAGCTTTGGTGTGGCAGCTGTCGCCTGGTCGCCGGACTCGCGGTACATGGCCTCGCTGGGCGCCGCCAACGATGGGTTTTTGTATATTTGGAAGATCGACCCACGTACCGGCGCAGCCAAACTCTTCCAACAGAACCGCTGCACATCATATGTGCGTGGCATGATCTGGCTGGAAAGCAACAGCCTGGTCACTTTTGGCGTCCGCCACGTCAAGGTCTGGCGCATCGATGAAAGCGTATCGACGAGCACGTCACCGACAAAGGCCCGGTACGGCGGGAATGACGGCTACGCCTCTACACCACCGCCGGTCTATCAGTCCCAGAAGGAGCAACCGCTGCAGCAGAAAACGCTACCGGGACGAAACATCTTGTTAGGGTCGATGCTCGAGGCCACCTTCACTTCTGCGGCGCCCCTCCCCGGTGGCGGTGCCGTAATCTGCTCGGAGTCCGGTGACATATGCCTCCTCGAATCAGTCAACAAGCAGATGAAGCTGACTCGTATTCGCGATACGCGGTTTGCGTTGAACTGTGTATCTGTTCGAAATGACCGCGTGTACTTTGGTAGTAAAACGGGCCACTCCTTGACCATGGACCTGGAGGACATGTTGCAGGAGGGTCGACGCGCCGCGCAGCTCCCCTCGGCCCCATCTACACCGTCGCTTTCCTCGAGCTCTCCAAGTCTCCAAAGCCGCATGTCGTTTACTGTACCGTCGATGCGAACCGGCTTGGTTGCAATGGGTTTTCTTACTGGCCACGTTGTCACCGTCGACACAAAGCAATCGATTGACATTTTCTCTGGCACCGATCACGTCCCAGGCGAGGATCCAGCACCACACGTGAAACGGATACCGATTCCGGGCCATGGAGAGCCCATCTTGGGCATCCAGGCCCTCGCGCTACCGAACGAAGCCGATGCCGCATTTTTCACCTGGTCCAGTTCCGGAAACATCTTGCTATGGAACGTTGACGGCGAAATACAGTCGTCCCTGCAGGTACCGATCGACCAGAACGTAACAGGAGACGAACTCGAACCATCAAATCAGCTCTCCGCCGTGCGGGCCACACGAGGCGGAAAGCTCTTCGTCACAGCCGACCGGTGCGGCGTCTTACGAATTGTCGACTTCGCGACCAAAGAGACGGTACTCGAGACCAAGGCGCATGCCTCCGTTTGTCAATCGATTTCTATTTTTGAAAAGGGCTCGAAGCTGCTCCTGGCCACATGCGGCCGCGACCGGACAGCCCAGCTCTTCCACCGGCTACAAGACGGGACCGTGGAGCATTTCCAGACACTCGAGTTTGCTGCAAAGGCGGTGCAGGTGCTTATTTCGCCCGACGACAAGGTCATCACCTGTTCCTTTGACCGGACCCTTCAAGTGTATGACCTTGTGTCCAAGGAGGATGAGCCAGACGTGATTGCCGCCATACCTGCACGAGTCATCACACTGAAAGCATCACCCTCGTCGATGGCCCTGTCGCCCGATGCTCGGACGGTCTTTGTATCTCTCCTGGACCGCACAATCTGCCAGTATGATCTCACCACGAGCCGGCTTGTGAGCTCCTTCAAGTGTATCGACGAGGGCGGCTCCGAATCTGCTCTGTTGGACGCACTCATCTACGGCACGCAAGCCACCGGGATGCCACATGCACCGCCTCCTTCGCCTTTGAACATAATCTCCACTGACACGCCTTTCCTGCTCGGTCTATCGAACACCGACAAGTCGGTGCGCATCTATGACGCCAACACGAGTGCGTTCCTCGACCGCGAATGGGGTCATACTGAAGCCATCAATGGCGTTGCTCTTATTGAAGAGGATGAGGACATGGACAGTCCAACAAAATCGACTGCGCCGAGCTCATTTTCGAGTGGTTGCCGGAAGGTAGTGAGCGTCGGCTCAGACGGAACCATCATGTTTTGGTCGCTGGACCTACGCGAACAGCTTGCCCCTGGCTCGTCCATCAGCCGCGATCCATCGCCACATAAAGACACCATATCTGCCACGGCTTCGCGGCCACCCCTCAGGAAGGTTCTGTCAAAAGCCGAGCTGGCCGAATTCCAGAGACCATCCACGTCAAGCAGCGTCAACGGTGGAAGCGCCAGCGCCAGCGGCAAACGGTCTCCGTCACGGTCCCTCTCACGACGGTCGTCTCGGTACAACTTGTCTACTGGTGCAGGGCCAGCAGCACGCACGCCGATCTCTGTGCTTCTGAATAATCCGGCCAATGCCATTGTCGAAGACACGCCATCTAGGAGGGCATCGGCAGGAAGTGCGTCGGGCAGCCCACCTGTGCCGACCAGTCCCAAGACGAAGGTCCGGCGGCGGCCGTCCCTCCCCGCCATGAGCAGCACAAATACGACACCCACCAACATCAGCTCGGGTAGCGGCGCCACCATACGCAAGAAGAGCAGCGCCAACAACATCCGCAGTTCGTACGGATTTGGCAGCCTCAACATGGCGACGGAGCAGACATGTCGGCAGTTGCGTGCGTACCGCAAGCGCCTTGCCTCGACAGACCCCATTGCACAGGACGTCTTGGTGGAGCTGGACCAGGAACTCCGGCTGACGTTTGCTGCGCTTGGCGACCGGGCCACGCGCAGCAAGGCGATGAGCGAGGAGCTTGACGGCCTTCTGGATGAGAAGCTTGAGCGACTGGTGTCGCTGCTTGACAAGAAGTGGAACTTGCGCCAACCAAAGCGCGACAGAGAGCGTGAACGTGACCTAGACCGGCCTGTTCTGCTCCGACACCGGCAGCATGACCGCGGCAACAGCGGAGGAAGTGCCACCAGCAACAGCAGCGCAGACGACCAGGGCCGGGACCAAGACACGGACCGAGCTGGCAGGGATGACCGCAGCAGCAACAATAGTGCCGACATGGACAACACGTCGCCAGACGAAAATTCGCGACCGACGTCGATGGCTGGCTCGATGCGTATCTAGTGGAGCAAGCATCGAACGGCAGCACACCGTTGATCAGTGTGTTTCTTTGTGCTGGCCTTTTCTTCTTTTCTTTACCTTGCATTCTCTTTTCTTCATTCTCTGCCCTGTATGACTGTCTCTATTATACCACATTTGTCGTTTGTTTGTCATTCTCTTTATACTTGGAAAGGGTTCCCTTCTGGCGACGAGGGGTGGAGGAGCTTTGATTATGAGCATTTTTGTCTTTGTTGGTGTTTCTTCCTCCGGGCGTTACAGTTTGTGTTCTTTTCCTTTCAAACCCTCTGGCACTCTCATTTCTCCTATTTTCATTTTATTTGTAAGTCTGTACTATTAGGAACTGTTTATGGGGAGGGAAGACTGGCCATGCTGAGCGGCCCAAGTCCTGGCCCCATCAGGCTGGCTTTTTCTTTTATAGTTTTTGGTTCTGGCAACAAACCATCTTCTCACAGCGCAGTCCCGGCGTGGCTGCTGGCGTTTAATTTCATTTTTGTTCATCTTTTCATTTTCCGACGCATCCTGCAAAGACTGCGCCCAGATGATCGTCGACGTGGTGTTCATGACGCAGTGGTGCATACTCTGGCCCGTCACCGGGTCCCGTATTGCCTGCACTCGCTCGTCTTCTGCGTAACTGTCGTACTTTCATCGAAAATAGAATGCTCAAGTAGTCCATGGTTGTGGATGGGTGGGAGGGAGATATATTCGACGCCCTGGTAGCTTGGCCCTCTTTCTGTCGCCTGCGTATAAAACTACTGCCTCGTTATGCATGTCCCTAATCGACTCTGCTGTTATCAAAAAAAAAAAAAAAAAAAAAAAAAAAAAAAAAGCCACGTTTGACATGGTTTAACTACGGAGAACGTCGTACCTGTCTGTCACTTTTTTGCCTGTCTCTCTCGGTCTCCGCTTTTGGTCTCCCATCTCCGTGACATCGGCGTATTCAGTTTGTGCTGTTGCGTGCCGCCCTTGGTCTCCCCCCACTCTAGCAGCTGCCTTTCGGTTTCGAACAAACACCTATCGCGTCGCAGTCTATTTCAGCAGCCATCTTCTGTAGCCTCACATCCTATTTGTTTCGTTCTTACTTTTCTTGCCGGTGCTCGTCATTCTTTCGCCAAAGAATTGGACAAGAAACAAAGTTCCATCTACAGCGTGGGCCCGACAGCCGAAATGCAATCGTCATGAGAAAAGGTCAACAAAGAAAGGCCACTATCGACGAGACACCGCAGCGACGGTTGATGAGTGGGGGGCACGCCAACAGCTGCCCTTTAGACGACCGGAAACAGGACGGGGGAAGAAACGCAGGTTGTGTATGGTTATCTCTCACCGAGGCAGCACATAGCACACAATATAATCTCGTTGTGTTTCTTCTAGTTCACTTTGCCGTTGCAATATGGCCGTCGATTATGCGTGCTCGAAATCGCGCGGGCTGTTGGTAGGTAATACAAAATGTACGACATACTTTGCGACGTTGTCGGGCCCAGATCTGCTATCCTACCTGCCCCAGTCGCGTCGCCAGTCTGTCCATTCGCAGAGCATCTGTGTACGTAATGGATACTATGCCCGCCCCGTCCCAACTACCATGACGGGGCGGTTTCGCGGCTGCAGCCGTGCCTTAAAGCAGGACGACAAAGAGGCTTGAATCAACGACAAGGTTAAGTCAACTGCGTGTTGGTTGTCGATGACGATACATTTGTTTTCTTCTGCGCGCGGGAACAACAACCTTTAAAGCATCATCCTTCATCCATGCGCCCAGGACTGGAGCTCTTGTCAGGGCTCCTTCTACTCTTCTAACCCTAAGCCAAATAGGCGTAGACAACTGCAGGGCTTGTCCCTGCTTCGCTCAACGGCCTGGGTCGCGTGTCGCTCTGTCACTTTTCTCATTGCGCACTTTTCAGGATCGAAGAGGGTCGGAAGCCAACGAAGCAAGAAGAAAAGCCAGGAGACTTTCGAGAGGCATTTCTCCTTTCATTGGGCCAAACAACTAGCGGCGCGTCGTCTACCATGCCAAGAAGGAGCCTCATGTACTCTGGTACTTTGCCAGACATGGGGACGGTGAACGGCTGAAGAAGAGAGAGGGTTAAAACAAAACAAAAAAATTGGTCGTCAAATGGCCGTCGATTTCCTTATCTCTGGAGACCTGGGAGCTGGGGAGAACGAGGACCAGTGGATTTGGGGGGCAGGCCATGCAAAGTGGGTTGTGCGACCATTGTGTCTTCGTTTATCTTTAACTTCCACGGGCCAATCACAGACTAAAGCAGCCCTCCTTTCTTAGGTGACGTCCGTCTGTTTGTTAGTCGTTTTGTTTCCAACCCTTGCTCTTTATCTCGAAAAGCATCGACAGGCAATCAAGGGTACAACCGAGGGGGAAAAAAGGGCAGAGAACAACGTATTATGCCGGGGTTTAGAGACAGGCTTCGGCCCTGCTCAACCCAAATCGTTCGAGTTTTCCGTCCTCTACCAGAGATATTGGAAACGCTGTGCATGTCGACTTGGATCACTGTTTCTCACACACAACTAACGAGATTTGTTTTCGAAATGCAGAAAACAGAAAAGCTCTGCCTTGTCGCATCGATGATTCTACAACATTACCATGAATCATGGAGACGACCTTTAGATATTTACCATTTTATCTCCTCTATTCAACACCAGCTGCCTTCTTCGGTGTGTCCATGACCTCTTTCACATCGGGGCCAAGTCATCGCACTTTGTCATCGGGGCCCAACTAAGTTGTAGAGCATCTCTGTATTTCATATGTTTATTCTTCCTTCCCGCCACTCATATCACTCCTTCATTCTTGCCTTCCCTATCTCGTTGACCACCTTGTGGCCCATCCTTGAGCCTTATCCGGCCCGGCAAGGAGCGAGGCATCCCAGGACAAGATCATGCCCATCATGTCTTCCCAGAGAGAGGTTTCGGTGGGGAACGACGGAAAGGGAAGGACGGGGCAAAGGGAAAAGCAGCAATGCCGGGCTCGAATTGTATTTTTTTTTTGATGTGTATGCCGGCATAGGTGTGCCGGAGACAGGCTCGAGAACGACAAACTCATAAAAGAACGTGCGTGGCTTTTTTTGCCATGTGTGGTGGATGTGGTGGATGAGGTGGACCTGCAGGCAATGTATCAGAAAACGGGGTAAGCTGGGCGTCCCAGCTTGATAAACGGTTTTGCGACGGTTGGTTGGTTTTTGGGTCGTACTTTCTCGCTTCTTCCCTCCTTTTCGTACTTTCCTTCCATTTTCTTAATTGGGCTGTTCCTTCCTTTTTTATCTCTCTTCATCTTCACAGCCCGTTTATGGTCCTTGGTTCCTTCCTTCCACCACTCGCTCCTTCCTCCTCCACCCTCCCCTCATTCCAGAGAAGCGCATGGTTCTTGTTCTCTGGGCTTGCCACCCTTGTCGCCTGGCTCTTGCCCGCCTTCTTTGGCCTCCTTCCATCCGGTCCTATTGTCCCCGGTTGCTCGTCGTAGATAAACGTCGACGGTCGGAGGGGGTCAAAAGACTCGACATCCCTCTCCCCTCTTTCTGCTCTCCCTCTTCTCGTCCCTTTGTTTATCATCTTTCTCCCAGTATCAAGCCAATTTGCCCATTTGCACAACTTCTTCTCTCACCCATACTCTTCAGTCCTCTCCTCAGCCATGCATCAACAGAGGATGTAGTACGTCCAATTGCCCGTGCAAAGAGAATCACAGCACTCATTCGCGCGGACAGTTTTTCTACAGCATATATTAACCTCGATCTTGTCGACGCGCCTTGATTTCAGACTGACGCACGCTCCCCCACACACATATACACAGCAACCACAATGGTGTGGTACGACGCAAACCGCATCGAGCGTACCGTTACACGCCAATTCGTATGCTCGCACCTCCTTCCCGCTGAAATCGAACGCTTGGACCGGCCGCTGGCATTTGGCGATGGCCTTACCGACGGCACATATTGGGAGTGGATCGACGAGAAGGCCAAGAAGATCTTTCTCATTCTCGTCGACCTGCACGTGCCTGACCAAATTTTCGGTGTGATAGACGACTCCTGGGACGACGAAGACCTGCCCATTGCCCGCGAGCACGTCGAACGGCTGGCGCTGACACCCAGCCGTGACGCCCGTTTCGATCGCAAGTTCCACCAGCGACAGTACTACTACCTGCTCAAGCCTCTGGAGCGCAGCGACGAGGTGGTGATTTACGACGACATGGAGGTCGTGCCGCTGGACCTGGTGGACCGCAGCCCTGGTGGCAGCGGCAGTATAGGAAGCGACGGTAGCGGTTCACCGGGCGGCGGCAGTGGGAGCGGACTCACAGGCAGCAGCAGTTCTGGGAGTGGCCTTGGTGGTGGCAGCAGCGGTTTGCCGGGTGGTGGCGACCGCGTCGCGCTGCCCAACTATCCGGGCATGGTCTTTGCTCGCCGGCGAATCCCGCTGGCGCCCATTGCCGGCTCGGCGTATGGGTACGGCTACGTCACGCTCGACGAGTTCCAATACGAGGTCACCAGCATCAAGTCCGTGCAAAACGACCACCTCGTATCATACTTTACCTCGTACGTCCACCAAGGCTACGGGTACGTTCTCTTTACGCCCGCCGGCGAGGGAAGCCTCAAGTCCCTTTTGGCAACGACTCCGGCACCTGTCAAAGCCCTTGCCAAACGTGATCGCCGCCGCCTCATCTTCAACTGGATCCACTGCCTCGTGGACACACTTTGCTTTGTGCACAACCGGGGCCTATCACACGGCAACATCAAGCCGTCGACGGTCCTCTTCAGCCACCACAACAACGACAACCACATCTTCTTTTCCGACTTTACGCACTTTGGCATGGACAGCAGCGGGTCCAGCCACGACAAAGTATCCTTTGACAAGGAGTCGTACGACTACGCGGCGCCCGAGCAGTGGTATCGGCCATCCGGGAGCAGCAGTGGAGGCAGCGGTGGTGTTGGTGTTGGTGCAATCAGTGGCAGCAGTAGTCGCAAGAGCACTCTGACGGGCGAGGGTGGTTCTGGTGGTCGCGGTGCCGGCATGAGCATGTATGCCGGCAGCGTCTACGGCAGCAGCAGCAGCCGTGACAGTGCCATCGGTAGTGGAATGACGAGCAGTCGGCACCGGCAAAACAGTGGCGAGAACGTAGGCCTGGGACTCTCCATGTCGCCCGATCAACACATGACAACTGCCTCGGGATTTGCGTTCCAGGTGGGCGCTTCGGCCAACTTCTCCATCAGCCGCAGCAACACAATGGGCGGCTGCGCCGGTGGCGGTGACGGCTACTATTCGTCATCCAACGGGAACAGTGGCTCAAATGTACCCATCCCTCAGTTGAACCCGCAGGCGGCCGATGTCTTTTCCCTCGGCTGTATCATTCTCGAGCTGCTCAGTTTCATGCTCAAGCGCCAGACACGGTCGTTTGCCACACACCGTGCCGCCAAACACAAGACTCCGGGCCGCGGTGGCGCCGTGCTTGACTCGTCCTTTCACAAAAATCTCGGCCAGGTAGAGAGCTGGATGACCGGCCTTGCGCGCGATGCCGCTTCCTCTCTTGGCAAGAAGCGGTCCATGAAGGTAGGCTCCGAGGACAGCGACGGAACACTCGCCGGTGTCGCACCCATGCTGCACGTCGTCGAGCGCATGATGGCGCTGCACGCCAGCGAACGTCCTTCGGCCTACGATGTTCAAGCGCGCATGTACCAGATCCTGCGCGACCACTGTGGGATCTCGGAACCGCACTGCGTGCATGAGTACGGCGGCTTTAATATGGGTTGGTTGGACTACACAACCTACGCCGGCGTGGATATGGGCACGATGATGGCCAACAACGCAGGCGACGTCAGTGGCAGCTACTACTCATACGGTGGTACAGCCGCAGGAAGCTATGGAGCGGGCGGGGCAGGGGACTACGGCAGCAGCTACTCACACTCACCACGCCTCATCATGTCGACCAACGGCACCAACACAACGTCCGACAGCAGCGGGGCTGTGTCACCGACGGCCATGATAGCCGTGTCGCCCACGTCCACGTCGATATTAGGTGGCGGCGGTGGCTACAGCTGGAGCAGCAACAGCGGCGCCGTCAGCCCGGCGGCCGGTCCGTCGCGTACCGGCAGCTTCAACTACGGGTACGGCAGCCTCAGCAGCAACCATCACACTGCCAACCAGCGGAGCATGAGCGGCCGACGTGCCGCTGTGCACCACGCCCGCAACGACAGCGGCTCGGGTGGAAGTGCTCGGAGTAGTGTGGCTGGCGTGGGCGGTGCCGGCGGCGGCGGCGGCGCCAGCGTGATCCTCGAGGAGAGCGAGACCGGCAGTGTGGCCAGCAGCAAAGATGGCATCAAAGACGTCAAAGACGGTGGAAAGGGCGGCGGCTTCGACCTGTCCAACGGCTTGCAGGCGATCCGAAATCTGCAAATCCGTGACAAGGTACGGCAGCCATGGAATTCGCCCGTGTATGCGGCATGAGAATGCAATGAGGAAGTGTGTGAAGTACGAATGGATATGAGGCCTCAGATCGGCAACTCTCTGGCAGGAATACTTTCTTTGGATTTATGTTCTGATATCTTGACGCGAATAGGACGGCATGGAGTTGGTGGTGATTTGACTGAATTTGGACTTACGATCTTATGCACATTTTGTCAATTGTATTTCCTATGACCCTCTTTAATCTATCAATAACAGAATGAAGCCTTTCCGACCTCGTATTCAAGTGTCAAGAAAATCGGTAAAGACAGCACACTCACATCCAAAAGATGGGACAAAATAGAAAGTGGCCTTGCCAAGAAAGCAAATCTTAAAACGAGAGGCTCCAAGCTTTTTATGCACCATGAATGAAACCCTAACTGGCCATGGGAAATGCGGAGAAAGCCAAATCAAATACGAGAATGGAATTGGAAGAGCAGCTCGGCCATCAGCACCGTGCAGGTGGCATCAATGCAGTCCCCCCTTTCCGGGCTCCGGTGTCGTTGTGAAATTAGAAAAACAAACACGAAATGCCAGGACCGTTGTTCTTCGAGTGGTGTCCCCAGTTCACAATGCACCAAAATCAACAAAACGTAACAATGATCAGCGCTCTTTGATGGATCCCCACCCACACCCCTGCTCTGCAACCCCATATTACGGAGCAGACGGTCCATTGAAGAAAGTTGAGAAGGTCATACAAAATATTACATCGTACATCGTACACCATTAGACGACGTACTCCGAACTCAGCAAGTATATCGCACAAACGACAAAGTGAATAGGACGACAACTAGATTTCTGCGGAGCAAGATGAAAGGACAGGTCGATGTGCGCACCCACGTGGGACAGCATCTTGCACAACCGGCCTGCGACATCTGTGCAGCTCTGTCTTACACTCGCTCATCAGAATTGCTCGTAACTCGGCCGTATCGACATTCCAAACGTATTTTAACCCGCATCTGCTGGCCGAGGCACGAGGCACGGCATAAACACGGCATAAAATGAGATTCTAAGCTGCGGTATAAGCCGATGATATCAAGGTGCACAATCGTCCCTCGTTTTCACCAAACGTTTTGGAGAAAACACCGCCGACAAAGCGAGGTTTGAATTATTTTCACAAAAACCCCCCCCCCCCCCAAAAAAAAAACTGACATGTTTCGTTATCAGCGGGTCTCCACCACTGTCAGACAGCGCTAAGGCAAGGTACAAGGGCTGGTTGGGTCTGAAAAAAGTTTGCGAGAGCAGCCCTCTGAAGGCGCTATGAGCGGCGTAAAAGTGGGGTCTCAAGAATAAAACAAGGTTACAAAGTAGCTTTTGTATGTTTCTACCCGCATTCGTATACTTTACATTCCAGTAGCTCGTTCATGCACAATGTAGTCATCGACATTCGGCAAGAGCGACCCAGTTTTTGTACATTGACAAACATTGCTCTGGGTAGAACCCGGTTGAAACGAAATATTTTCAGAACAAAGGCTTAGTATTCGTAAATGCCTCTCACTTCCGCTTGTATTCTTTATAGGATACCTCATTCGCCAGACCCTCTTGTCTCTGTAGCTGCATCAAAACCGGCGTACGATCTAGGCAACTGCCGCTCAAGGGACTGAGACGTGGCTGTTTGCGCCTGGCAGGAAGGAACGCCCCGACGGCAGCTGGATGTGAAGGTGACGTATATCTCCTTTCATGTTACAATGACGGGTTACCACGCCTCAAGTTTGTGTGCATGCAGGCGTTCTGGTGTACCATTACGAGTGCGATATTTGGCCCCTTTTCGATGGGCGATAAATGAGGCCCTGGCCTGGCACACTGTAAAGACTGGACGCTGTGGTCCACGCTTTGTGCTTCCTGCCAATAGCGACACCAATCAAATGCGACGGCTGCAGGGGGGGTAGCTCCTGCCTCCGTCGGCGCCAGGAAACAAAAGAAGCAGAAGAACAAATCAGAACGGCAACAGCCACTGAAGACAAGCACAAAGCCTTGGTCCTTTTGCCCCCGCGTCGCACTTTCTGTGACGTTAGTGCATCCTCAAGTGGGAAGGAGCCCCGTTCCGGTGTCTTGCCCCTTGGTCGTTTCCTTTTGTGGTCCGCGCTAGCACGACTGAGATGCTACTCAAAAACCACGAGCACACCAAATACGGAGAGAAAATCTCACAAAACAAGCGTGCCTCGCGCTTGCCCTCTTTGCTGTAGAGGTGGATCTTTCTTTGCCTGCAGCAGTGCATTCCGGTTTGTGTTGTTATGTTGTATGGCGTATTGTCTGCGTATTGTGGTTGTTTGCTCCTTCTATTCTTAGGCCTCCGTCTCCTATTTTTGCCTCCCTCTTTCCTTTTTCTGTTACTTCCCTCCTCGTCCGTTGTCTTGTTGTTTGTTGCACGCATCACCAAGTTGCAGATTGTCCGTCTTGTTCGGTACACGGGGGTTTTAAATTTGTTTGTCTGCGGCGTGCTTCAATCAGATTCTGTGCCACTCGTTGTCTTCACCCACAACCAACTTTCGACGTCTTTCGCTATTTGAGCTCTGGGCCCGGACTCAAGGACATCTTCTCGATACGCTCGTTACTCTTCACATCTTCAATTCTCTCGCTCCGATTTTTGTGCTGCTACTCAACCTCGCAATCGTTCGCCTTTCGTCACATTCGCTTCACTTTTCAACCTCCCCAGCTTCCACTCGTTTCTTTTCTGCCTTCTTCCGTCAACATGAGATTCACAACGGCGTCCGGCGCGCTTCTGGCCGCCGCTGCCACGGCCAATGCCGCCTCTTCCACGCTGGCGCCCGTCTCCGTCGTCGGCAACAAGTTCTTTAACGAGGACGGCTCCCAGTTCTTTATGAAAGGCATCGCCTACCAGCTCTCTCAGGACGACCCTCTCGTCGATGGCGACCAATGCGCCCGCGACGTGCAACTGATGAAGACACTTGGCACCAACACCATCCGAGTCTACCACGTCGATCCGACCGCCAACCATGACAGCTGCATGAGCGCCTTTGCTTCAGCTGGCATCTACACCTTGATCGACCTCGATACCTTCAACACCTACATAATGGATCCGGTATGTTGCCCCCGGCCTGCTGTTCTGCACATATACCACTTTGATTCCCATATTCTAACATTGCAGACCATGGCGGCCCCGTCCTGGAACGGGACACAGTTCGGCCAGTTTGCCGCCGTCATGGATACCTTTTCCTCCTACACGAATGTTCTCGGCTTCTTTGTCGGCAACGAAGTCATCGCCCTCACGAACCAGTCCATTGCCGCGCCGTACGTCAAGGCCGCCGCTCACGATATGAAGGCCTACCGGGACTCCAAGGGCTACCGCAAAATTCCCATTGGCTACTCGGCTGCCGACATTGCTGAGCTGCGGCCCATGCTCCAGGACTACCTCACCTGCGGCGGCAACGAGGCGGACAACATTGACTTCTTCTCCCTCAACTCTTACGAGTGGTGCGACCCTTCGACCTTCACCACATCGGGCTACGCCAACCTCGAGAAGCAAGCCCTCAATTTCCCGGTGCCCCTGTTCTTTTCCGAGACCGGGTGCAACGTCCCTGGCCCCCGCCTCTTTGAGGACCAGGCGTCCATTCTCGGCCCGGACATGGACAGCAACTGGTGCGGCGCCATTGTCTACGAGTGGATCCAGGAGGCCAACAACTACGGCCTCATTTCCTACGGCGACGGCTCTGCCTCTGACGACGCGCCGCGCAGCGGCACCCCCAAGCCCATAACCCCCGATTTTGCCAACCTCAAGAGCCAGTGGGCCACCCTCCACCCCACTGGCGTCAAGAGTGCCGATTACAACCCCAGCTCGGTGTCCACGCGTGACTGCCCGGCCTCGACTGCTGGTGGCTGGGAGATTGATGGCAATGTGCCCATCCCCACCCTCGATAGCTCCGTCATTGCTGCCGGCAGCAAGGCCAGCGGCGGCGGCGCCAGCTACACCCTCGCCACGGCCACTGCCAGCGGTGGCGCTGCTGACAAGACGTCCACCGGTTCCAGCTCCAGCACCTCGTCTGGCGCTACTAGCTCCGCCAAGAGCTCGGCTTCGTCGCTCTCGCCTAAGAGCCTGAGCGTTTTCAACCGCGAGTTCACGGTTGCTGGTGCCGCCCTGGTCGGTGTCATGATGGTCTTTACATTGTGGCTGTAAGCCGCGTGCATGAGTGGTATCGCTCTGTGTCATAGTTTTGACCATGTCTCTTTATTCTTTTGCCACTCGTCTTCATTTTGCATTGTTTTCGTTTTGTACTTTTTGACTACGTTTCTTAATATTTCTGTACATATCTTTTTTGTTTCTCATTTTCTTGTACTAGCCATACATGTGTACATATACAATACCCCGTCTATTTTCTTTCTCTTTCTTAGCATACACGATACGTTGGAAAGGGGCTGTTGGCAGCCCGACCAAGAGGAAGCATAGAACAATAGAAACAAACATATCCAATAATTGTAGCACCTGGTACCCTTTCATGCTTGTGTTCCCATTCCTGTCAGTGCTGATGTATATGAGTCCCTTTAGATTTCTAAACTGAATAATTGGGGGAAAAAAATAAATATCATGTAAAAAATTGTATCATAAATTACAAATTTAGAAAACGATAAGTGTCTTTATCATTCGGCGTGCAGAAATCAGGACCAGCCTCAAGGGTATAAATCGCATGGCCAAAGAAAATGCACAATAAAAAGTCCATCTAGGTATCATCAAATGAAACCACTCTCAAAAAACGAAATAAAGAAAACATAAAGTCTACATCCCCGGCCCCGGAATAAACAGCGAAACAATGGTCAATGACATTGACGCTAGACCGGCCCAGAGTACAGCACTCCACACAGCTCGGTTCTGCAACGCCCGCACGCCTGCATGTTGCACGGCCACTGTACGGCTGCCTAGCCCGGCACTGCTTGTCGGCCGTAGCTCAGAAATCAGGCGGCGGTAAAATGGCATCCGTCTCTGCCAGCGGGCCCATGGCTCGCTGTCAGGGTCGTTGCGTGGACCTAGGGCCTGTAAGCTAGCTTTGCGGAGAGGATCGATACGGCTGGACGTGGAACTGGTGGATGCTTGGTGACGGTGGCCACGATGGTACCGCTTCGGGCTGTTGCTACTGTGGCTGCCGCTCCGTCCCGCCATATCTTTTTCTAGATCAATCGAGTAGGTAGACATGGGAGAACGGGACTCCTCGTTGTCATCTCCGTCGACACCGTCGTCCTCGATCTCCCATGGGCGTAACAAGCGCTGACCACGAAAGTGCAGAAGCAAATCAATCTTTCGCCATGCCGCCAGTAGTACTGTCAGTGCCGGCCACCAAATGGCCAGACATGTTAGCCGGGGAAGGCTCTTGGTCAAGTCTACCATCATCCCGGAAGGCGAGGAGCTACTCTTGCCACTGCCCCCGAACAAGATCAAGATGATGTCCAAAGCCGCACCAACAAGGAACAAAACCAATGCCATGATCTGCACAAATATCAGACGTGGTGAGCCCTTGTCGATATTGCCGACACACCAGTTGCGGACAAACATGGGGAACGACTGTTCCCGGAGGGCCGACTCGGCTGCTAAGAAGGCTGGGAGAAGTGCGGATGGGTGGGTGGTGCGCTTTGCGGCTCGAAAGCAGGCATCACGCTCAGGTGGAAATAGGTCAGGGAGCGGACGGTCGCCCGTGGCGGCAATATAATGCCGAACAACACGGCCAAGCTCGTCACGGAACGGCTGCAGTGAATCAGGCTGCACCTCCTGCCAGTCCATTGGTGTTGAAGAAACACCACGAGGTAACACCATGGATGGGCTGATCTCACCAGACCTGGATGGTCCATGCCTTGGCATTGGTGCCTCGACAGCTGATATAGGTTCTGATGCCTCGGGAAGGTTTTCGAGAATCGTGAGGATATTTGTTAACTTGGCATTATCGGATCGTTGGTGGATCGAAGCTGCCACGCGTGAAGATGTGGAGAGTTGTGAGGAGACGCTAGCCATGGAGGATATAGACGCTGCCGTCGCTGTGCTGGTCACAGAGTTGGTTCGTGGTTTATACTGGCCACTTGCTCCATAGGGATAGTCCGCAAGGCCGGTGTCGATGCTGAGAGTATGCCTACCATGGCTCCGATTACTGCTCGAGCTAGGTCCTCGGCTGTGTAGAACGTGTTGTTTGCTGTTTGCAGAGACCGTTGGTGGTGGTAGATGTATCGATGCATTAGGTATTGGTACCGTATCGACAATGGATGCATTGGCAGTAGCTGTTGCTGCTTCTGCTTCTTCCTGGGCGGCTTCTGCAGCTTCTACCGGACCCCATACGGGAGCCAGCTGCCGTTGTTGCGGTGGAAGCCGACTCCAACGCTCGATATAATCACAATACCATAGAAAGAACTGTAAGTTCTCGGCACGGCGCTCCACATAGTAGAGATAGTCCATGAAGCCGTTGAGATCGCATGGCTAGGTGTTGTTAGCAAAGTTCTTATGCCAACCGATGTGAGTAAAGTGATGTCTTGTTCATACCTGCATGGACTTGTTCTGAACTGTATTTTCCAATGATATATCAAGGCTGACTTCGCGGCTGTGATTTTTCGACCTCCGCCGGTTCTGGCCTGGGGAAGCCATGGAAAAGAAAGTGGCAACGGTGGTGGTTTTTCGAAAAGATTAGGCCTATGAAGGGAAATAGTGTGATGTGCGGCAAGTTGTAGGTTTAATCAGTAGACCATTTAGAATACTTAATCTAGGGAAAAAGAAGAGGTGAGACAATAGGAAGAGAAGCGGAAGGCAAGAAAAAAAGGAAGTAAGAAGGAACCCAGGATGATCAAGAGAGGGCGCTGTCTGGTAAGTATATACACCTCTCGTATACACTACAGAAACGGAGACAAATGACTGCCAGTGTGTGGGGAGAGAGAATAGTTTGCCGGTCGGGACAGGCAGACTGATTGGCAGGTCCCAGATTTGCAAAACTGCAGCGAGGCCGAAGAACCTGTGACAGCACCAAACTTTGGAAAAGGAGATGGAGCTAGTACACAGTCGAAGCCACAAACGCGTCGAGTTTGGTCAGGCTAAAAGGATGAGCGAAACTTTGCTTTGCTTAGATAGTAAAACAAGGGAACGCGGTTTTTGTTGTCATGCCCGAGAATCGCGTGGCCACGCCTTGTGCTGTACTTGTGGCAGTTGCTGTTGATGCAGGGTCGTGATGCGAGGGCTGTGAGAAGGGGTGGACCATGGATTTAATAGGTATGATCGAAACAGGAAAGATCGCGGTCTGTCGACGTATAACAAAATCGGCGAATCACTGTACGCACTGTCGGTTTGCCTCCCGAATGCTGCGTGGGGTATGGAGGGGAGATAGGGAAGAGAGAATATGAGAAGCAAACGTATGTGCCGTCGATCGATTTGTCAACCTGAGACCAACGTCGTGCTTTGGTTCTTGCGTTTCTCGCCCAACCCCCTGGCCGAGGCCGTGCTTCGTACCCGTCCACGACCGGGGTGCAGAGGGGATGGAGCTCAGTAGCTGAAGCAGACACAAACTGTCCGGGAAGAGAAAGGAGAGGCATCGTATCGACAAGGATGATGAAAGAGGAGGGAAGCCACGCGAGACTTGTAAGGTCCGAGACACGAAGAGCCAAGAAATAAAAGGACTTCAGCGAACAGGGGGTGATAATTGTGACGATTGAGAGGGAAAGTCATGGGGGGAAGTCATGGGCTGTGCGGTGGGCCTCAGAGAATGTTGTCGAAGGGCATGGGAATGGCATGTGGTTATCGAGAAGCGGTGGTGGACGTGTGACAGATAAAAAGAAGAGGATAGGGGTACAATCTAATGCGAATTGTACTCGAAGTTGACCTCGTACGTGGATCTTGGGGTGGTGCGCAAACACAAATGGGGTGGGAAGGTGCAGGCAGGCGTGAGGCTCCGTCTGCAGGCCGGCCGGGAAGGAGGGAGGGGGATCGATGGGACCTTCATGCAGGACTTGCGTCAGGTACGGATACGACATAAAATGCCTTTTACGTGGTGACTGGTGACATAGAGCGGTCTTGCCGTTTTGCGATTTTGCGCACAGATGTTTGCCACCAGGGTGTATGGCAGAGTTCTGGAGAAGGAAGGAATTCGCAACGTTGCTTCCTTGCGTGATTCAAGATACTCTTGGGAAAGAGCGACTACGCAGTTGCCACACTGGTCCCTCGACATAGATTCTCCTCGACATAGAGTCTCAAAAACAGCAAGAGCCGGGTAACCAGGAACGGTACTGCACGATGAGGTCTGTTGTTTTCACAGCATTTATTTCCTTTCTCCCTCGCCGTCATGCCTTTCATTAATACCTTTTCTCTCTACCCAATCGCTGTCACGACACGAGTTAAGGCTGATTGCACTCCAAACGGGACTTTCCACCCGGTGAAGACGCCTGGTACACGCGTGCTAGGATGCGTTTTGGAAGTTGTTTTTATCGTGCCGCCGCAGCGTCAAACTTTCCTAGCTCCTATGTTTTCTTCTCTCTTTTCTTTTTTCTCCTCTCTTCTCTCTGTCTTCCTATACCCAATACCCTCTCTCCAACATCTACCCCCCCATGACTTGCTACCGGGGTTGTGGTCTCTCCCGCGTTGGCCGCGATGCACTGTCACGTATCCACAGTGAGGGAAGGGTAAACGGGCGTCTCCGCTACAACGTTTATTTTCGGCATGACAAAAGCACCACGCCCAGACGAGGATCACAAGAAGACTTTCCTTGCCCTAAGAGTGGGTGCAGAGGGAATTTATTGCAAGCCACAACGGTTAATCTCTTTCTGCTCTTGCGTTTCAGGTGCACTCCAGCGCATTAAGTGGCGAAGGAGAAACTCGCAGGTCCTATGGTGAGAGAGCAAAGCATGGAGCAAGACAAGGAGCATTCTCGTGCTCCATTTTCGTCGTCGACTCTGGTCAGCCATTTTCCTCATTGCTTTTGTATTTGTCTTCCCCTTTGCCAGCCTTGCGAACTGCCTAATCGGGAAACCTGTTTGATATTACAGAGGCGAACAACAACAACCCCGATGAGACACTTGGCTCTCCGGAAGTAATAATAATATCCGATATGATAGTACTTTGCCAGAATACTTGTCTATAGGCATCCACTCGTCCTCCACTACCAGGAAATGGCTGGTGTCAGTTCTTTCTTTCCCCGGTGTGGTTTGCTCGACAAGTATTGCGTCTTCCACATAATTTCGCCAAGCCGTATGAGATATGACCTATTTAGCCAGTACGAATATCACTGTCAGAACCGACAAGTCCATCAGCAAGGGTTGGTGGTCGGCCCATATATATCATATATATTTGCCATGCTCTTCTATTTTCACCACCTTCTTTGCCCAGGTGCGTGGGAAGTCGCCGTTTGAGACGTAGATCACCCCTTCGTCCTAGACTTCCGTCGTGCTGCGCCGCTCTCACGTTTGACACTGCTTAATATGTTTGTGAGCGCCTAGAGAAACGAGAGAGACGGGAGGACTACAGAGTATCACTGTTCTTCGGGTTTGGGCGCCACAAGGCGAGCGCCTGGCCAGTCGGGTCACAGAGATCGACAAGTTGTCACCCATCCTGGGCTTTCGCACTGTCATTGTCAAGCACCCGTATCTCTTCGTATCCTTCTCGGTTGGTCAGATCCGGGACAAGGAAAGGTAAAGTCTCAAGGGATCTTAAGAATGGGTCCTGGCAATCGAAGAGGAAGTATACGACAAAAGAGCGAATCACCCAAAAGTGAGGCATTTCAACAGGAACCAGTCGACTCCACGTCAAATGACTCGTGAGACGCCATAGTGAAACTGCAAACAGCTTGGTGGTGTCCTCCACTTCTCAGACTTGTATAACGACTATGCTTTTGCCACTTGCTGCCGTAGTTCCGTCTCCCTACGTCTTCAGCAGCAAAACCCCGAAATGGGATAGAGCACAACATTTTCCTGGTCTAAGAAATGGCGGCTGAGACCGACCAGGAAACGTCATCGACTCACGATTCAAAAGCCAAGCGACATTTGTTGTACTCGATATGTGGGCTGGTCTCTTGGAGACGTCCCCTGCAGTCCTGTTTTCTGGGACCTTGTTTCAGGCGGCTTCATGCGCCGTGGGATGTCAGGAGATCGCCACGTCAAAATAGACTTGAATCGAGGAAAAGAACAGCCTCCGGAAAGGCTGGCTCTCAACTTCCTTGCAGACACGGAAAGTCACCTCACGGACCATGCTGCCGTCGCCCGAAAATATGGCTACGACCCGCGACGCGCTTTAGAGTTGTGGCGACGACGGCAGCCATTCGTTTTCTTGTCGCGGTGCGGCAAAATGTACTGAAACTAAGTAAAAGAGCGTGGCGCCAAAAAAACGCCCCCCCCCCCCCCCCCCCCCCCCCCAACCCTCCCGGAAAGACCTCAATTCAACACCCCGTGATGGCCAGCTGCTGTCGCGTGCCTGCCACACGAAACACAGGTGTCGTTATCCCCATACAGGTTCCAGCTGTGGCGGATTGGTGGGAGCACGTTCCTCATACCAAGCTGGGCCGACTCTCCCAAGTACCTTGAATTATGGGTCTCGTGGAAATTGTGGGGCTCTGGCCAGCGAGGATCCCAGCCCCTGGTAAACCGCCCCGTCAATTTACTAGGCACGATCTGGCTGCTAAGCAAAGCAACGACCAACGGCAATCGAAACACATCCTCATGGACGAGCTCGGTACAGCACGAGGCGGCACTTGACAGGAAGGCTGGACTCGAAACAATCGAGCGACTGAAACAATACGATATAGACACGGCCAGGTGTATTGGGCTCGGAGTCGCCCGGGCTCTCTTTGTGCTTGCGCTCTCTCGGATTGCTTTTCGCGCCTGCATGGCGAGGGCTCGTCGGCTTGAGGAGGACAACTGGAGCGACGACCACGAGGACATCGAATTCAGCATCAGAGGGGACCGCAGCTCCGAAGACAATATGGCACTGCGCGCCGACGAGCAGCCGCTGCTCCATGGCGACGGCGAGGACGGTGGCTTGCTCGGGGGCAACACCGTCGCCCGCGACGACATTGATGGGCTGCCAAAAGACCCCGTTGATCGCGAAGAAGGCGGTGCGGCCACAGCGGGCCTCTTCATCTGGCTGCTGACGCTCTCGGCTGGGCTCAGCGGGCTTCTCTTTGGGTACGACACAGGTGTCATCTCGGCCACGCTCGTGTCGATCGGCACCGCGCTTTCGGGCCGCGACCTGACGTCGTTTGACAAGTCCATCATCACGTCGTCCACTGCGCTCTTCGCTCTTGGCGCCTCGCCCCTCTCATCGGTGCTGGCCGACACGCGCGGCCGCCGACACGTCATCTTTGCGGCCGACGCGCTGTTTGTTGTCGGCGCGCTGGTCCAGGCCGCAAGCAGCTCCGTTCCCGTCATGGTCGTCGGGCGTTCGGTGGTGGGTGCTGCCGTTGGCGCGGCTAGTTTTGTTGTGCCTCTGTATATAGCCGAGGCGGCGCCGGCGGCCCATCGCGGCCGTCTCATCACGGTCAATGTGCTGTTTATCACGCTGGGCCAAGTGATTGCCTATGTGCTGGGCTGGTTGTTGGCGGCGTACGCAGACCCGCGTACGGCGTGGCGCTGGATGGTGGGACTGGGGGCGGTGCCCGCGCTGCTCCAGGCAGTTCTGGTGCTTTTGATGCCCGAGTCGCCGCGGTGGCTGGTCAAGGCCGGGCGCACGGCCGAGGCACGGGCAGTGATTGGTCGTGTCCACGGTGGCCACGGAAGTGCGGCTGCAACGGCTGCCGCATCGTCCATTGTCAAAACCATTGAGACGGAAGTGCGCGCCGAGGCCGAAGCCCGGCGAGCGCGCAAGCAAGCACGACGCGTACCGACGACGGCCGGCGAACGCGAACCATGGCGCTTTATGCCCCGCTGGCTGCGCGCCGACGGCGACACATGGGCAGCTCTGCTTGGCGTGCGCCGCAATCGGCGGGCGCTGGCCATTGCGTGTCTGCTGCTGGGCCTGCAGCAGCTCTGCGGTTTCAACTCGCTCATGTACTTCTCTGCAACCATCTTTACGCTTGTCGGCTTCGACCAGCCAACGCTCACAGCGCTCACGGTGGCCGCCACCAACTTTGTGTTTACAGTGGCGGCGTTGTTGCTGGTCGACCGCATCGGCCGCCGACGCGTGCTGCTGTACTCGATCCCGCTTATGGCCCTGGGTCTGCTGCTGGCCGCCTACGGTTTCTCTCGTCTAGATTTGTCCGTGGGCGACACCAGCAAAGGCAGCACACCGCCCCCGTCTTCGTCGGCTGCCTCTGTCGTCCTGGTCAGCATTGTGCTGTACGTCGCTGCCTACGCAATTGGGCTGGGAAACGTCCCCTGGATGCAGAGCGAGCTGTTTGCGCTCGACGTGCGATCGCTCGGCAGCGGACTGGCTACGGCCACGAACTGGCTGGCTAACTTTGTTATTGGCTTGACCTTTTTGCCGCTCATGGACGCGCTCACGCCCTCATGGACGTTTGTCCTGTACGCGGCCGTCTGCCTCGTCGGCTTTTCGCTGGTCCGCGTCTGCTACCCGGAGACGAGCGGCCTTAGCCTCGAGGCGGCGGCGAGCTTGCTGGATGCGGATGACTGGGGCGTCGGTCGGCGGCGACGCTCACGGGCGTGAGTTGTACTGGGTTTGGTGTCTGCGGAGTATTACTCCATGTATAATGGAAAGCACATCGATTGGCATTTTCGTCTTTTTGAATACCGTTGTCCCAGAACAAGGCTGTATTAACGTCACTCTTACGCATCAGTCAGGTAGGGCTAAAATAGTGCTTTTCTCCCCTACAACTTCTTGTATTATCCCACCTAGAACACACCTATGTTCACCCGTCTCAATTTTAACAGTGTTCCTCGGTTCCTAGAAACCGAGATGAGAAGCATAAAAATAGTAAATAAAAGGATCATAAGGCGGTAACGCTTTGAAGACACGTGGGCCGACGGGTTATCCGCAGAATGGGCTCAGTGGAGTGTTGGATTTTTCAGCAAGGGATTCGGACATTACAACTGCCTAGACCAATTCGCTCAGCCTACCTGCCTGCGTCTGCAGCGTGATGTCACTCGCCAAAGGACGCACAGTGTCGGCGGCCTGGCCCCAAAACACCGAAACGCCCAAGCGCCTCTGAGCTTGGCCACCTCGGCCCACGGAAGTTGTTGGAGGAGGCGAGGCTTCCCCAAAAGCAGTTAGCCAGAGCTTAAAGCACTGAGTTTAAAAAAATAAAAAAAATAGAAAGCGATAACGACGGAAATGTGGAAATGGGCCTTTTCAGCTTTGTGGTTCCATCACAGGTTGGTTTCCCTTGGCAGGCTCGTGTTCCTGAGTCAACTGACACGAGCTGGTTAAACACGATCTTCGATGTTTACAATTACTGTCGTACTTACTGGTTCAATCGCAGACGTCTGAAGACGGGTTTCGCTTAAAACAATTCGTTGACTAGAAGAGGACGGCAAGGTGTTCGGGATTGCAAATACAGACCGGGAAGATGTTTCGAAGGAAGATGCTGTGCAATAAAACACGCGGCAGCCTAGCACCGTCGCCCATGAGGCGAGACAAGCGGCGAGAGTGGCACGGCACCTGGGTGTTGAGAGCGCCGATATGGAACAAAACCGAGAAAGTGAACAAGTAAGATATTGTGGACTTAAGGTGGTCGAGGGTGGATCGGGGTCGGCTTTTTGAAATTTAGGAGGTGGAGTGTTTACAGATATCCGCTCCCACGGATAGTGGGCACGAACGACCATCGCAGAGAAGTCACAGGATGGGGAACCGCCGAAGCAGCAAAACAACAAAACAAATCTTGAGAGGGCAGCTCCAGCGTCTGCCAAAGAGCGAATGCGAAAAGTATATCGTACACACCCGGCCGTCGTATATCCAACAAGAGAATGTATGACATACAGTGTGCCATTGAGTGACGTGACTCGAACACACTCCTCTCCTGCGTCATCGTCGGAAACGATAGACAGAAGCTGCTCTAAATTTGACGTCGACGGCGACAAGGCGACGCCTGGCATGCGTCGTATTGATAATCACGCTCAGGCGGCTCGGGCGGTCTCTAAATATGACCCATGCCCGAGCTCAAATGGACCTTTGAGCGGACGCCCGAAGATCATGAACAGCAGCCGGATTTAGCATTCACGCGGAATACACGGGACGTGAATGGAAACTGGAAACAGGTCGGCTCATGGTGGTTTACATATTTTACACTTTGAGCGTCTTTGATATACGACGACGACAGCAAGAGGATTTGGTGGCTGTGTCAGCGGCCTTCGACGGACCCGGCTGCCCGCTGCAGTCTAGCTCCCGGACAGGGGACAGGGGGGCGCGTCAGTGGAGTCATCCTGGCGCAGGACAGCCCGAAAGCACGAAAGCGCGAGCTTGTTTTGTCATCTACTACGAAACGACACTCTACAAAAAAAAAAAAAAAAAAAATACACATACCGACAGCTTGAGTGGGGCAATTGCCGCCGCTGACTGGAAGTTCGGTGCGACGGAGCATTACTCGAGCACTAAGAAGGCGCGACCGACGATGCCCAGCACCATCACAGGAAACGCCAATCGATGCAATTGTCGCGTGGAAGGCAGCAGCAGGATGGCCAGCACAGTGAAGACGGTGAAAAAACGAGTTGAAGATGGAAAGATATGAAAAGAACTGAGACAGACCCGGCACAGTAAATGATCAGGGCCCATAGACAGAGATGGGGGGAGAGGGCATGAACAGCACACCGTCGCGGATGGGTCGCCACCGAACTAATGGGCACGCAAATGTCCGGCAGGTGCGTTCGAGCCTCTATCACGTAACGGAAGGAACAAGTGCCAGGAGAAATAGGAAGAAGCAAATCCATCGTACTTGGCCTACCCTGCTGAAAAAGCATCGGGCCACCACTGTCGGTAGTTCTTTCTCAAGGTGGCCAGGCCGTGTTCTGCACCCTTTCTGTTTTGGCGCTGGCCCCTCATTTGTTTTCTTCCCTTCCTCTTGAGGCGTTCGTACTTAATGTCCCGCTTTCCCGTTTTCCATTTTCATATCCATGTAAATCTCCCCTCTTCTGTTCATCGATCCAATTCCATCACTTGTTGTCGCTTTGTCCTCTCGACAGTCCTGCCACACGTAGGTTGCTCTTGTTTACATACTTTAAAACGCCGAGACCCGAATTCCAGAGGAAATTAAGTGCCCGCTGGCCAAACCCACCCAATTCCCCTTATTCTTTTTCGCTATCCGTCTCCTTTTGGAAAGCAATTGTGCCATTGTTTTGGCTTGTCCTTTTCGAGCTCTTTGTTTCCCTCTTTTCTCGATTTCTGCTCGATTTGTCTTCGATTTCGATCTCGAGAAGACAAGGGCATTGTCTGACACCCGTGGCGCCGTCATACCATCGTCCGCCCCCCAAAATCCCACAGCTACTCGCGCATCTACGTCATCGCCGACCCCGAATCACAACAGCCCATTGGTAAGTATTGCACAGCGGCCGTCGACTGCCATCCACAGCCATGGCCAACATCGACGACGATTTTATCGCCGCCGAGGAGGACGCCTCCCCCAGAATGTTCCCCGAAAGGCGGCGCTCCAGCGTCGCGCGCCACCGCGACGACCTTGAGCGTATCCCGACCGCCACGTCCTCTTCGTCGTCGTCTGTCAGCGACAATGTCGCCGCCCGCCAGCGTTCGGCTGCTGGCCCTTCGGGCCTCGACCGCACCCGCAGCGAGCTCGAGATTGAGCGCCAGCAAACCCAGTTGCAACGCATCCAGACCGCGAGGAGTCAGCACAGCGGCACCGTGGGCCGCAGCCTCACAAGCCGCCGCTCCCAGAAGCCCCTGCCGGCTTTCGGCGAGGGCAAGCCCTATCCGCCGCCGATGCCCGACCAGGAGCAGTACGTCGTCGAGTTTGATGGGCCGGATGACCCGCTGCACGCGCAGAACTGGCCGATCAAGAAAAAGTAAGTGCTCTACGGCATACCCGCTTTTAGCATTTCTTGGCCATTGCTGACTGACACTTTGTCTCCTAGGGTTTTCACTGGTGCCTTTTTGGGATTTACGACAATGACGTCCGCCTTTGCCTCGTCCATTTTCTCCGCTGCCACAGGAGCTGTTGCGAGGGAGTTTGGCGTGTCGACCGAGGTCGGTATTTTGGGTGTGTCCTTCTACGTCCTGGGTTTCGCCTTTGGTCCCACCCTCTGGGCGCCTCTTTCTGAGCTCAAGGGCCGTCGTCTGCCCGTCAACATCTCCATGTTCGGTTTTATGGTCTTCTCGTTCGCCGTCGCCACCGCAAAGGATCTTCAAACGGTGCTTATCTGCCGCTTCTTTGCTGGTTTCTTCGGTGCTTGCCCGCTGGCCGTCGTCGCCGCTATTTTTTCTGACATGTTCGACAACCGGACGCGAGGTATTGCCATCACGATCTTCTCGATTGCTGTCTTTGCTGGTCCTCTGCTTGGCCCCTTCATTGGTGGCTTTATTACGCAGTCGTACTTGGGCTGGCGCTGGACCATGTATCTTGCCGGCATCATGGGCGCTACTTGCTTCTGCCTGAACATCTTCTTTCTCGAGGAGACCTACCCGCCCGCGATTCTGGTCCAGAAGGCTGCTGACCTGCGCCGCCGCACCAAGAACTGGGGCATCCACGCCCGCCAGGAAGAGATCGAGATTGACTTCCGCGAACTGATCAACAAGAACTTTTCGCGCCCCATGCGGCTGCTGTTTGGCGAGCCCATTGTCCTGCTGCTGTCCCTCTACATGTCCTTTGTGTACGGAATCCTGTACTTGTTCCTGACGGCCTATCCCTTTGTCTTCCAAGGCGTGCATCACTTCTCGCCGGGTGTTGGCGGTCTGCCCTTCTTCGGCATGATCGTCGGCCAGGTGATTGCTGGCATCACCATGATTCTGCAGCAGCCGTGGTACAACCGCAAACTCAAGGCCAACAACAACGTTCCCATCCCTGAGTGGCGTCTGCCTTCTGTCGTTGCCGGCGGCGTTGCTTTTACCGCTGGCATCTTCTGGTTTGGCTGGTCGGGCTACCGCAAGGACATTCACTGGATCGTCCCCAGCTTGTCTGGCATCCTTACTGGTTTCGGTCTGATGTCTATCTTCCTGCAGTCCCTCAACTACCTGATCGATGCGTACCTCATGTTCGCCGCCTCCGCCATTGCCGGCAACACGTTTATGCGCTCCCTGTTTGGCGCTGGTTTCCCGCTCTTCGCTACCTACATGTTTAATGGCCTCGGCATCCAGTGGGCTAGTACGCTGCTCGGTAGCGTCGGCGCCGTGCTCATTCCGATCCCCGTTGTATTCCTGATCTACGGCCACCGGATTCGCAAGCACAGCCGCTTTGCGCCTACCCCTCCGCCCCACGCAGCCGCTCCTGCAGCCGCCGCCGAAGACGAGGCCGACGGTGAGGGCAGTGCCAGCGCGGCTGGCAACGTCGAGAAGGATGGTGTGCCCATTGGCGACGCACCGCGCAACGACGTTGAGGCCGCCGCCGCCAACACCAAGAACAAGGCTCTGTAGGGCAGCACCTTTGTGTTGGATGGTGGCTACATCAAAGATGTTGCTATTTCTTTGGCTTAATACTTAATTTGTTCTTGTGGACACGCGCCACTGTGCGACACCGTGTGCACTGCACAGCTTTCTTTTTTTTAACTCTGGTTCTTTTGTTTCTTGTCGATTCTGGACTTCTGGGTATGGTGCTTTTTGGGTTGCATAGAATGGGATTGGATGATACCTTGTGCCTTTTTTGGTCTTTTTTGGACATTCCTTTGGCTTTGAATAATATATTATAATATTCTATCGAAACCGCCCAAGACCACGCAAAAGACGTCCGCGATTGTGATACACATGATGCCATGCGTCGTGGTAATAGCACATACTGCTCGTTGCGTTCCGTCCGACTCTACAGAGTTGGTATCTCGAGGCGGGCCGAACAGAGCGGCGGCCGCGTACCAACACAACCCTCAACAAGTCAACGGCCGAATGGATCAGCCCAAAGCGAGGCCCAGCGTCGATGCTCTGACCTGGACACGACACGGTGTTGGCATCATTGTTGCAGACGCTTGGCTCACTTTCCCACACGCAACATCCGTTCAAGCACGGCGTCCTCTGATCCTTTCGCCATTCTCAACTTCGATTCAACGACGCTCCACCGCCTCGCTGCGGCAGTCAAGCCGCCTGTCATTTTACCTTAAGAACACAGCAGCCTTATTTAGCACTATTTTATGTTGTCCAGTTTGGTTTTGCATTTGCGGACGGTTTCCTAGCGGAGGATTCCCGTCTATCATAAGTGCCACTGGGACAGGATAAAGCGCAACAGTGCAGTCATTATTGAGCAAAAAAGAGGGTCCTATGGCCACACTTGGAAGCCGAACCCGTCCAAGCATGACTCGTTCCCAACCGTCAACCTTTTGTTTGCCGTTTCGTTGTCAACAACGATCGCCGGGGAGAGCTCTCCCCTAAGTCAGGATTGAAAAGTGCTCGGCCAAGAAATGCCTTCATGCGCGGAATTATGGCAGGCTTCGATGCCAATTGGTCTTTGGCGATTCGTCCACGGTTGTTTCGGTCACGCCCAACAAATAACCCAACCATTTTGACAGCTGCCTGTGCCCCGTGTTATCTTGTTGGTGTTCGAACGGCGAATATATCTGCACACCTCACAATACAATAAGACGGGTCCATGGAGAAACTCCGCATCTTCAATTTATTCACAAACAGGGAATATCGCCGGCGAAACGCTGGGGTCCCCCCAAGTCATTAAAGACGCTATATTTGTCATCCAGTAGCTAGACTCTGCAAACATGTGGAAACAATTTGCTTCTGGCCTTGCTCGGCTATCCACAGGTTTCGTGTCGTTTTGCACAGCGTCTTGTGGCGCCTCCTTGTGCATCGTGCCGCACTGTGTTCTGTGCTGTGGTTGACAAAGTGATTGCTTGGAATTGAGACCTGTTGGCTGGGGCTTCTCTCGGTCTCTCTCTTGTAGTTGTCTGTTTTGTATTTTAATATTTGGCCCGTGGAACTTCCAGAGGCGCGGCCATGGTTTTCGCCTTGCTTTTTAGGATAAAAACAGGAGGCAGACTCGGTGTGGCCAGGTTTGCGGATACTAAAACCCGTTATTTGTGTCTTTTAACATGCGTTTCCCCTCCCTTTGCTGGTTGTTGACCTCCGATCTACAAGGCTTTGCTCTTCACTTATAAACAGCAAGGTCACGGAAAGCAACACTATATTAAGAGCGCAGCCATCTCTCTTTATTTTCACCTGCCGGGTACTTCGTACACACACTCTACTATTCCAACTTATGGAACCGAGACCAGGATCGACATTCGGATATTAGCGGCCGTCTGCTTTCTACTGTCTCTATTTTTATTTTTGCGAAACGTTTGAGTCACCGTTTTGCTGTTCCATAAAACCCAGATTCCAACACAAATCTGGTTCATTGCATCTCGTTTCGACGATCTTGTTGTGTCTTCTCGTTTACATCCACAAGCCATTCGCCACAAACACCACGAGATATAACTAGATACAGCAAGAACCATGACCGACACGACCGAGAAGCCTCGCCTGATCGAGCTCCTCCCGGACTGGCATCCCATTGCCAAAATGCACAAGCGGGCCAAAGCCGCCAAAGACACCACCTCTACGGAGCCCACACCGCCCAGCGCCACCTACCGCGGCGGCTGCCACTGCGGCGCCATCAGCTTCGACGTCACGCTGTCGCCGCCCCTCGAACCGATTCCTGGATCCGGCGAGCCGGGCCACACCGTCGTCAGCTGCAGCTGCTCCGTGTGCCGCCGGTTCGGCTACCTGCTGGTGTATCCGTCCAAAGGCGACGTGGTGTTCAACAACAGAGGCGGTGGTCAGGCGCGGTGCAAGACGTACCAGTTCAACCGCAAGCTGCAGGACCACCTGTTCTGCAAGAACTGCGGCTCAAGCGTCATGATTGACTTTTTGGAACGGTTCGGGCCGGACTGGCATGGGTACGGCATCAATGTGCGGTCGCTGTACAACGTGGACCTGGACGCGCTCAACGTGCTCAAGGTGGACGGCACGAACGGCGTGGCTCCAGCGGGCGACCTGTCCGGACAGTGGTATGTGGAGTCGGACACAGAAGAGTAGAGGGCAAGGTTGGAAGGGAAGAAGAAGGAAAGGGAGCAGATTGGTAGGTTTTGGAAAATGCAGCGTGTGAGCGGAGAAGACGTTGGTAGATGTGAAGCAATTTATCGGTTGGTTCACTACTCCATGACTCTTCAAGAGAAATATATATATGGCAAAGAAATACGATATGGAAATGACGATTATGTCTCCTCTATGGGGATGTCTGCTTTTATGTGCCTCCTCTATCAGTCTCTGTCTCTTTCTTCCATTCGTTTTATGCATCCCTTATGGCGCCGCTCTGTTGTTCTTTTGTTGCCGCCGCGCATACAGCTGCTCGGCCGACGTGATGCAGTGCATGTTGGCGCCCAGCTTGTTCATCGTCTCCACCCACTCGTCGTACTCGTCGCTGTCAAATACAATGCCGCCGCCCGCCTGCAGATAGGCAACGCCGTCCACCACCACCATCGTGCGCAGCGCGATGCACGTGTCCATGGCGCCGTCCACCGTGGTCACCCCGTCTGCCGCCACGCCATTGTATCCGAAATAGCCCACCGCGCCCGCGTACACGCCGCGCTTCTCGCCCTCCAGCTCCGCAATCAGCTCCATCGCCCGCACCTTGGGCGCGCCCGACACCGTGCCCGCCGGGAAGATGGATCGGAAGGCGTCGAACCGCGTGCACTCCGGCCGCAGCACGCCCGACACCTGCGACACCAGGTGCTGCACGTGCGAGAACTTCTCGACCACCATGAGCCGGTCGACGCGCGTCTCGCGCGGGTCGCATACCCGTGTGACATCGTTGCGCGCCAGGTCGCACAGCATGACGTGCTCGGCGCGGTCCTTGAGCGACGACCGCAGCTCCTCGGCCAGCGCCTCGTCCTCCTCGGCCGTCTTGCCGCGCTTGACGGTGCCGGCAATGGGGTGCGTGATGATGCGGCCCCCCTCGGACTTGACGAGCAGCTCGGGCGACGCGCCGACAATCTGGAAGCGGCCGCCGCAGTTGACGTAAAACAAGTAGGGCGACGGGTTGACGGTGCGCAGGTGGCGGTAAATGTTGAACGGGTGCAGGTCTGTCGGGCGCGCAAAACGCTGCGAAGGCACCGCTTGGATGATGTCGCCCTTGACAATGTGCTTCTTGAGCTCCGCCACGTGGTTCATGTAGCCCTCCTGGCCAACATTGGACTTGTACTCGCGGCCGAGCTCGACAAACTTTTGCTCGGGCAGCGGCGTCTCGGGCCCGTTGAGCACACCGATGAGCGTGTCGATCACATCGGTCGCGCGGCGGTACTCGGCCTCAATGGCGGCATCGTCGTACGTCTCGCCCTCGCCCTCGCCCGCGGGCTCAATGTTGAGGTAGGTGATGACCTTGATGATGCCGAAGAAGCGGTCAAACGCCACAATCGTGTCGTAGAAGCAGAACTGAGACTCGGGGATCTGGAGCACATCCGTCATCTCACGTGCTGTCTTGGGCTCGAACTGTGGGGCAGATCGTTAGCACACGGTACACAGCATCAAATGATTCCACACCACAGAGAAGGGAGGGGTGTTCCGCATACATATCGCACACAGTCGTAGGACACGTAGCCAACGGCACCGCCAGCCAGCGGCGGCAGCTGCACGCCGGGCACATGCGCCACAGAGAAGCGTGCCAGCTCGGCCTCGAGCGCCGGCAGCGGGTCGGCGGCCTCGCCGAAGCCGGGGCCCGTCTCAATCACCTTGCGCGGCCCTGCGGCCACAAAACTGTAGCGGCCGACCCGCTCGGTGGCGGCACTCTCAAACAGGCACGAATACTCGGACTTGTAGTGCTCCGACACTTTGAGATACGCGGCCGACGGCGTGATCAAGTCCGACGAGATTTGGCCGTACACTGGCACCAGGTTGGGCCGGCGGTACGACGAGGCGCTGCCCTTGGCGGCCTCAGCCTTGGCTGTCTCAAGGACGCCGGCCACCACTGACTTCACCGTCTCGAGGGACGGCACGATAACGTCCTATGAGGGTCAGTATGCGAGCGGGAACGAGTGAACGGGGGCGGAGGTCGACATGAGGACATACAGGACCGTCCATGGCTGACATGGCACGGGACACAAATCAACAGCCGCTATGAGATGTGGAGGAGAGCAGATGAAGCGGTGCGATGTGTCTTTTGTTCGGTTCGACGGCTAGTTTATGAGCTGCGTTGTCTACAAGTATGAGAGGGGAAACGGCGAGGAGGGTGAGCGTGGCGGAATCATATGCGACGTTTGGCGGCTGCGATGTGCGGTTAGTTGCGTGAGTCAAAGGCACTGGCGAGGATTGTGTTGCGCCGCCCGCGTATAAGAATATCTCTCGTCTGCCTTGTCGGCCGTCCTTACCTTGCCTGTTTCTTTTGCACCGCTCTTTCCTTTATTATTTTGCTATGTGTTTCATTTCTCTATACGAAGCAATACGGGGCAGTTGCTACCACAGTTGCGCTTTCCCAATTGACGTTTTGCAAAAAGTCGTTGGCTCTTGCTGTGGTGTTCGCCCAAGTTCTTGAAAGCTCCTTCCCCCAGAGTCATTTGCGGGACTGGACCTGCATTTTTTTTCCACGCCAGCAAAAACACGACGGAGAGATTCCAAACCGCCCATTTTACCTTCTAATCGCCTCTCAGTTGGCTACAAAACGGGCCACTAGACAGCATATAACGGGCACAGTTGAGCCCCACATCTGGCGCCTTCCAGAGAAACGCCGGCCAAAACGGGACTAGTGCTATCTGTGCACCGATCGCTTACAAGGATACGGAGAACTGGCTCCGTCTCAGCGTACGCCGTTTTGATGTATGTCAAGTTTGCCTTCCCTTTTCCTTCCTTTTCTATTCTTCTTTGCCATTGATACTTCTGCTCTTGTCTGTCATTTTTGCAATTTTGTATGAGAGTATCTTTGGTCTCTACATAAGTCTATGGTTAAAGCAAAGGTTGACCGTACACGAGGAAAATACAAGGAGAAAATCAACAAGGACGCACTTACTTGCTTCAAACGCCTTCCTTTTTCCTTTTTTTTTTCTGTCCCCCTCTTCCGCTATATCAAACTGTCCTTCTCACCTACACTCCCCTACACCGAGCCAAACTTCTCCAGGTACGAGTCGTGCAGCTTCTTCTGGCGGTCCCACTCCTTCTTCAACCGCTTCTGTTGCGTCTTGGGAACGTCGCCGCCGTCGGCCAGCTTTGTCGGCAGACCGTCGGCGTCCCAGGCGCCAAACTCAGCCGTGTTGTCGCGAAACAGCTCCTGCGGCGGCACTTTGGCCTTGGCCCACTTCTCCTCTTCGGCTTTTTCGCGCGCCCGGGCGGCCTCCTCTTTGAGCCGCGCCTTCTCGGCAGCAGCAGCGGCCTTCTCCTCTCGCGCCGCCACCAGCTTGGCCACGGGCACAAACTTGATCAGGCTCGGACGATCCGGCTGGTCGTCCAGCTGCACGCCGAGCTCGACGAGGTCGTAGTCGCGGATGCGGTCGCTGAGCGCCAGAATCGAGCCCTTCTTGTCCTTGTTGTGCGGGTTGGCGGCCGTGCGGCGCAGCTCGTCGCGCAGGCTGGACACGGCACGTAGGAACGGCAGCGCCAGGCGCTCAATATCAAACTGACCGGAGGCAGCCGACTCCTTCTCGAGAACAGCAAACTCCGCATCCGGCCGCAGCTCCGACAGTAGCGTGCTGAGCGCTGCCTCCGTGGTCAGACCCAGCGCTGCAACGTCGCCCTTGACTTTGGCGAACACGCCGCTGTACGGCTGCACGGCCACCTTGGGGTCGACAACACCGCCACCGGCCGCCTTGGACGTCGGGTTGGCGGGGCCCCAGCCAAGACTGGATTCGTAGGGCGGCTGTGCGTTGGGGTCGAGGCCAAAGACGCCGACAATCTTGGTCACCCAACGGGCAACGGCCTCAATAGTCGCAAAGTCCGCGCTGGGTTCGCTCATGGAGACATTGGCGTTGCGGACGAGGCGCAGGATCACTTGCAATGCGCCGGGTGTGTCAAACGAGCTGCGGAGTGCCGCATCGAGGTCGACCTTGGCCTGCTCGAACTCGGCAGCCAGGCCACCGCTGCTGCTCGCGGCTGCCGTGCCCTCGGCCTCGCCCAGCGACACCTTCTGGATGCCGCTGACAACACCAGCCTCGGCCAACCGCGCCTTGACGTTTGTGAAGAAGTTCTGTTACGTGAGCATGGGGTCCGGTCCGGGGAGGGGGACGGGGAGAATGAAACTTACGTCGAGCGTGTTTTCAAAACTGCTGGCCTGCTTGCGCATGTCGGGGGAAATCTCCAGACCGTCGTTCCAGCGGCTCAGCATGAAGACGATGCGCATGCTGCGTGCCGTGTAGCCTGTGGCGAGCGCATCCTGGATCGTCTGGAAGTTCTTGAGCGACTTGGACATTTTGGAGCCCGCAATCGACAGGTGGCCCATGTGGAAAAAGTACCGCACCCAGCTGTGCTCGCCGGCGCCCGGACGGTGGAAGAAGGCCTCGCTCTGCGCCAGCTCGTTGTCGTGGTGCGGGAAGGCCAGGTCAATGCCGCCCGAATGGATGTCCATCTGCTCGCCCAGCTTGTCCGACGCCATGACCGAGCACTCAATATGCCAGCCGGGGCGACCGTTGCCCCACGGACTCGGCCAGTACGGCTCGCCGGGCTTCGACTTCTTCCACAGCGCAAAGTCGCCCGGCCGGCGCTTGCCCGCCAAGCTCTTGGAGAGCGAGCCCTCGCCCTCTTCCTGCAGGGCCTTGTCGTTTTTGCTCTCGGGCCGCAGGCGCGCATAGGTGTTGCCGGCCTTTTCAAAGGCATCAATGTCAAAGTAAACGGACGCATTGGCCTCGTATGCAAAGCCCTTGGCAAGGATGCCCTCGATAAACGTCACAATCTGTGGCACGTACTCGGTGACGCGCGTGATGGCGTCGGGTGGCAGCACGTTGAGTGCATCCATGTCGTCCGTAAACAGCTGCTCCATCTGCTTCGTCAGGTCGGTAAACATGGTCTGGTCGCTGGTGTCAATGGTCTCCTTGTAGAGCGAGTCGAGGTACGGCAGCAAAATCTCCTCGGCATCGTCAAAGACGCTGCCCGTCTGCAGGCCGCGCGCGGCCGCGTCCATGTTGGCAATGTGCATCTTGGTCTTGGCCTCGGCGTCGCCCGGCTTGTCGCCCAGGGTCGTGGCCAGCGTGCCACCCGCCAGGACGCCGCCGTAGGCCGCATCGCGGCGCGCCACGTAATTTGTCTCGTCCAGAGGTGAGCTGTTGTCACCCAGGAGCAGCGGCAAATTGGCGGTGGCATAGGACGAGAACGCAGCAGTGGCCAGGGCGTGGCGTTCGGCAGGGCCGTAAGGCTTCTGGCGCTCGAGGTCGTAGAGGCGCTTGCGGCGGGCCTTGATGATGATCTTGTCGTCGACGTCCGTGATGTTCATGACGAAGTTGACCTTGAGGTCAAAGTAGTGCATCAGGATGCGGCGGATGACGTCGGTGGACACATAGTTGCGCGCATGGCCCATGTGGCTCAGGTCGTAGACGGTGGGGCCGCACGAGTACCAAGACACGGAGCCGTCCTCCTTGGTAACAAAGGGCACAGCGGCACCGGGCTTGAGCGAATTGTAGACGGCAATGCCGCCCGCCGAGGGCGACACAGAGGAGGCGGCTGTGGACATTGCGGAGTTGAAAGAGGCGGAGGGCAGGGAGGTGGTCGTGTTGGCAGGGAAGCTCGAGAGGCAGTACGGTGCGCGGTGAATTGGAGATAGCTGTGCTCGTCGGTCGTGCTTTGCTGCGTTGCACAAAGGAAGACAGGTCGTCGCCCAGAACGAGGCAATGGGCCGTATTTGTAGCTCAAGACGACGATGTGACGGCGACCGGCGAACGAGGACGGCAGTGAGCCCCGGAGGGTGCATTCAGCAGGGTCTGCGATGTTCGTGGAGGTGACTCACGCTCGCGAGCCACGGTCTCCAATCCGTGTCAGAAATTGCGGCCGCGACGCGTGAGCGGGTGTGTGGGTGGGAACGAGTGTGTGAGTCGTGTTTAATGTCGTAAAGTGGGCGCAGCAATTGGGTGAATCACGACAGGAAGAGCCAGAAGGTGGTCTGGCGAAAATGCCAGATTAACGTCGTCTAAATTTGGCGGCGCGGTTGGCTGAGGCTGTCTTGCCCAGGAACCCCGCAAATGGCACAATAGCTGCCCACTATTTCCTTGCGCCTGCCCCCCTCGCTAGCAGATGCTGCTGTACCTTCCGTGCAGGGCCAATAGCGCCTGCCGCCACGGCGATTTGATGATCCCAGACCGAAAAGAGACAGTGAGGAAGGCCGACTTCCTAATTGGGAAGTGACGCATGCGTCTTACACTATGACTCCCTGACGAGGGAAAGGGCAAGGCGCATGCGCATTGCTCTTGCTCTCTTGTCCCACAAAGAGTGTGCGTCTTTTGTCGATGAGCCAGATACGGCAACTTTTGGTAGGAACGACCAACGACCAGAATGACACAGTATTAGCAGACACGGTTTGCACAGTATCGCCTGCATTCATGGTACGTTTGAGTCGCAGACAGCCAACTGTGACTGATAAACGAAATGACGTCCTTTAATTCACATCCAAAAGCAAACACCCCCTGAATACGACTATGAATGAATTTCGCTGCATGCCAATGACAATTAACCAAAACTGTGACTGCAAACCTTTCCTATGACTTTCAAACAACATCTCCCGGGTTCATGAGTCTTCGTTCGTTCCCACTTCTTCTCTCCCTCTGCTCTCAGTCGTGCACCACACTGCCCTAGACAGCCTTCTCGCGGGTATCGTTCTCGCTGCCGCCGTTGCCGCCAAAGTCACCGCTCCAGCCGTAGACGCGAATGGGCACGGCCGCTTCGAAGCTCTCGCACCGCAGCGTCTCGACAGCTGCGAGCACTAGCCCGCCACGGTCGTCCTGTGAGATCTCCTCGAGCATAGGTGGCGGAGGGGGCGCCGCGCGAGGCTGTCGAGGCGGTCGAGGCTGCCGGGACTGCGTGCTGCTGTGCGATGGCCGCAGGCGCGGGCGGCGCTGCCCAGGGCGGTTGGTTTGCGATCCGTCGTTGATGGCCCTCTCTTCATCGCCATCGGCATTGTCGCCGTCGTCGGTGTCATCACCTTCGTCGTCCTCGTCAATGTCGCCATCGTTGTTGTGCGCGTACTCCGCTTCGTCCCAGTCGTAAAAGTCCTCGCTGGTATTGCCATTGGCAAGACCGTTGAGGTCGGTCTCGTCGTCGGCAGGTACAACAAACTCGACGCGAATCTTCCATTCCAGCACCACACCCGTCGTCTCGAACTCGGGCGTCGCATTGCTGGGAATGGTCGCCGTGAAGACAAAGCGCCGCGAGTACAGCGTGGCTTCTGACAGCGACGCGTACACTCTGCGCGACGCGCGCTGCACGCTGGCCTCGGACCGCAGCGCCAGCTTGGGGTCCACAATCTTCTCGATTGTCTCGAGCGCCGCATGCACGGCGTGGCAGCGGATCTTGGCATTGGAAAAATCCACCACCATTGTGATGGTCTCGCCGAGGCGGTAGGCCGGGCGGGCAAGCATGACCGTGGCGACTTTGAGCTTGTTTCGGGAAATGTCAAAGCGGTTGGCGCTCACATTGCGACCGCCGCCGCCGTAGTGGTTGCTGTCAGTGAGGTTGCTGCGCATAATGGCGAGCTCAATGGCTTCGCGACAAGATAGAGACAGGAGCGGCCGACCGTTGTCGTCTGGCAAAAATATCGACGACGCTGTCGACATACGACGCGACCCGGGTAGGACGGCCGTGGGCGACAAGAGACCGCTACGCGGCTCACCCCCGCCAGCGCCGACCGCGCCAAAGAATCCGTTGGCACTGCCGTCCGTGCTTGCTGCCAACACCTCGGCCTCTCGCTGTTTCAGAAGCTCATCGACGTACATCATAAATCCGTTCATGGTGGGTCCTGTAATTGTGGCCGCGGTCGAGCTCCTTCGTCGCCGCGTTGCCAACTGCTGGGGCGGCAGCTGCTGCTGCTTCTGGGCCCCAGGCGGTGTCAGTGTCCACGGTCTGCTGAGCTCCTTCTCCGAGACTGTCCGGACGGTAGCAGAGTTCGAGCTGGTCTCGGGTGAGTAAGGGCTCATTAAGTTGTGGCCCAGAATTTCGCCGTAGCCGTTGACGCTGCCGAGGACACGGAACGGGAAATCGATTGAGGTGACACGTTGTTCTTTGGCAGTTCCAGGCCGCTGTGTGCCGATCACGAGCGAGTACGAGATCTTCATGACCTTACCGCGATGCGACGGCGGTAGACCCTTGGGCAACTGGAACACGTATTCGTACGTTTTGCTCTCGCCCGGTGCCAGCTGCAGGTCGGCGAACAGCACCGATTGTTGGGTAGCAAGCAGCGGCACAGACTTGGAGCTTGCCTTGTCGCGCATCTCTTTGATGGTGCTAAGCTCACCCGCGCCGAGGAGATCGCCGATGGACGTTGCCAAGCTGCCCCAGCCAAAGCCCCTAAGCAGGCCGCTGTCCCGTTTATTATTCTTGAGACCGACCACACCACCGCCCTGGCCGCCAACGACGCCTTTGCGCTTCACCTGCTCAAAGGGACTCAGATCGACAAGAGACCCATCAAGTGTGAACGAGCCCTCGATTTGTGCGTATCCCATCATCAGCGTCTCTGGCGCAACCGCGGCGGCTGCCGAGGCAGCAGATGTCCTCGCGCGTTGTGATAGACTGCGGGACAGGTGGTGACCTTGGTGCTGCGATAGCTGCTGCTGGTGCTGGCCGTGCGTCTGCGGCGAGAGTAGGTTGGAGGAAGACTTTTGCCGTGTGTGCGGTGGGCGGCCCGGTTGTGACCGTAGCGCTCCTGGATGTGTGGGTTGCTGGGACAGGTACTCGGAAGCTAGCGTCTCGGTAGAATGGTTGCTCAGCGAGTAGAATTCGCCACTACTACGCGGCGTGCCCGCGATGCTAGTCGTGGAAAGGACGCGGGCCTCGGACGGCGTGGCAGGCCCCTCGTAGATGGTCGGCACCTGCGTTGGCGGGGCACCTACGGCGTTGTGACTGGCGTGGTTGTTGGATCCGTCTCTCGACCGTATTGGAAGCGCTGGTAAGGGCTTATCGTTGGGTGACATCGACGTGGGAGAGGTCAGCAACGGACCGTCAATGGGACCTTGCGGGTTTGATGGGTTTGTTGGTGGGGGCGCCATTGGGAACTTGAAGTCGGAGAATCCATCGGATGGTGACCGTGACAATGAACGCGTCATACCGCCGACGCTCGGCGTGTTAGGCATAGTTGCCGAGCCTGTCAGGCGGCCGCGGATAGCTGTGATGTTGCCGCTTCGGTCGGAGGGGGGGAAGGAGGAGTTGAATAGCGGCGATGGATTGTTTGAGTAAGGACGAGGGGGGTTGGTGGCTGTCACGTAGGTTAGTACATAGCAGACGTGTAGAATAGCGAGCTGCTGAGATTGGGAGACGCACCTGACCGGGGTCCGCCGCCATAGTACGAGCCTCTCGGCCCAATCTGCAAGCTGGAGGCGCGCGAATGTCCACGCACAGGGCGGTGCTGCGAGCCAACTGGCCCCGATGGATGCTGCGGTGGTCCAGTGGGCGACCGAGATGGGCCGTCTGAGGCGCCGGCGGAGGATAAAGAGACAATCGAAAGTGAGCGGCGGTGGTTGCCATGGCCGTGGCCTTGGCCTTGGCCTTGGCTACTGGAACTACCGCCGTTTCCTGCCCCATTGTTTCCGTTGACGCTGGCATTGCTGCTGCCTCCATTGCTCGCAGCACTGCCGTTGGGTGCCCAAGGAATCGAGTCAGCTCGTCGGCGCGACGCGGCTGCGGCAGCGGATGCGGATGTCGACGATGCAGATGGAATGACGACGCCCGTGGCCGGCCCGCTAAGAGAATGGCTTGCGCGGTGGTGGCCGCGGCCCATGGGAGCTGGCGGAGCCAGTGTTTGTGAAGACGAGGATGGAAGTCGTGCACGCTCAGGGTGGTAGCTGTTTGACGGGGGGCGAGAGGACGAGGACGAAGCCGGTTGAAGCTGCTGTGGAGGCGGCGGCGGCTGCTGAGGCTGCGACGCCACATTCGCAAAGGTGATGCGGCACCGCACGTCGTCACCGCCAAATATGGTGTTTTCGTACCAGCGCACGGAGACGCGGATGTTGCTCGAGCTGCCAGGGCCACCGCCGTTGCCCAGGCCGAAGCTCATGTCCCGCGCCATGGCGGGCTAACCGCCTGGCGTTCAGAGCTGCTTCGGGCCCTTCGCTTGTGGGCGCCTCTTAATGCCGCGTCTTTCCCGGTGTCTCTCCGAGCTTGCGTTGTTTGTTGATCTCGGAAACAGAAGCGCAGACCGTAAAGAGACACTGACGGAGTGCCGCACGGTTATGGACATGAAGGCCACATTGCGCGTGGGCCCGGGAACGGAAATTCGAGGAAAAGGGGGAGGGGGAAAGAAGGTCCTGCACCGAGAGGATAATCGAAACTCGCTGTGAATAATGTAGAGATGCTTCTACAAATGGTATTGCTAATTGCTTCGGAGCCGTCGTCGCTGTCGATATCGCCGATTTTGTTGTTGTCAGCTGTTGGGGATCGGCCGTTGCAGTCTGTCGTAGGAAAGGAGGAAAGCGTGAGGTTGGGGAGCAGGGAAGGTCCGCCAGCAGGGGAGGAAGGATCGAATGGCGGGTAAGCTTGCGGGCAGCGGAAGTGAGAAGCGTTACAACGTGGTCACCATTGGAGGAAGTGATACGCTAATCCGAATTGGGCAAATCATATCACGTGCAACAACTTATGCGTTCAGGAAATGCTCTTCACCGAAAGCAGCCACACCACGCAACGGCCCAGATGACCTACGATATGATCAATATCCCGCCTGAAACATAATTTGTTATGTACTGCGTAGTAACTTTTATATCCAAAAATTGTTCCTCAAATCGACTTGCTAAGGCTGTTCTCTAGACGTTCTCCGGGACACTCGTCCGCCTGCTCCCTCTGACCCACGTTCAAATATACCTATTCATCGCTACTGAAGGATCCGGAGACATCGTCAGTTTCAAATGTACGAAACCGTTAAGGTGAGATATTTTACTGATTTCGGGCGCAGACTCTGCCACAGTCCAGCAACCAGAAATTGGCCCAGCAAGATGTGTAAGTCGCATTTGAGCCAGCCCAATTAGGCAATTGGCCTTCTCATGCGCCACACTAACAGTGTTTCTGTCGAGTCCTCAACTCTTTCTTGTACTCACTCAATATTCTACGTAACTTCAATAAAATACAAAATCAAAATCAAAAAAAAAAAAAATAATCAAGATTTCTGCCCCACAGTCTCCTTACCGAGAGATCCCTGCTTCCAGGCTTTCAAGGCCATACCAGCCACCCTTGTCTCGGCCTCTTCTCTAGAGTTGCAGGAGTTCACTTCAAACTCGCATATGCCATTGAAACTGAGCCGGCATTGGAAGACGACTCTGTCCTCGCGGCTGCCCACAATAGCGTTGTGACGGATTTCCGCCTCGTCCATTTCGTCCTCCTCAGATGTCTCGCTGAGCCCTTCGCTGCCATCATTGCCACTAAGATTATCGTAGCCCTCGTCCAAGATCTCCGAGGCGGTCTGCTTTCTCTTGAGGGCGACAGGACTGTCGCCATTGGGCTCTGTGTGGCCCTGTGCAGAAGTTGCTTCGGACCTTGCCATTCGTGTCACCTCATAGAGGAGCTTGACGTTGCCTGTCACAGTTTCCAGCTCTTCCTTGGGATGCAGCAGGTGGATGTTTTCGTTTACAGCGCGCCGCAGGTATGGTAGAATGCCGATCTTGTCGAGCAGCATCTCCACAAGTCCCAAGGAGCCCGAATCAATCCAGACCGCACCAATAACTGCCTCTAGCAAATCGGAATGAAACTTGTCTGCATCAAGCCCCATAAGATCCTCCCAAGGATACGCATGGCCCGCCCACAGTTGCTCTAGAATGGCGTCTTTCTTGCTGGCAAAGCGTTCTGCACAAAGTTCCTGTGCAATTCCCATTTCACGAGACGCGCCGTGCCGCATGAATGCCGAGAGAGGTTTCAAGAAAGGAGTGGCCGCTTCCGTCTGGGCGGTCGACAACGGATCAACCGTCGAAGCTGTGGGGGGCTCGGCAATGGTGAACATCATAGCGCTAAAGCCCAAAAATGCAGCGTTCGCCAGCGTGGTACGAAGTAAATGCATTCTCTGATACGGCAGCGGAGGGCGGACACTTGCGAGTGTTTGCACGATGACGTGATCGAGGATAGCATCACCGACGAATTCAAGACGTTCCATGCAGATTTCTTCCAGGTATCCAGGCATAGAGGCGTGCGTAATAGCCTGGACCAGAAGAGACTTCTTGGTGAAGGTGTAGCCGAGAAGTTCTTCGAGACCGGGCGGCGGGGGACAAGGTGGCTCCACCGGGGCCGCTTCGTATAAGATGTCCCGGCAATCTGCCAGGGAAAGCCAATCCATTTCCTCCAAGAACAGACCAATGCATTGTAGAGCCTTTTCCATCCCGCTTTCAGCATGACACGCACCAATAAGCGCCTCAACAACATCAGCCAGCATTTTAGTTGACATTTCTGGCAGTGGAGCTTGCTTTTCGGATGTGCTGGAATTGTTTTTCGGGGCACCTTTGATGTCTGTGTCATTGGGTTGAGGTTCTGATTCAAGCGAATCGCAGTACCTCTTCCAGGCTCTCAAAGACCACTGTTTAGACACAATAAAATGATCCAACCCGAATTCAAGGGCTGCTCGACAGAGGCGAGAGTTGGCAACAAGCCGATCTTTGCGCAACGACAAATGACCTTCTGGCGCGTCAAGATCTATTTGAGCGAAAGGTTAGCGAGATTTCCCAGACGCTCTCGAGAAACAAGTGGAATCTTACCGCATGCGCTGCAATTAGATACAGCGGTAACCTTTAGGATGGAGTCACCAATGAACTCGAGATACTCGTAGTTTGTGGGCAAGCGGGCCGCTGGAGCGCTTATTGCTGTTGCGATAAGAGAAACGTCGTTGATGCCAAGTTGGCGGAGGCGTGTCGAGACCAGCAACTGGGCAGCAACCATCTGTACCTCAAGAACAGCTGTTAGAGGCGGCAGCAAGGCGCCAAGTTGGACGTATGCTATTGGAAGGCTGTCAACTCGACATTCGGCGGCCGGAAGAACTCGCGGATACCGTTTGGCTGAGGGAGCAGCAGGCGAAGGTGACACGCCAGGACTGTCTTCATCATCATCACGGACCACATTAAAAGTCCTATGTAGCATTCCGACAATCTTCGGCCATGGGCGGACAACAACATGTGCAGCGTCCTCTGGGGCGTCCTCATAGTCCTTGTACGCCTTTCTCACGAGGCTCAATGGGGGTTTCGCTGGAAGATAGTTCTGGTAGTAGTATGGAACGTTGTCTACATCCCGAACAAGGCACGTCGAGTTCGGAGAGAAAGGGCGTTCCAGGTCTGAAAATATTTGCGGGTCAAAGGGGCGTGAAGATATAAGTTCTTTGCTGAAACGTTCGTCCTCGCACACAATCCGCACAAGCCGGTGCATATCACCCAAGGCCCACCGGTGGCCAAACGCAGCATATAAGAGAGTGCCGGTATGGTCGCTGTCGTCGTGATACTGATCCTTTCCGCGACCGTAATCTTGACGCTGACCTTCAGATATATGCACAATCCATGGCCGAATTGAGTGAGCTGTCCAATAAATTTCAAACGGTGGAATTGTATGAATAGAACAAGGTGTAATAAGATCTGCTTCAAACATCTCGATTCCTCGGTCGTCGAAAATTCGAAGGGTATGCCGATAAACGAAAGATCGAATTCCAGAGGGAGAGGTCTGGATTGTTTTCCAAAGCTCTCGAATGTCTGGCCATGGTCGATACTGTTCATGCACAGCGATCTTGCCTGGTCGGCCTTCGATGGATCGTGACAGATATTCTTCGGCTACCCTCGGCGGTAACAAATGCTCGTTGAGAAGGCCGGCCTTGTGTATGGCTTTGTAAGCCTGTAAAGCTGCATCGGCTGTGGCATCTGACTGAGACTGCCAAGAATACTTGCTCTCGGCTCGACGTAGATGCGCTGGAAGGGTTATCGGAAGCCTCACAAATGCGCGAAACTCATCTGGATGCATTGCCACCTTGTGTAGAGTAAACATTGGTCGGCAGTCAGCAAACGCCCTAGACGACATCGTGGAGCAAAAGTGGCTCAAGTGCTGCTTCGCATCCTGTGGAAGCAGCATGGAACCCTTGGCCTCGCCATAGATTGGCTGTAGTCGCCCATCGCCCAGGGCCGACTTTTGGGGCGTTTCTTGCAAATCAACGTTCTCACGCAACTCGTCTTCGTATATTCTCTTCATCTCAGCTTCGAGGGCCTCCCATTCTAATCCCAGGGGACCAATATTTACTGCATTTAGAAAACTGGCATCGTGCCCACCGGTCAACGGCCCCATGAGTATGTGGAATTGCGAGTTTTCGTCACGAGCTCTACCCCGGCGCTGAATGAACGCCTTTAAGCTCGTTAAATCGTCGATGCAGACAACAATATTGCAGGCAGCCATGTCGATACCCTCCTCGATGACGCTTGTTGCAACAAGCAGATTCAACTGTCGATTTCGAAACTTTAGAAGTGGGACACGGCCATCCTTGGGAGCCATCGTCAGGAGTCCGTCCGGTCCACGGTCAAGTTGAAATTTGGACATGCCAACCACGTAGCCGGCTTTGAATCTCGACGAAAGACTAGGGTGAATCGAGATAATGTGAGACAAGACGGCGGCCATTGGCCGCTCCCTGACGAATACGATACCTGTAGGGAATTCTGCTTCATGGTTGCAAAGAATCTCTACAAGCTTCTGCACCCGAACTGACAACCCATTGTGAAAATCGACATGATCTTTGTGACTGCTGTCCGCAGTCAGTCGCCGCGGACGCTCGGTCACCACAAACTGGAGAATGGCCAGTAGATATGGCTTATTCTCACCAGGCAGGCGGCTACTCAGATTGCTGATGCATCGTCGAACAATTTTGTGAACGTAGTACTCCGCAGCCCACGATCCGAGGTATGCACAGATAGTGCAGGCTTTTCGGTGAAAGGATGAGATAAATTTGTGCGTCCACCTAATATCTCCGTCGCTTATGATGCCAGCAAAGTGGTTATTGACAAGGCTGAGCTCTGGAATCTGTGACCCGCCAGACAAACTGCTGAGCAACCTCGCGAGAGCTAAAAGATTGCGGCCATGTTGTGACGACTGGGCGTCGTCCAGGCCAGGGTCACATATGTGCCGAAATGTTGACGGGCGTTTTGTGTGCAAAATGAGATTGTCGCGATGCAGTGTCGGCGTCACACATGTTGCATGCATTGTACCCTCTAGCAGCTCGATGCCTTCGAGCTTCTTACCCTGAACTGGACTTGCGGTAAGACCAAGAATGGCCGGATGAGGAAGGCCTTTTTTCACAGCCGGGTGAAAGAAATCCGTCATGATGCGTCGCCCGGGGCTGTTTTTTACGCAACCATGTACTTTGAGCCGCTCAGGGTCAATAGAAGCGATCACGACCCATTTCTCTTGTCTGGTGAGAGTATACCTTCGTCAAAAACCAGAAGCGGTATAGATTCAATGTTAACAAAGCCATGCATTAAAGCTTCCTATGCCAAATATTAGACGACAATCATTAGATACGAAATATGCGGCGCGAATGAATCTCGTACAAGCAACACTTGGGGCGTCACAACGACAAATCTGATGTTCCGTAGTGCAGCATCCCTAAAACACAAATGTTAATATTAGGACCCTTTACCAGGATGTTGTATTCGGAAGGTCTCAAAGCATACCATATAGCTTGCGTGGACCAGGCCTTGATATCGGTCTCGCCTGCTATGATGCGGCCTTGAACGCACTGGATCTGTGACGAGATGGCGTAGTACTGTTGATAGCAGAGGGGAACCGTTGGGGCCAAGAACCAGACAATCTACAAGTGTGGAGAGAAATGTCAGTGTTTTGCATGAAAGGCCAGCAGCCAGACGACCATGAAGAGCTTTACCTTGGGGGCAGGCGATCGTTCAAGCTCGGCTCGTATGCGCAGAATGGCGCTGATGGGCTGTCAGTCAAGAACACCTCTGAATCATTGAAATAAAAACGGAGGCGATGTGCTCTTTACATTCTCGTCTTTCCCGTGCCAGTGTCCATCTGAAGAAGCAATAGGTTAGCGTCTTGTTCTGTATACGAATGTCGTTGGCGGCTGTCTTTACCACCACAATGACGTTGCGCTTCAGACTCTCTTCGAACATCTCCACCTGGTAGAGCCGCGACTGCGCAAGCAAATCGTCCTCGACGCCCTTCCCCGCCTGGCCATCGTTCATTATCTCGTCATCCGGAGTAGCCATCGCTACATCTAGACCGTCGTCGGCCATGGTATTCGGCCAGTATTCGGCCGGCATTAAGTGGCATATGCCACGCGTCCGTCGCTAAGTGTGATCGTCTGATGTGGGTAACCTTAAAAGCGGTAGCCTGCACAATGGTCGAGTGGGACTTGGAGTCGCCCATGCAGGCTTATAAAGGCTAGATGATGATAAGCGCTTCAGTTTGACTCATGCGTCATTAATGGGCGGCGTGAGCAGTGTTTGTGCAGCCTTCATTGGTACTTCCTGCAAATGATTCCAATGCCTACGTGCCCCATCCCATGGGAGGAGGGTTTGAAAGTGCAGGAGCGATGTGGTTGTTTTCGAGAGGGGTAAAGATTGGTAATTTTGGTGCCTAACGAATTCATCTAACTGGACATTGCAATTCCACAACTGTACTCACACCATGGAGAGGGCAATTACTAAAAAAGAAAAAGAAAAAGAAAGAAAGACAAAAAGAACATCGTTCTTTGAAACGAAAATGAAAGGTGACACAGCCTAACTGTAGCCACTTCGCTGGTTGGAAGTGAAGTAGGTCATTGGTGGGGTGATAATTATCAACTAAGCAGTATCGGAAGGCGCACCTTTGTTACTCGCAACGGGGCAAGAAGAAACACAAAACAAACAGGAAGGAACGACCCGACTCATTAAGGCAAAGAAGAGCACTATCAAACTCACATGTGATGCAGGTGCTTTATGCCACGGGCTTTAATGCCTGGGGCCAGCTGCAATTCAACACGACAGCTGTGCCAGAGGACGAACCTGACGACATTTGGGCTTTCACACGTGTGCGACAGGACCACAAGATCGTGCATGTCCGACCATCCCTTTCATATACGGAAGTGACAACGTCTGAGGGAATTGCCACGGCTGGAGCGGCCCCGGTGGCCCCAGTGGATATCTCCCGCATAAGTGACGGAAACAATCTGCACTTTGCTGAAGCTTTGAACGGTTGTGTTTTGGGTTGGTCAGCTACAGAACCATGTCTGCCGCCTTTTGTCTGCTGGTACTGACAACCACATGCACAGTCTACGACAAGAATGAAGGTGCACTTCTTCAGTATGCGTCAGCAGACGACTATTCGGCGGCCATACACCGTCGCATAGGTGATGACGCCGCTATTTTGACCGATGTTCCTTGCTCCCGCTTCGCTGGCTATCCCGGCGTACGACAGGTCGTTGCGTACGATGTTGGCTTCGCCATACTCACTACCGACGGTCAAGTCTGGACATGGGGCGACCCGCGATTCCCAGAGTGCCTTGGTCGGGACGTGACTGAATCGCCTGCCGAGCGCCCGGGCCTTGTCACTGCCCTCGACGACCTGCCAACTGGACCGATTGTGAAATTGGCGGCTGGTGGCCATGTGCTTGCGGCCGTGACGCAGGGGCGGGATCTTTACTGCTGGGGTGGCTACCCAGGACGGCGGCCCGTGCTGCTAGAAGGCGTCACGGGCGAGCCGACACCCATTGTGGTTTCCGCCACGTCGGCCGACGGCTACACCGAAGACGTAGATGTCGTCGATGTCGGCATGGGCGATGGGCATATGATTGTGCTTGCAACTGACGGCTCCGTATTTGTTCTTGGCAGCAACGCCAATGGCCAGCTCGGAATAGGACACGACAGCAACGATGCCAGAAGGCCACCTGTACTGGAAAAGAAAATAGTGACGACCTGGGTCAAGGTTCGCAGTCTTCCGCCTGGCCAGGTGACTGGTGTATATGCAGGTCCGAAAAGCTCCTTCATCGTCGTCACTGAATAGACCGAAGCCTGTTTTGCCAATGCTCTAGCGTTGATGCCACTGATTTAAGCCTGTCGAATACAAGTACATGCGCCCCTTTGGTCTCCAACAGCGCCAGCTGCACTCTTATGCTATCAGCCCATCCTCCACGTGCCACCACGCAGGTTGCAAGCTCTCTCTCGTTTTTTTCCATGCGCACGTGCGCCTCTTATAGGTTGGTCAGGTAGTCTTCGATCTCCTGTGGCGTCAGCTTGCGGAACCGCGGCCCTCTCGCGCCCTCAACACCCTCGACACCGAGGAGGTGGTCTGCCGGCGGGCCAATGATGCCTTGAAATTGTTAGCCTTTGTTTCATCCCGTAGTTGGGGCAATATGTCTTCTGACTCATGTCAGGCTTACCGATCTCGATGGTGTCGCCGTTCATCTCGCCCTCAATCGTCTCCTTGAGTGTCAGCAGGGCAATGTGCACCGCATCTTCGAGCTCCAAGCCCTCCGTGTACCGCTTCTCCAGGAACGTCTTGGCCGACGCCGCGCTCTTGCCAATAGCCGTTGCCTTCCACGGGAAGTAGCTCCCCGATGGGTCCACCTGGTACAGCATGGGGCCGCCCTTGAGAATACCGCCCGTCTTGCCCGTGGGCTTCTTCTGCTCACCCGAGGCCAGGCCGTCGGCTTCCTCCTCTTCCTCTTTGTTACCAGCTGCAGCAGCCGCCGCCTTGGCCGCCTCGCGTTCGAGCTCCTCCTCGGGCAGGATGCCCTCGTCCCAGCCGGCAATCAGCAAACTGACACCGTACGGCCGGACGCCGCCGGACTGGGTAGCCTCCTGCATAACGCGAGCGACGTCCTGCACCAATATCCGCGTCGGCGGGTACTCGTTATAGATGCGCTTGTAGCCCGAGTGCGAGACCTTGCGGGCACGGTCAACGAGGACGCGATAGTCGGGGCCCATACCGGCGTAGACCATACCGATGTCGGGCGTGATAAGGGAGATCTTGGAGAGGGATGACGGGTCGGCGAGCGGGGACGATGACTTCTTCTCGGTGGCCAGGACAATGCCGTTTGTGGCTGCAGGGAAGACATGTTAGAGACGGGGGATGCCATCGACAGGAGACCAAATGTTGGCAGCACAGCGTACCTTTGATGCCAAGAGCAGTGACACCCTGGTTGACGGCATTTAAGGCATATTCTATGACAATCCATCCGTTAGCCACTTGCACTGTAAACGTCTCGGCATCGTTGCCGCATCTCGCGCGGATTCTCGGCGCGCGCGACACCTCGTCGGACATGTTGAAGGTCGGAGGGGGGTGAACGAACCAATCTGCACCAGCTTTCCGCTGTGGAGTGAAACAATCGAGGTTAGCAACTCTGTCAATACAAGAAAAACAGCAACAGCAAAGCCTTTCCATGTTCCCCAATCCCAATGTCGCGTACCTGGGCGAGAACGTTGTCAGCGAGAACGAATACCGGTCGGCCATGGCTGTGGTCGAGGTGTCTTCTGTGGGTGAATGTGCGGTGATGTGAGGTCGGCAGAGCAGTCGGAAATGGGTATTGTATCAAAGAAAGAGGAGTCGAGAGGATCGAATGACGACAATGGTGGACAACGATGGAGACGGATGGCTGAGGATCTCAACACAGACTAGGTTTGCAGCTATGGCCAGTAGGCAGATGCTGCTGTACGTTTTTGGTACAAGTGAGAGGCTGGACGCTGTGCTGGTTTCCAAGCTCCGCTTTGGCTCTGCGCTGTCCCAGGCACACCGCACAGTTGCGCGTCGAGCTCTTCTGATTGGCTGCAGCTGTGATGCACCAACCGGGGAGGACCACAGCTAGTATCACTCTAAGCGGGCATGGTTAGTTAATACTACTCCACTCTGCTCAACATCTCCGCCGAAATGGAACTTGGATTATCGAAGCTGGCGGAAAAGTCGGTTGGCTCTTCCTTCTTCTTCCACTCAATTTCGTGTCCTGTTGCAGGTCGCTCTTACTACTCCTCCTGGCCCAACTTCCACTCGGCCACGTTTCTCCTTCCCCAATTCAGTGCATCTCGGTCGACGTTTCCCTCTTCCCAACGAAGATGTGACTTGTTACTTTCCTGCCCAAGGCGAGCCAAGCGGCTATGGAACTCTAAAACGATATATTTCTTCCCTCAATCTGGGCTGGAATCCAACTATCCATTATATATTTCGTCCTCAACCACACCCTCGTCCCACTTATGACTGTACGAATGCATATCACGTTTGTTTTGAGATCTTGACCCGGAAGCTCGGGAATTTGATACACAACGATCCTTCGCACCCCTAGTTTGTGTTTTGTCTTTCTGCTTTTCGCCTCCTACTTTAAAAGTCAATTTGACCACCCCATATCAACAACCACCTATCGCCCTGTCACGCGACTTTAGCCATGGATTTTCGTGCTCGAACTGGTGCCGATGGGGTAGGCTCCAGCTGGTCCTGGCCTGCCGACACCGCTGCAACTGGAAACGCCAGTGGCAATGACACATCTTCGGCGATGAGAGACGATGGCTGGGCGACGACGAGTGGTTTCGACTCAGGGTCCACGAGACAACCACGACCGCATCAAGCGACGGCTACGTCCGATGGCGACAATGACGGCACTGCTTCTGTCGGATCCTTTCCTGGTGTATCCGACAACGCCTCCTGGGTCACCGAGAATGAGGAGAGGACGCCTTTGGAGCACAACCACTACCACTACCGCGGCGATACGAACGAGTACGGCTTTGACAACGAACGCCATGGGCCGGGGCAGCAGAAAGAGCCAACTGAAGAGGAACGGGCTCAGGAACGGTACCGTCGGCGTTTCAAGCCACGTACATGCCGAATCTGCTTCGAGACGGTGTTGCCGACATTTGAGGATATCACAACGCACCCGGACGACGGTTTACGCGACATGATGGGCGAGGACGACGCGGCTGCCGAACCAGTTGGTCTGGGTGCTGCTGTCCAGGCAGTCGGTGAGGCGACGGCCGGTCTGCGCGACCGTGTGGCTGGTGCGGTGACGTCAGCGCTTCCAACGTTTGTGCGATCGTCGCGCATGCCTCGTGTCCGCTACATCTCTGAAAACCCCGAGGACGGACGGCTGATCAGCCCTTGCCGCTGCAAGGGGTCCCAGAAGTATGTGCACGACGGCTGCCTCCAGGCGTGGCGCAAGGCACAGCCCATGGCCGAGCGCAACTTTTGGAAATGCCCGACGTGCGGGTTCAAGTACCGTATTCAGCGGCTGCGCTGGGGCCGTCTCGTTTCCAACAAGATCACGCGGGCTCTTATGACGCTCCTGGTCTTTGGGCTGACGCTTTTTGTCCTGGGCTTCGTGGCCGACCCGTTGATGGACTTGTGGGTGGACCCAAGCGGCGTGATTATGGACACGTTCCTGGATGTGCACGAGTTTGACACGGACGACGACCTCCTCGGGAGCTTCCACGACGTGCTGGGCGGCGGCGGAGGTAGTGGTGTTGGTGGCGTTGCTGATTTCGTTGGCGTGTCTGGCTGGTGGGAGCACTTCATCAAGGGTCTCTTCTCACTGGGCATTGTTGGGGTTGTCAAGACGTTCTTCGTCGTGTCACCGTTCACTTGGTTCAATCTGCGCGGTGTTGGCCTTGGCCGTGGACGGCGGCGTGCTGCCGGTGGTGGCCGAGGACGCTACGAGAGCATGAGCTGGATTTTCATCCTTGTCGGCGCGTTTACATTTTTAGGGGTAAGTGATATGGCAACATGCCGGACATTGTTGAGTATTTTGTCGCTAATCCATGGTTTTAGGTTGCCTGGAATGGTATCAACTACTTGAGCGGTCGTCTCTTAGAGCGTGCCAGCGAGCGTATTATCGACATTGGCGCTGAAGGTCCCGACGATGACGATGAAGACACCGATGCTGGGCACGCTGAAGCAGACGGTAGCAATGTCGGCATCCCAGAAGCGGTGAATGACGATGGTCAAGATGCATGAGCAAGACACGATTTCTGGCTGATTTTAAAGTCACAAGAGTATCTTAGCCACAAAATGGAAGCTCTTTCAGAGATCTCAGACTCTAATCCCCCCTCCACTCTCCTCTCCCATTAGTCTCACTGCCTCTACTCCCGAAACAACCTGCACACTCTTAAGTTGTCTCGAGTTCTTCGCCTCCGTGTCGAGCCAACTAGTCTGTGTGCAGAAATTAAACCAGTCCCGATACTTGTTCCTCTGCTCGGGGTGGCCTGGCGTTTTGTCCGGCCGCTTCCGCATGAGCAGAGGCTTCGCGGACCCCGCCATCCTTTTCGCCGTCTGATTGTCTGGCAGAGAGCAAATGCTTAGCGTCTTGCGAAGCTCGCTCCTCTATCGACATCATTTCCGCTTAGCTTCTCTGGTTCGTAAGGGCCGTTCTCTGGGCAGAATTCCGCGCACGTCTTTTCATGTCTTCGCCGGATACGTCCCCAGAGGCTCTCCCACACGAGAGGTAAGCACCGGCAATTGGTTGATACATCCATTCGTAATTGTAAACGACGTTTGTCGATCGATATGGTGTCTATGACCTTCTGGTAGCCATATATTTTACCAAAATGGCCGTCGTCGACCTCGCTGTGACGTTTGAGGTTGCCTTTACATGGCCATGTCACTAGGCTCAGCCTCGCAAACCCCCTATTTTTGCGATCTGCATTGACTGTTAACTGTCGCGTAGGTGGCTCCGTACTTATGTTTGTCGTTAATTGCACCGTTTCCAGCACTACTAGGACCTTGCACCAGGCCATGCCAACTCCCTTCCCTATTTCGCGCCGAGACGGGCGCCCCACCCTCAATTTACTCTAGCAGCACGGGTCTCTCTTTCTTCTACTGGACAGTTCGTGGGAAGAAAGACCTGCCACGTCAGGGGTAATAGTGGACTGGGGACCCAGGAAAGCGCGCTATATTGTCGTGTAGGGGGCCCTGTCCCCATTTCATAATTTTTCGTTGGTATTGCCTGAAAACTATCGTAATCGAACTTTGTCCTCTTTTGACTCCCTCCCTGCAATCGCGCTGCAAGACGCATACATCTCCCAACCGCCACGAAAGGCGAAAACGAATTCTCAAAATAGGAGAGCGAGCGAGTGGCGCGCCGTATTTTTTTTTACCCCCTTGTCGTTTCTACCCGCTGTACCTGTCTCAATCTCCAGCGTGACCGGCCGCGTGCTGTTCCTCTTCCCCTCCGATTTTCTCTCCCTTTGGACTTCCTCCATCGACTACCACCAACGGCTTTTCTCCCGGTGCCTCCTTTCCCGTCCGCTCATTGTCCACGTCCGCCCGTGTCCCGCTTCTCTGGGCATTCACTCCAACTGCTGTCCAAGGTTGAATTTCGTCCATTGGGGACTGCCCAAACCAACCTGGCACGACAGTAGAGAAAGCCCCCTTGTCTGTCTCTCTTGTCGCATCTCCTGTTCCGCGCAAACAAAGCTCGGTCTTTACTTGCTACTACGATCTTTGATTCTAATGACGCCCGCGCCTTGATGCGATACGATACGACCATCCCGCCTCGATCTCGACCTGTCCTCTCCTTTTCTTTTATTTGTTATACGTTTGATATCACGACATCCATCCACGAACCATAGTCTCTCACCACCAGAGAACCATCGGGCAAGGGACAGATAACGAAGACACCCCCCGGTCACGCATCGACCTTCTCCCTACCAGCGTCGCAACCATATACACACGCACACGATGCATTTCGCTTACCCCCCACGCAAAGACTCCAATGCGGCCGCGTTCAAACCGCGGGCGTCATCGTCCCGGTTGCCCTTCATACGTCGCGGCCGCAAGCGGGTGCTTGCCCTCGGTGCGCTCTTCTTCTTCGGCATCATCTACTTCTTGACACGGCCCAGTAGCCGGCATAGAGGCGCCAACCCCTGGATGGCGGCACATCTCAAGGCTGCCAAGGAGGAGGGTACTGGCAGCACCATGCCGGGCGTCGGCGACCACAAGGCACCTACGGCGGCTGACGGTAACCCGTTCGGCGCCGACTTCTCGGCGGCAACCGAAAACCTTGCCTCCTTTGGCAAGGCGCCGACTGTCGTGCTCGTCACCGTGTACGACGAAACCAACTTCCACCGCGCATACCTCGACACCATTCGCGAGAACCGCCGGCAGTATGCTAAGAAACACGGCTACGGCACCTTCTCGCCCAAGGTCGGCTACTACAACCTCAATGGCTCGCCGCTGTCGTGGACCAAGGTCGTGGCTATGCGTCATGCACTCACGCTCTTCCCCGAGAGCACGTACTTTTGGTTCCTGGACCAGAACGCGTTTGTCATGAACATGGACAAGAGCATCGAGGGCGACATTATGGCGCCGGCCAAGATCGACGCGGCCATGCTCAAGGACTTCCCCGTCGTGCCGCCCGACAGTATTATCAAGACGTTTGGCCACCTCAAGGGCCAGGACGTGGACTTTTTGCTGACGCAGGACTACGACGGCCTGTCGACGTCGAGCTTCATCGTCCGCAACGGCGAGTGGGCGCGCTTCTTCTTTGAGACTTGGTTCGACCCGCTGTATCGGTCCTACAACTTCCAAAAGGCGGAGACGCACGCATTGGTAAGAAGACACAATACGGAAAGAGGGAATCAGGTAGCACAAATTACATGCAAGGAACTAACACGCCCAGGAACACATTGTCCAGTGGCACCCGACGCTCCTGTCCAAGATGGCCCTCGTGCCGCAGCGGACCATCAACGCCTACAGCAAGGTCGAGCACGGCGCCAAGTACGAGACGGGCGACCTGTCGGTCCGTGTCGTTAGCTGCATTCGCACGAGCTCGGCCGTTTGTGAGAACGAGGCCGCTCCGTTTATCCAGCTCTGGCGTGGCAGCGACAAACAGCAACAGGCGGCATCATAAAATTCATCGCGAACGGCTATACGATGGTGTTTGGCGACAGGCTGTGTATGAGTGGAATTGCATGCATGACTTTTTCTTCTTCTTAGTGGCCCTTTGCTATGCGGACGGCATTTGGACTCCTTATTAACCCGTCCCATGTTCACTGATATCTCTATTGTGTCCTTTATTTTTAAGATGGCGTTTTATCTATTTCCGGAATCTTGACGAACGGAAGGGGTCCACGGTTTCTTTTCTTCACTTCGATTTATATTCTTCTCCTCCTTTTCCGTCCCCTTATCTCCTTTCTCTTTTTACCCAACATGTCACATCTTTTAGTAGTTCTTTATGGGTTCTGGAATTTTGACCAATCGATAATGTATGACCATATCTTCACTATATATAGACAAATTTATTAAATTATAATCCGCAAAGTCACATCAATAATATTCATAACTTTGCCTAGTCGATCAATTCGTTCCATTTTCAGTTTAAAAATGATACTAAGGTAATTTTTCGAGAAAGAATATACATATACAGATTAATGAGAACTCGAATCAAGACACGGCCATGGCAATGCAAACAAAAAGTAAAGAAATTAAAAACAATATACAGAAGAAGCAAAACAAGAACATTCGTTTTGGGCTGCTCAACTCTCCATTTATGCCTTGTACAACAGATCCAGGAAACCCGTCGCCAGGTCCACAACCACGCTCTTGTTGGGTAGGCTACCTGCCACACCGTAGAGCGCAGCCGCATCGCCACTGTCATCGGTGGACTTTGCGCCGCCCTCCAAAGCGCGCACGCGCACCTTCTCGCGCTCGGCCTCCACACACGCCTCCAGGTCTGAGACTAGCGTGTCAAATGACTTGACTATGGGCATCGTGAACGCAACGTGGATCGCGGGAGGGTTCTGCAGGGCGTTCAGGTGCCAGCCACGGGCTGACATAGTGTCCGACAGCGCGTAGATGTTGATGGGCGTAAACGGCGAGGACGAGGTGGACGGGGCCGAACGGCGCGCGCGGAAGGCAACCACCGACACAAGCGGGCGGCCCATGACCTCGATTTCGGGCGACAACACAGGCGATGTCGTTATGTGTTCGGCAAACTTGCGTGCGTGGCCGACGATGCGGCCACAGGCATCCAGGTAGCCCGACTCGCCGACGGCCATCATGCTCGCCCAGCAACCAGCAATGAGAGCACCGGGACGCGAGCCGGCCGCACCAGGCGAGGCGTAGACGCCACCGGCCCAATCAGCCGAGACAAAGTACTGGTACGCGCGCAGGGCGGCTGTGCGGTACAGGACGACGGAGTTGCCCTTGGGAGCGAAGCCGTACTTGTGAGTATCGACGGAGATGCTGGTGACGCCACGGACGCGGAAGTCAAAAGGTGCCGTCTCAAATCCGGCTTTATCGAGGAAGGGCACCATGAAAGAGCCCAGGCAGCAGTCAACGTGCAGCGGCAGGCGTCTCCGGACGGCAAGGCGGCCGAGGGCTGCAATGTCATCGATAATGCCGTGGGGGAAGTTGGGTGCGCTGCCAACAAGCAGGACCGTGTTGGGGTTGATAAGGCGCGCGACACAGCGCACGTCCACCTGGTAGCCCGGTGCGGGGCAGGCGACGAGGTGCAGCTTGATCTTGTAGTATTGGCTGGCCTTGTGGAACGCGGTATGGGCGGTCTCGGGGATGATCATTTCCGGCTCCGTGACGCCGCGCTCGACATATGCCTTCTGGCGGGCGCTCAAACAGGCCATCAGGATACTCTCGGTACCACCGCTGGTGGTCACTCCGGCGGCCCCGGCAGGGCCGTTGAACAGGGCCAAAACCATGGACACGACCTCGGCCTCCATCTTGCGCACACCCGGAAAGACATCCGGGTGGATCGGGTTCGCCACAGTGAACTTGCCGAAGGCCTCGGTCTGCAGCTTTAGCAAGTCGTCCTCGCCGTGGTAGACAGCACCGCTGACCCGGCCATCCTCCCAGCGCGTATGGTCGAGCTCAGCCAGGGACTCGAGTTGGCGGCGGACTTCGTCGTGGGCCAAGCCCTGTGCGGGGAGCGAGGTATGGCGGATGACGCCGACTGGGACGAGCTTGCCCTCCATCTTGCCAAGGGCCTCGTCGACCTGCTGGCGGACCTTGGTGCGCACACCAGGGAGGCGCAGGAACCAGCCAAAGACGATGCGGCGGATATCATTGTAGAGCTCCGTGATGGACCCCACAAAGCCGCGGCCGCGGAGTTTCCAAACGGTTCGGCGAGTCAAGCGGAGGACAAAAAAGAAGAAAACGAGGTTGCGGAGACTAGCGAAAGAAAACAGGTGAAATGTCAGTCCAAATCGGTCCTCAGAAAGGCACTGCACAGAAGAGTACTGCAGTCAGTAATCGTTGCGAATTTGCAGCAAACGCACAGGTCCAAGTTGAGTAACAGCAACGGGCTCGCTGGTCTACGGCGGACGTTGCTGATGTTGTCCCGGAGGCTAATCAGCATGCTCGAAGACCCCGGCATGATGGCGGTACCGCGGTCGGTGGAAGGATGGAAGGTGACGAGGTTGGATGAGCAGTGCGAATGCGCAGCACTGGAATTCTGGCCAACGAGGCGGGCGAGGGCGTCTGGAATAGAAGAAAAGCGCAAGGGTTGCGAGATCCCACAAAGGTAAGAAGCGCGCTGCGGGACGGGTAGCTCTCGGTCCGACGAGCGTGATAGGTCGAGACGTGGGTTTGTTGAGCACCAGTAGAAGGTGCGAATCTGCAACGGATACCAGCGAAGGGCGCGAGGCTGTAGGGCTGGTTGTCGATTGGGTTCGTGCGAATACAAGGAAAAGAGAAGCCACAAAACGGACGAAGATGCGAAATGTTTGGATGAAACAGAGGATGACCTAGAAGGAAGGAGGTGGCGAGTAGGACGGAGGCGTGGGAAGATGAGGATGCGGAAGGAAGGGAGAAAATAATACGAAAGAACGAAGGGCGATGCGGAGAACGCAAAAAAGGAAAGAACGAAAGAACGAGAGGCAAAGGAAGTTACGAGGAACGGAGGTTGTGCAACAAAAGCGGACGTTGCGCGAGGTGCTTTAGTGTCTACAAAATCGCCTAGCTTTAGCTTAGAAGCTCCCCCTCTCCAAGTTTCTCCTCGCCTTCTCCCAAATCGGAAAGCGCGACGGGAACACTGGACAGCGAAGCGTTTCCCAGTATGAAGACCTCTGGCCGAGGCTGCAGGAATGGCCCAAGCTCAATGCGTGCTTTCGAAAGCGAGAGTAAAATATAATTAAAGTGTGATGTGGACAGAGCTACCGTTCCCTGTCCCAAGACCAACACATTCTGTCCTGTTCCTGACTCTGTCGTCCGTGTCTCTTTCCGTGGCAAGCCGAGCCCTTTCGCCACCAAAATCCAAGAGGTCTTTTCCAGGCAAGGGCTCTGCAGGCCTGGTGACTGCCAAAAGTGGCCAGCCAAACAGGGCCTTGGAAATGCCCGCGGCACTTTCCCGTTCTAGCGATCACATGCCAAAGAAAACCCGGGTACATGGCAGCACGGGCTTTATGACACAACCCAGAAGACGGAGCTTTCTCATCTAAGCCAGATTTCTGGGGGCTTTGTTACGTCAAAATGCATTCATTGAAATGGCCCGACGTTGACGCACGACTCGTGTATGAACAATGCTTTTATTTCCTGTATTTCCACGTAGCCTTTACCGTCTTCTCGTCTTCAACCACAATCGAATAAGAATGCTTTGAAGGTGGCCAACATGTATCGTGAAACAAAAACCGGCATCCTCCCAGGAATAAAACGAATTTCGCCTGGCTCTCCCCCGACTCTACTTGGCCAATATCCGGTTTGTACACGAGTTGCTTCCCAAGCGCGGCCCGCAAAGAAGTCGTGAAAGGCAGCAGTAACCAAGGAACAACAAGGAACAAATTGAAAGACAAGGTACATAGAAAACGAAATAAGAAAACGACAGATCAAGAAGTTGAAAAAAATGCAATGGTATGAGAACGGGAGGTATATGGTCGGTGTATGAGAAGAAAAGATGCCGTACATATCCAGAGATACGTGAGAAGAAGGAGAAAAAACGAACCCAAGCCGCCCCTATATCATAATGCTGTTGTATCCCATGTAATCCCACGAAAAGGGAACCGTTAAAATGAAAAGAGTCGGAAGTACAAGGTACTTTCTGTTTGTGGTTTTGCTGTTTGTGGTTGCCTGTTGTCCTGTTTGCCCGTTTGCCATTCTATTTTTTGGTCGCCGAAATTGCCACTCTTTGAAAATCCGGCCATGTAGTCATAGCTCATTGTCGTCGCCGCCGCGCGACGATGACCCCTGCTGGTGAACCAGCGTCTCGGCGTCGCCTACCTGGCGGCGCTCCGAGATTTCACGCCGCGTCTTGTCTTTAAGGCGGGCCTGGGCTTGTATGCGTAAAGGTGTTGTGCTCTCTGTGACAGACGGTGATGTCCGTGCCTGTGCCAATCCTCGGGACTTTGGTGGTTCCCTCATGACAGCTAATTGCTATTGGAGTGGTTCCGATGAACTCGACAGTCGATTCAGGTGAAGGTAGACGTCGGTGCCGTAGCTAGAGGAGCAATATTAGCAATCATTCGACGACGATAGGGGGGGGCCAGAGACGTCGGGTTTGGGATGAAGCGTACCCTTCCATGCTGATCAGCTTGAGATCACCGCCAAAATATCGTGCGTACAGTCGCGATATAGGTAAACCGTAACCAAAGCCAGCCATAGGCGCCTTGAAGTCGCTCTTATCGAAATCGGGGTCCAGGTTCGGGGTGCGGTCGACGGTCGTGTACATGTACGTCCAAACCAAGGGGATGGCACTGCGTGGTATGCCACCGCCCTCGTCGGTGATCTTGATGGTGATGTCCTCGCGGCCCTCGGCAACAATCACCTTGGTCACAGGGAACTCTTGCTTGTCCTGGCCGTGGGTCTCAACGACAGCGCGCAGCGAGTTCTTGAGTGTCTCAAACAGCATGTGAGACAAATGGCCTGGCACATACATAAAGTTGAGGTTCGGGTTGCACACGAGCTGGATCTTGGGCGATTCGAACAGGCCGTAGTGGTCTTCACACACGAAGCGCGCGTTCTCAATGGCCTCTTGAGCCAGGTCGTGCACGTTCGTCTTGGTGCAGATGATGCCCACGTACGTGGGGTCGCGGTGGTGGCTCTGGTCCGTCAGGGCAATGTGCTGGCCGATCAGCATCCGGATGCCGATACGCGACATGTAAAAGCGGTCGAGGAAGGACTGGATGTTGTGGTCGATCTGCATGCGCTGTCGCATGCGCTTGTATTCTAAGATGCCTTGTGCCATGGTCGTAACGACACCGTCGTGGCGCCGCTTGATCTTGTGCAGGGTCTGGGCGAAACGTTGGTTGTAGAGCTGCAAGTCCGACGGCCATTCACCCGTGTCGTCAACCCATGCGAAATAGCGGCGCGCTGCCGCATGCTTCTTTGAAAAGCCGTTGCCATTGTGTGCGAGCTCGCCGCCGTTTATTAAGGGTGACTGCGACGAGTAGTTGGTCTCCTCGAGGCTGGGGTTCGGCGTTGACTCGGACAGAAGCAGCTGTGACGGGCCGCCTCGTGCACCGGTACGGGTCGGTCTCAGTAACCGGTCGCGCGTGTCTCTATTCAGATCTGGTCTTGCCAGGGTTGTGATTTCCTAGACGGACCGCGTCGCGCACGCATGTGTGAGTCACAGTGGCAGAGACAATAGGAGACCAGAAATCAATTGCACGTCGCGATCGCCCCCAAAATGGAAACGAGCCAAAAAGCAGTGCGCGGCTATCAGGGAATGCTCACCTCAAACGACTGTGCATACCAATCCTGCACCTTCCTTACCGACGGCATGTCGCTGAGGCCGTCGGGCAGGTTCTCCAGTTCCTGGACGCGATGTGCCAGCCGGATCGGAAGCTCCTCGGCAAGGAATTGAGAGGCCCGGAAGAGGGTTCCTAATGGAGAACAAGTCAGAAGCGAGTTGTGAAAGCGCAAATGCGAGGCCCAAAGGGAAGACAATCAGCCGTCGGCCCAAGTGAGCCGTGGTCAGCCTTCCCCCCGGTAGTATGACGTACCGACGGACGGCTTCTCGCCGAACTGCACCATCTGTCGCAAGCTCACGCCGGTAGCGGGAAAGTTTGCATAGTGCTTGATGGTGTCCATCAGACGGTCTGTCTTCCTCCACGACATATTGGGCAGCTTCAATTGCGATGCCCCGGGGGGGCGTGCGCTGTGAGGTGGTGTGACTGGAGGGGCGATAGCCGGTGGTGCTGAGTGCAAGGAGGAAGCGCCGCGAAGTAGTCAGTTTACGATGATCCGTTTAGCGATCTTTCTGGACACGCATACAGGCCGGCAGACGTTGTGGGAGCGAGGTAGGAAGGGGATGGGCGGAAGGCTGAGGGAGGAAAGCTGGCAGCGGAAAGCGGAGAGCGCTGACGATTAGTTGCCAGTGTTGGGCGGATAAATAAGACCGAGACCAGACGAATGTCTGGTGAAGCGCGCAGATGGGCGAGCGACAGGATGAGAGAAGGACTGCGTGTGGCTGGTGCGATGCAAACGTCACGAGAAGCAATAGGAAAACAAAATACAAGAGAAGCAAAAGAAACGAAGAGAAAGGGAGAAAGCAGGTGACAGAGCCGGGGCGGATGACAGACAAAAGCGTTCGGGCCAAGGAAAGAACGAATGTGCATGGAGGGAAAATATGGGGAAGGTACCCCAATGGGCAATTGCAGAGAGCAGCGAGCGACACAGTGACAACAGTACGAAAAGGACCAAAACGGCAATAAAAGCTCACTAACGCGCACTAGCAAAAGCACGAGACCTGCTCGAATTGAAAAAGAAGGGCAGGAACGAACCGGGCACACGAGCAGAGATTATCACTGCTAATTAGGATGCATACGTGCAATGGAGGAACGGAGGCTAGGAAGCTAAACTTGGCTGGGAGGAAGATCTTGGTCAGGGAACAGACATGAGTGAACGGGGGGAAACCTTGGGACCTTGCGCCAGCCGCAGCTGGGTAAAGAAAAACCGAATGAGGTGACGGTCGAAAAAGGCTCGCGCTTGACTCGAAGGGAGCCGAGAAGCATGGCAGAGAGAATTGTCGTTGGGCCATACGCAATGCTCCATATAGCGGAACCATGGGTAGTACAATACGCGAGTGACGGCTCCGGCTACCACGTCTGCACGTGTACTGAGTTTTGAGGATTTGTTACCAGCCAGCTCTGGTGGATGTGGATGATGTTTCTACAAAAGAATGGGATTGGGTGGTGACTAACTTCCTTCTCTAATCGTCAATTTGTCTCTCGAGAGAACCAAGGACCAAAAGCGTGGGATGGAAAGAGCTCTTTGCCGGCAGGTGGTACGTGAGCGTTCCTGCCCCGCCAATGAACCGGGGGCCCAATCCATTGGTCAACCCCACAGTCGTTCCTTCACTTTTCCCACCGAGGTCCAGTCGCGTCGACGGTGTCAATGGCAAGTACAAAATACGTGTGGCAGCTTTCGTTTGTACTCCGTGCGTGGACTCAAACGTGAATATCACGCACTGTTTTGTTTGTTCCTTCGCTTGTCTCTTCCCTCTGTGCGCTTCGAGATATATATGATGGCTTCGCATCTGTATACCATTCGCAGATACAGCCTATCACCTCCTGGTCCTTTTTTGCTTTTCCTATTAGCATTTATACTTGACACTCGTACGTCTCCTAAATATTCTATGGGAATGTACTTTTCGCCTCCGTTTCATTACTATTGAGTGCTGAGCCGTTTTCTTTAAATGCGGGGACACATTTTGCTACGTCCTTTACTGAATACTTGCATGTGACTCAGTCGCCTTTCTGTCTTTGGCGATTTTTATGGGGTAGGGACAATATAGACAGAGAGTGCGGCAATGTGGCACTGTGCAGCTGCCAAATGCTACAAGGCTGGCGCTCCTCAGGCGGTCGGTAACTCGTGACTGTAGTTCGGGCCATCGGAAAATCCAGGGCGCAAACACGACGACAGAACGCCGTAAGAAAGGGAAGGTGCGCATTACCGTATTTTCCGCTCCAGTTACTAGCCATCCCAAGTACCGTCTTCTCAATATCCGTTCCTCCTTAACCGCCCCTTTTCCGAGACGCCCCGACCCTCAGCAAACTTGAAGCGGAAGCTGGCCCAACGCCCTTCGCAACGCCGTTCCGATTCCCACTCACCTCAATAGTTCTCACAGAGCTTGATTTCGGTTCTGGGACAGTTCAAAAAGTATCGACTTGGAGCTCCGATAGTCGAACGCTAGTATCTTCTTGGCCCAAGGACATAGCTTACGGATTCCTCTTTCTAGCCAAACAAGCCTTTTCCGGGGCATTATTGCAGACGTAAGCGTGCTGCCACATACTGTCTGTACCCTGGCTCTGGCTACCAAGGGCGCGTCCGATTATGGACTAGACGCGTCCAAAAGTCCAAGCTCCAAGCCGGACCGGCTCCTCCCCCGCGGCCTACCACAACACGGCACCGGAGGACGGAAACCGAGATCTTCACCGCTCACTTAACGAGGAAACGAGGATTACATATACACGCGCATTCACAAATACACACACGCACAAAACCGCCTTGTCTTGTCAGGTGCGCGGCCACCTGACACTGGGGCTACTTTAGCGGCGCGTAGGCGCGTTGGGCGCGCTGTCGTATCCATCACGGAAAACATGTGCCTGTCCTGATGCCGGACCACGCGCCGCCTGAAGCCGTTGCAGATGCCGGAGCGTCACGGCCGCCTGTGACGCCGACTACACCAAACAGCCCCTTCACCGGCTCGTTCACGGGATCTTTCCCAGCACGGTTATCCCCAGCGCGGAGCTTTAACTTGCACGCCCTTGGCTTCAACACGTCCCCGCTGGGCCCACTGGACCGCCGCATCTCGTTTTATGGAGGCGATGGCGATACCGACAGCGATGGCAATAGTGACAACAGCAAAGAAGGCGGTGGTATTGATCGTCCGTTGGAGGGCTCCAGCAACGATGGCAGCAGCCTCAACAACGACCATGTCCGAAGGGGCTGGCAAACGGGCGACGATGGCCGAGACAGCGACAGGCATGGCCTGGACGATCCAATTGCACTTGAGGAACGCAAGGACGTGTTGATCGACCGACTCAACGACATGGTCCGTCATGTTACCTCCTATGCGCCGTCGTCACCCTCTCTCTCCAACCGGAGCGCCTCGACGTGGAACTCGCCGGTCAAGAGCACGTCGGCCGAGTCGCGCCCTACCGACGACGGAACGGTACTCGGTGCGCTGCATGCCCACGTCGATGAGATGGAGGCCGTGCTGGCCGCGGCACAGGCAGCCGAGGCAGCTGCGGCAGCAGCTTCGCCTCGGAGACACCGTCACCATCCCCATCACCACCATCACTACCCATGGCAGCGACCCGAGCGTAGATCGCGTATGTCAACGCCTAGCGTGGTGAGTGATAAGAGCCCGGGTTTGCAGGGGCAAACAAAATGGAACACGGCTAGGAGAACGACTCTCGCTGCGGCCCCGATACTGTTTCGTGGCCCTTCGTCGTCATTTAGAGAGACGCCTCCGCCAAGGCCGGATGAGGTGGCTGAGATGGCTGAGGTGGCAGTGGTGTCCGGCAAGGCAGGGCAGGTCGATCCACCTGTTATAGGCGCTGTTGCTGTGAACAGCGAGGCTCTCGCCGGTGATCTCTCTGCCGTGTTGTCCAATCTTTTGAAAAGACGACAAGAATCAGAGGTACGTCCAAGACACGTCGCCCCGATCTTCCTCTTTGCGTACCCCCACCTCAATCCGTCACCGCTAATCGTTATATAGACGATCCAGGAAGCACTTCTCCAAAACCTTGCCGCGGCCAATAGCCGCACGGCCAAGCTGGAAGCTCAGATCCGAGAATTAACGGCAGCCACACACCAGAACAGTGATGCGGATGACATCTGCGACGACGATGATAAAGCCGGTGACGATGAAGAGACGGCAACAGAGACGGCAACTGAAAAGGGTGCAGACGATGACAACACGAACAATGACAACACCGTTAATCCGTCCCTGGTCGACCGCCTAGCGGACCTCGATGACCTTGGCTCGGAGCTGTCATTTCTCCGGCTACAGTTGCGCGGGATCGAAGTACGGTGCCGGTCGTATGTGCCGGCCGACGCCGACCCGGAGCTCACAGAGAGCATCGAAAATTGGAAGGCGGACTGGTCAGCACTTCGGGCCAAGGTAGACGAAGAGCGGCGATCTACGACGACAAGCATGAACACGAGCATGAATCTGCTAGACAAAAGTGGCAGCCACTCATACAACAGCATGGACGATCTGAACAGCACATTCTAAGAAGCATCTTGGAAGGGCGCACGCAGCGTGGGCCACCTAATACCCAAACGACCCTTTGTCATTTCACGAATTTATGAACACGACCATGAAAGATAGTAATGAGTTAGCAATGGGCTATTTTATATGCAATTCGGTTGTAGATTGAATTCATGTAAATCGTCTAGACGTTGTAGGTATCAAAAAAGTGTAAAATGATAATAAAAAGACGAATAAAATATTGAGTATACATAGCGTCTCTTCACGAGCAACGCAGGACATAATAGTTATCGACAATATCCACCAGTCATGTCAAAATATCTGCATGTCATGCAGATATTTATGTATCAGCTTCTCAACCAAATTCCTTCAACGCACGTTCTGCTTTCCTAAAGAAAAGGTAAAGAAAATATGATCGGGTATCTGTGTCCTAAAATCCGCGCCAGTAGCCATCTAAACGCGAGCCGTGGGGTCGCGCTGGGTCTCCTGCTGGTATTGCTTCTCGTCGAGCTCGTGCGGTTGGATGTGCTTGAACTCCTCCGCGATGGGCTCACTGGGCGCCGTGACGGAACTGCCGCCGAAGAAAATGTAACGGCGGATGAAGTAGCCAAACTGCGCCCAACCATAGGCCATGCGGGTGCGGAACGACACGGAGAAGACGGCGTCAAGCTCCTCAAGGGTCTTGGCCTTGGTCTCGGGCATAAACAGCAGCACGGCGAAGAAGCCAACAATGTTCCAGGCGGCGTACCAGCCAAAGGCGCCTTGGGGCTTGAAGGCGAGCAGCAGCGAGGGCCAAGTCACAGAGAGGACAAAGTTGAAGAACCACGTGGTGGCAGTGGCGAGCGACATGCCAATGGGGCGCAGGTAGAGCGGGTAGGCCTCGGCCGAGTACGTAAAGGGAACGGGACCTTCACCGGGCGAGTAGACGATTCCAAAGAGGTACAGACCGAGCGCAACACAAGCGATGCGGGCTTTGGAGCCGCCCTCGTCGGGAATCCAGAAAGAGAAACCGGTGAAGAACAGGAAAAGAGCCATGAGAGGGAAGGTGGTGAGCAGCAGGTTGCGGCGTCCGAAAGTGTCGATGGTGTAGATCGCAGGGATGGCAAACAGCCAGTTGACGACGCCCCAGCCGAGAGAAGCGCCGAGCGCGCTGACCTGGCTAAAGTTGGCGTCCAGGAAAATCTGCGACGAGTAATACGCAATGACCTATGTAGATGTTAGCAACGGAAAACAAAAAAAAAAAAAAAAAAAAAAAAAAGAGAGTCCATACATTAACACCGCAGAATTGCTGCATGAACATGACGATTTCCGAAGCAATCACGGCGTTGCGGTTGCGGCGAATTCCAAAGAGTTCCTTGAGGAGGCTGTGGCCACGTGACTCGCCGGCGGCTTTGGCGGCCTTGTTCTTGCCGTGCAAGATCTCGCGCTCTGCTTCGAGAAGCGTGTGCATGTAAAACAGGTCGCGCGCAGCCTGCACCTTCTCATAGCGCAGCCGGCAGATGGAGTTGTAGGCGTCGGCATGGCGGTCCTTGGTGAGATACCAGCGCGGGGACTCGACGCAGGTGTGGATCAGGCAGACAACGAGCACGGCGGGGAGCATGGCCGAGCCCATCATGAGGCGCCAGTTGAGGCCGAGCTGGACGCCGTGGTCGGGCACAAAGTAGAAAGCCAAATCGGCAATGTAGCCGACCATGATGCCGAACGCGGTCCACATCTGCCACTGCATCACAAGAGCACCGCGCAGCTTGGGCGGCGCGCACTCGGCAGCAAACATGGGCGTCGTGGCAGACTTGGGGCCGATGCCAAGGCCCAGGAAGAAGCGCGCGATAAACATGTGGTACCAGGTGTTTGTGAAGGCTTGCCAGAAGCAGGCGGCGGCGGAGATGATGCAGGAGATGAGAACGGTGCCCTTGCGGCCGAAACGCTTGTTGAGCGGCTCGGTCAACCAGCAGCCGATAAAGGCGCAGCACAGGTAGGGGGCGGAGTTGCAGAGGCCGACCAGCCACGAGTCGCGGCTGCTGTTGGGGTCGTCAATGCCGAAAGCAGACTTGTAGAAAATCTGTGCGCCGTTGACGACGGTCTCGTCCATGCCCTGCACGGCGGCGCTCAGCGAGCAAATAATAATGACCGAGTACAGCTGCTTCGGGTTGGACCACTTGTGCGTCTCCTCACGCGCCAGAGCCTCGCGTTCGCTGTTGGTCAGCTGGTCGTAGAACGGGCCGCCGCCGTAGACTTCCTGCTTCGGCTGCTCCTGCTGTGAGGAGGATCCGGCCGCACCTTCCGATTGCGGTTGAGCCACACCTTCGGTTGACGACTCGGCAACGGCCCCTGCCGTGTACATCTGTGGGTTGCCCGCAATGACAGCACCGAGACGGAAGGCGCGAACATCCTCGTCGCTGACGGACCCACCCTCGCCCTTCACGCCAATGTTGTACTTGCGGCAGTAGGCCTCGCCCATGTCGGCGAGCTCTTCGGGCGCGATGCCGGCCAGCGGGTTCTGCAGCTTCTGGCTCCAGGCCTGACGCTCACGCATCTCAGCCGCGGAGTCGCCGGACGACGGGGTGTCACTGGCATCGGCGACGCCTGTAGCAATGGGGCCGCGGGAGGCATCTTCTTGGTGCTGTGCCGAGACCTTGTTTGTTTGAGAATTGGCGAGGCCGGCGAGTTCCTTTTCGTTGGCGCCGTTGCCGTTGCTGTGTGGAGGGGCTGGGTCGGACATGTTGACGACGGGCCCAGAGTTATTGTGGCGATGACAGAAAATAATATTATTCAGTTACTTCAATTTAAAGTATGTATAATTAGTGGAAAGGCCATGCGTGAGAGCCAACGGGATATACGAAAGATATTCGAAGCGTCCCTGGAGAATAATTGGAGAGAAAATATAAGGCGACGATCGAGTCTGGGGAATGGAGAAGGGGAAAAAAAACCAAAACAAAAATGACCATGTGAAAAGAGGCGATCGACTAGCCTTTATATTTTTGGTCTTTTTTAGTTCTTGGGGAATATCAGGTTTTCGTTTAACAACCACGAGGTACATCTGACAGGGAGGTCGAGGATGTCCAAAAACAAACTGCGCGAAGGTGGATATGTGGAGTACAACAAGCTAAAAACATATATCAAAATACGACGGCAATAGCTTTAGTTCTGCGTGTATGTTGTACATCGCATCAGACCAGGCAGGTATTGGCAAGTCGACGCCGGCAAGCACCCCTAGCGGGACCATGGCACAGTGTGTACTGTATACGGTATGGAGAACATGCGGGACGAACGAAACGACACAAGAGTGCAGATCGTGGCCAAGAGCGAGATATCGTTGGACAGTCTAGAGAAACTATTGTGACATACTTTCAAGTCCGGTCCGCCCGTTTTTGAGGGCGTTTGGTTGTTTGTGTCCTCTTTTTTTTGAGGCCGTCTCTTGTCCCAGTCTGCATATTTAGTCCTTGTTGGATTACAATCCCTGTTATTTTCATCATTCTTTTTCTTCACTCCTTGACGTCGACCATTCCACGACGTAATACATCGTACGTCGTGTTATTATTTTATTTTGGTTTTTGAGCTCGGACTTTGTTGGGCAAAGCCTAACCGTTCCCCAGTACGACATATTACATCGCGAGTGTGTGGATGCCATTGTTGTTGTTGTGGGTCTGCCGATCCCACTTTTTTGGCTGTTTCAATGTGCCTCCAACCTATTGCGTAATGATACTCCGTATTACGGAGCAGGCTGTATCCATATTTTGTGGCCTTTTTTTTCGTCCTCAAGACTTGGTAGCCATGTGCTCCAACCCGCTGCTATCCCGGCCGAACAACCAAGTTTTTTTTTTGAACCGAATGTGCCTACAGGACTGACGACTCGCCACAAATTGCAAGGAGGCTCGCAGGCTCGCAGGGGGTTGACTGCTGGTCAGAACAAAACTTGTTACGTTTGTCTAGTCCACTAAAGCGCAGAGGCAAGTCGCTTGTCATTACACATGGCGCTGTCCACGCGACCATAAAAGCCCATCTGGGTTGTGCTGGCATTATGTACTTTGGACTGTATTATTTATTGGTTTATTTTGTTTTCCCGTTTGTGTGCAAATTCCACCAAAGCAAATTCCACCTTCGTCGTTGTTTGTCTACGTAATAAGAAATTGCATGCCAGTGGGCAGGTGCGATTCCGACACAATCTAGTTCACTTCGAGATAGCTTTGGCAAACAGTCAAAAGTTGCCCTGCATCTCGCATCTCGCGTCTCACCTCTTCTATCGTAAGATATGTCGTATATCGTGTTTGCACCGCACGCGTCCGCAGTCTTGCATATGGTTGCCGTCCGGGCGCTTGCCCCTTTTCGCCCTCGGCTTACCAGTCGCCAGCCTCGTTGACGTCATTCTCGGGACAGGTCCATCATGCGTCCACAAAAGATGTCAATTGAGAAGTCAGCCGACCAATGCAAAAGATATCTCTCAGCCTCTGATGAAACCCGAAAGGAAAAAAAAATCTATATATTCTTCTCCACAGAGAAGTTTCGCTGCCGACTGGGAAACGGACCCTGTACGAAACTGGGAGTCGACAATGTTTCCGTTTTGTTGAAAGTCACCGACTTACAACCAAATTGCCCAACTAGGCCACGCGTGGTGCGCCAATGTCCGAATGGTGTGAAGAAACGAGAGAAGATGAGAGGAACAAGAGAGGAAAAGAGTGGGGACAGGGACCACAAATATGACGTCACGTCGATACTTTGTGAGAGTGGTGTTGAAGCGGAGCCCCAAGGAAGGGGCGCTAGACGTGGCCAAGTGCCGCCACTTGCCAGCAACAGCGCGCCGAGCCCGTCATGACTCTGCCCCTTCCTTGCAACTGTTCTTGTTGTGAATTGGAAGGAGCGAAGGTTGGGAAAAGTGGAATGTATCTCGGACAGAGCCGACGAAGGAAAGAACTGACACCGGCACTCTATTGTAGAACGGAGCAAGGTTGTTCGTTTCGCTTTCTTTCAACGACCAACGACATAAAAGGACCGAAAACTGGAGTAACTAAAGTAAAAACAATGAAGCAGCGCCAGAACGAAGCTGAGCGAGACCGGGTTTCCTGTTTAGGTGAAGGGCATGGGCCGTTTTTTTCGGTTGCCGGTCGTAAGAGGTACAACGTCGTCCGATTCTTGAAAAGCACTGTTCCTTCACCAAACCCTGAACCCGTTTCACGGGGCTAGAAAAATACTTAGTCACAAGAATGGTTAAACTACCCTGTGGACTTTTCTGGCCCGGATTCAGAGGTGGCTAGCCATATGGCGATGAAAAGGACCCCTAATGTGTCGGCTGTTTGCCAGTGAGGAGCGTGACATCGTGAAGAGGGATGAGAATTGGAATAGAATTAGACAATAAGTAGACGCGGATTTACAGTTGGAATCCTTGTTGCTCGGATCAGTGCTACGTGCAGTAGTATCTGCGACAATGAAAGGTTGCAGGCGAGATAATGAGCAAAAAGAAGAAGAAAACAAAAGGGAGACAGAAGAAAAGAAAGAAAATACAAGGTTCGACTTAAGGAGATTGAAATAAAAGGTGAATTATAAACAAGGGTAGAATGCCCATCAAGAGTGCCAGCGCCAAAGACCCTCAGAACCCTTACCCAGGTCCATATATCGTTTCGCGTATACGGAGTAGCTATGTGTACGGTCACACCTTGCACATACAAGCTTATTTCGTCGCTCTATTGGGATTTTGATATTTAATAGTTACTGGCGGGGAGTGGCATCCAGTCGTGTCCAGTGCATACGTGTCTCTCTGCGGTTGATAGGAAAGCGCGCAGACCGAAAGAAACGTCTCAAAACATGCATTGTCTTACACGCCGAGACGCCGCAGTGTCCACGGGGTATTATGTGGTACAATGTACATCGATACACACAAATGCAAACACGCACGCAGCGTGTACGAAATACGGAGCGTGTTTGTTTGTCACTGTCGATCGTTCGCCCGAATTTTAAGATATCGACCGGTTCGACGTACTGTGCACACAACCCAATGCCTTTCAACGCACCGCCATAAGCTTTTGTTAAGATAACGTCTTCTGTCGCCGGTCTTGCCGGTTCTTCACATACATATTTACATGTCGACATAAGCGCGTACTGTGAAGATACTGCAGAAGTGAGCGTTCAAGAGCCAAGCCGAAAAAGATGGAGAATAAGAAGAGAATGAAGAGGGAAAAGGGGCACAAAAGGGAGAGAAAGAGAGGAAAAGAGACAAGTACAAAGCACAAGCTCGTACTGCCAAGAGGCCGCATCCGAAGGAATGAGAAAAAGAGTGGGCGGGATCGGCACCCAAAAAGGTCATCGGACAGTGCGCCCCGGTTTATTGCTCCGCCGCCGTCAGTGCCATCCGTCAGTTTGCCGCCTTTCATGACTTTTATTCCCACCAACCTTCTTTTAATCCTTCGCGTTGCCCGAAGATTCCAATCTTTTACTCTTCTCCATCTCTCCGCCCTCCGCATTCTCTCACTCTCTCCGCAAACCATGTGTCCCCGATAAAACCGTCCGCTGGATGTGGTTCGGCCGTTTACGTGGGTTCGGGGCGTATAATATACGGTGCACTGAGTAAAGAGGAATACCAACATAGAGTTTTCCGTGTCCAGTATGGCAAAATGGGCAAAAAGAGAAATTGGGGGGAAGACGGAGAAATAAATGGTACAATGAAAGTCCTGCATATGTAAAGCGTGTCTCCCTGTCTCCTCACCAAAAATTGATCACCTACAAACTGTCACCCTGGTACCTTACGAAAATCTTGGTAACAAACCATACTACCTATACCCGCATATAAAGTATCTACATGGGCAGATGGGATACAGTATGACTGGATGCGCTATACGGAGTACTAAAACGTACAGTCAACTGTAGAATCAATAAGTAAAACAATGCAAATGGTGCGACATAATCCAAACTTAAGACAACTCCGGGCCTTGATGGTGTATTTGACGCAAAACAATTTAGGATCTCCGGCATGAACGGGTACACAGTCTCACAGTCTAACGGTTATCTCCTTCCCGCTCACAGATTTTGTACATGACAGATGCAATCTAGATCAAAATGTAAATCACCCACCAGCCTGCGCTGAGATGCGCATATCAGTGTCATGCCACCGGCGCAACACGTGGACTGGTTCGTAGATAGTCTTCCCAGGTCTGGTCACTTTCCGTACCGTCGTCTTCGACGAGGCTTGCTCTCTCTTCTTCCAATGACGTTACTGTCGCCACCAAGGACACGGGTGCTCGGGTAGGATGCACTCGGGGCGATGATGCCGGTGCATGTGCTGCTGCAGCTTCGGTCTTCACCTGAGACGAACGTTGCACTTTTGGTGCCGTCTCGCGAGTGCTGGCTGTAGAATTTCGGTGAAGAATCGGCATCGACGAAACCGGGGATCCATACAACCGGTAGTTTTGCTCTTCGCCGCTGCTCACAGGGCGCTCCCTCCGGGTCCCGTACTCTCGGGACTTGATGCGGTGCGCTTCATTTTGGACCGCCGCTGACGGCGGGCCATAACAGGATGCGCGCCGGTTGATCTCCGCGCTGTGCTCCATGGCGTTCCTGGCCAAATAACCCTCACGCGCTGTTGAAGGCCGCCTCTGGTCGGTGGAGTGGATCTCCGGCAACGAGGTGCGGAAACTCTGCTTCTTGGGACTCGGCGCCCGCCGAGACGACGCGTTGGTTACCGTCAAGAGTGACGAGGGCGGGTACTTGCTTCGCTGGCCATCATTCCCGCTGCTTTTGGTCCCACTGGCCAAGCAAGAACTACTGTGGCTCGCGACGCCCATATGCCTAGACCGGCTCGAGCTGCGACGATAATTGTCTTGGCTTGCGCTCCGGTGATGGTCCACAACTCTCAGCGGGTGCTGCCAGCGATGCGGACGACGAGTGTCCTCTTCTTTCTCTGAGGACACTGGGGAATTGTGACGGGAACTCTGACGTGAACCTAGTCGCGAATATGGTCGTGACGATCGAGATCGGCTAGGACTTCTCTGCCGCCGGTCCTCCCGCTCATGCTCGCCGTCATGGAGGTCACGGTGGTCTTGCACCAGCTCATTGCCTCTGCCCGACCTTGACTGGGAGCCAGGGTAGGAGGCGTGGCGGCGGTGGGTCGAAAGAAATACCTTCTCATCAGTACTAAACGACACCGCCCCTGGGTCCGACACTCGGTGGCCATATCCTTGTACTGGCGCTGGTGACTGGCCCCTCGCTCGACCATCGCGATGGCATGCCTGGAAGATGGCCGGAGTCGAAGGCGGTGGCGATGTGAGGTGTGTCTGGCCCTTGTAGGCCGTTGACCGGCTGCCCTTCTCCTCCGGGAAGAGGGGGGCGAGCAGAGCAGATTCACCAAAGTGCCGTTTGACGGCCTGCTGCAGAAGCGACCGTACACGGCCAACCGGCACCCGAGGAAGCAAATATCGCGACAGCTGCTTTGGGAGTCTCTCCATTCGCCCGTCCAGGGGACTCACGACATCGAGCGGGAAGTCCGAAATGATCCGGTCGAGGCGCTGCGAGACGCCGTCTGGGAATGCTTGGAGGTGCAGTGCCATCCACCGAGTAAACCCGTCTGGCGTCAAACCCGGGACCCGTGGCTGCAGGCCGGGGCTTGCTTGGACCAGATGATATGTGCAGCCCAGGTCCTGGTATAAATCGGCAACCCGGCGGTTAGAGTCTCGATCTCCAGACTGAAATATAACTGTTCCAGGTCAGTCTTTGCTCTTTGCTGTCGTTTTCACCTCGTCTGCGGTCATTGTTTGAGGTACGTACGTCTGTAACAAAATGGATCACTGTCGACACCGTGGAAATTGTAAAAAGAGGCAAGCTTAGCAGGCACGAGAACAATATTCTCAGAGGACGGAAATGCGCATATCTGAATGGCTTGGTTAGACTAAAATCTTGATGATCGTGCTTCATTTCCCTACTTACAATATAGCGCGAGAGACTATGCATGACCTCTCGGAAGCGCTCTGTCGGCTGGTTGTCAATCTCGAACAGGTCACCCCATTTCTTGTCAACACAAGTTAACTCTCCGGTGTCGCAGACGTCCAGCGAGGCATGTGCCGGTCGAGTAGTTGCTTTAGGTGTTTCCAATTCATTTTTGGAAGATGAAGACCTGCTAGCTGATCTGTTGCTGCCGTTGTTACAAATCTTCACGCCAGCTGGGACCTTGACGTCGACAGGAACCGCTGCTTTGCGCAATTCGTCCGGAGCACGCTCGTCGTCAAAATGGACAGCAGATCGCCGCTCCAATGAAATGTTTGGCTGCCTAGGGGACGAGGATGGCCCAGGACGCGTATCGCCGGTTTGCGGGCTATATGATACCGACCGGAAGGACACGGGTTGTGCTGGAGTCATGGTGTATAAGTCTGTTGCTGCTGTTTGGAAGTCGTCTCTCGTATGTATGTCGTGATGCAAAACTGAAGATGCCATGGTTAAACCAGACAACTAAATTATTTGACGATAAAAGAAATTTAGAAAACGATAAAGAAAATGAGTTTGTCTCCTCAAGAGTATGAAAAGAAGTTCGGCCGATGTGGCTTATGATATAGAGAATGCTTTGGCGATGGGAAGAAGGGTTCCCTTTAATTTTCTCACCATCTCGGCATAAGACTCTGATAGAGACCTTGCTAAGACATCACGCCATTCCATTGAGCCTCAAACAGGGTCTGGACGTTTAAATTTTTTTATGTATTGCCTTGCCTCACTTCAGAAGGCTGCTGTGTCACCAACACAGGGTGTTGAGCTTGACTTTTTTGTATGTTTGGGCCCCCGTTGAGCAAAGTTGAGCCCTCTTTACCAACGGATCGTCGTTTGTGTTACCCACAAAGAGCTGTGGCCAGGGTCCTCAGCGCTGTGCTATCGCTTATTTCAGCAAGGCGAGGCCACATGGACTGTGCGAGGGCGGGATGGAGGAGAAGCTGGTGGGAAGCAAATGTCAGATGTGGTTTGGTGGCGGGTGGCGGCACTCAAGCCGTGCTCGATATTGGTGGCCATGTGGAATGTCCTGTATTCCAAGTTTGTGACTGTTGCCAGACCGACATTTCCGTAGGCGTCAGATTTTCTGTTCTTGGATACAATGGTCGGTCCAGGTTGGGCCACCGAGGGATTTGGTAGTCGTTGAAACGACGTACTTTGTGCAATCAAAAAACAGAAGTCAGCCCAGATGTCTGGCACACAAGCCAAGCTGAAGGAACACAGTCGCAAGTAGTAGAGGGGGTGCAGGGAATACAAAGATGTCCAATAAAAAAAGAAGAAGACAAACAGGCCAAGGCAGCCTCGTAACGTTCATGGCAGCAGCAAAGGCGGGACAATCGGCGAGAGAGTTTTCCAGCTGGTGCAGATGAACAAGACTCCGGTTTTCGTTTGAGATGCTCCCAGGCGTGGTGTACCTCAACTTCTTGTTTTTGCTCTATTCTTTCCTCGAGAAAGCAAGACATGCAGACGCTGTGTCCGTCAACAAAATGAGACAAACCGAGGCAAACGTGGAGGGTGAGAAGTCAAAATAAAGACAGAACTGACAAACGTATCAGTCATTCACACTTGCATACCTTAAACTGCAGCGAGATGAGAAAGGCCTCGACAGAGCATCGCAGGTTTGCCATCCACTGGGCATGCAGCGACGCATGAGGACAACCTTGTGGTGGGAGAAAAGTACGGGAGGCAATTGCTGTACATGCCACACCCATTCCCTTCTGAATATCGCAACAATGCATGTTGACTTGACAAATCGGAATCCAGAGTGGGCGCCCTAGAAAATGACCGAAATGGTTCATGTGCGGAAGACATCCGGTATTCCGAGCTATGGATAGAGTGTCGATTGCCAGCTGATGATAAAATCAAGGATATCCAGAGTGTCGGAAGGTGTCAAAGACGGATCCGGGAGCAAAACAAAAGAAATAGGTCTCGGTAAAGACAAGATCGTCCAATAAGTCCCTTCGGTTCTCCCGGTGACGAGATCGAAAAGGTGCCTTCTTATCATCTTAGGACAGTGGTTGATTTGATCATTGTTTATGGCCTCCGTCCTATGCTCGTGTTGTATATCGAATGCACTCTATAAAAACAGCTCCGGCCATTTTTATCCCCACTATTGTACATCGACCTCAATGTACAATTATATACCTCACCACATTATGAAGTCAGAGCTTGTAGGGTGTGGTGTATCGGATATCGTTCCTGGGATCGCAGACACTGTGTCCGTTCGAACATTCTCGGCGTCGTTCATTAGATCAAAGTATTGAGACCACGCAATGTGACACAGATGTGTATGAGATAAACTGTCCGGAGGACAACAAACTCACAGATTCAGCAAAAGCAATACACATATGACCAGAGCTTGTCTAAGAGGGAAAACGGAGACGCAATGCCGGGCAAAGAAAATACTAGTCACACAGGTTATTGTCCTTGCCCAGTTTGGGCTGTTCTTTACTCTTGGCCCACACCCGGGGTGAAAGTAGAAGGAGAATAGAAAAGGTAACAATCTGTTGGACACCGGTCAGCATTGATTCACACAATTCTGAAGAAAAAAAAAGGAAAAGAAAGAAAAGAAAGGCCGGCGTGGGGGAAGAGCAAGTATGTCACCCGTCCACAACCTCACCTCGACCGAAGACAAAAGGCGAAAGAGGGAGCACAATCTTGGTGGATCAAGACAGCTTCTGCCAGGGTGCAGGACTGCAGGATCGGCAACTTTTTGCGACGCGTCCTTACAGAGAATTGTGCATAGAGAAACGAACAAGGCGGATGCCTTTCCGTCATCGCACAGTCTCCATACTAATTCCCTCTTTGAGACATTGTAGCACCTTTGTTTGGATCATCCGACGCTGTGTAGATTTCATTAGTAGCATCATGTTTCGATTCAGGCATGGCTGCTTAGGTAGAGACCTCACGCGTTCTAATATGAGCAATTTGTATTGTAGAAATATTTTCGTTCGTCATATTACTGGGTGTTCTCAAATCAAAAACCCGGTCTTTCCACGTCACTTGAGCACCGAGCCCTGCTTGAAGGGCAAACCGACGGCATGCATTGCACATGGTCATGCGCGACCATGGCATCGGATGCACACCTCCATGTCATAGACATAGAGAGGACGAGAAGAGCTAAACGCTCTCAGAGCACCAGGTGGCCTCCTCAACTGCAGGAAATACCTCAGCATTCGTCTTCGCTATCGTCTTCGTCAGCATCTGCATAGACAGTCTTCTTCTGCGGCTGGATCTCTATGCCGCCAGTGTTGGACACGTAGCGAGGAGCGATCAGGGTCGTCTTCCGTTGAACCTAAGAGAGGAAGGCAGCGTTAGCTCATCATTTCGCCGATACTCCACCGCTGTTTTCAGCTGAGGGTTCATACGTACAGGTCTGGCCCATCCATTGCGGGTTTCCGCTCGCTGGGACGGCGCCATTGGCTGCGAAGGAGTGAGCGGCAGCGCCGCAAATCGGTTTTCCATCCAGACAGTGTCCCCACCGCCGCCGGAGCCCGAGACGACCGAGCCGCTCTGGCTGGAGGCCCGTCTCGAATTGGCAGCGGAGAACAGCGTGTTCGAATACGTTCGGTTGCTCTGCGACACAGTGTCAGAGTCGCCCATCAGCAGCGAGCCTCCGACAGGTGTGAGATCACCGCCCAGAGCAGTTGCCGCTGGCCCTCTGACGGTGGATGCGGAAGCAATCGAGGCCCGAGACGATTGCGAAGGGCCAGAGTCCGCACTTCTGCCGAGGTTGACGGCGCTCAAAGCCTCGGGAAGGCCACCGAGCTCGCGGTTGCGCGTATCGAGCAGACTGGGGCGCGAAATGTCCGAGCTGCTGCCCACGATCGAGGGCTGTGTGCCAACTTCGATTCTGTCAAACTGTCCAAGCTCGCTCGGGTTGCCTTGGATCCACTAGCCACTCGGTGAGCATTTGCTTCTTAGTATATGAGGACCAGAGACTCAAGGTAGTAAACGTACGTCTTCGATCCGCTCGCCAGGAACCTCGTCGATGGGAATGATCCCGTCGTGGTCGTCTTCGTCTTCGTCGCCTTGGTCGTCCTCATCGTCTTCGTTGAGGGCCGTGGGAGGGACGTACGGAGCAAAGCCGGGCTCAACACTGAGCTGCCAATCCGTGCAGTCGGTGCACCACTGCATTCTTCTGTTAGACCGCTACGACTATGTCTTTATGGGGATGCCTCTCGCGCTTACCGTCTTGCTGTGGTTGCGCGTGCTGCGGCTGAAATTCTCAATGGGCTGCCACTTGGCACAGGGGCCCTCGCATTTGAGCTCGCGGCGAATCTGAGTGGAATGGGCTCTGCAGGAAATTTCGGACTGGCCGGGGGGGACACGGGCACGGGCAAACTTCTCCAGCTGCCGATTCGAGAACTCCGAGCGCGGCTTCCATTCGCCGCCAGCAAAGCAACGGATTCTGTGGGTGGTGAGTTGATTCGTGGACTCTTTTCCATCAACAAATACAGGGTCATCGATGCGTCGTCTACTCACTTCCCGGCCGTGCTCTGGGTCGCCGTGCTGTTCTTTGGCCTGCTAGATCACATTAGAATGAGAAACATGGGGGCTTTCGATCTCTGAGCAGACTGACCGAAGATACAGCGATACCACTCCGTCGGGGCCAGCATCGCGCGGTATGTCCATGGTTAAGAAGGGTACTGATTAGCTTAGACCTATAGATATTTAAATCGAAGATACAGAAGTATTAGATGAGAAGACTGTCTTGTCTTGTCGAGCGACGATGCCTGGACCAAAGCTCCAGCAATCGGTTTGGTGATTAGGTGTGGACAAAGAGGGGGAGAGGTCAAAGGAAAGGGGGGAAACAGGGACAATAAATAGAGACAAGCTTTTGTTTGCTCCTGCCTTTGGCCCCTCTGACTTGTAGTCATTGTATGGGCGACGGTGCTACTTATTAGGAGAGAGCGAGGGTCGCTCCTTCCACTCTTGCAATTTGACAACATGAGGAAGGTCCGTACATCTTGTTTTGCTCACTTTTCTGTCGGTTTTTGATAGGGGGCGTTTCAATTTTATGTATGGCTCTTGGATGTTTTTGAGATACTTCAAAACCGGTGAATATTGATTTTTTTTACTTAGATCTGTCATTTGTTACATTTGTGACTGAGATCATTACCTTTTCCATTTTTATTTGTATTTTCTTTTCATTTTTTTTCTTCTTCAATGGCAAAATCAGATAACCAAAAAAAAAAAAAAAAAAAAAAAAAAAAAAAAGAAAGACCCAGAGTCACACCATGCATAAAAATGATAAGAAAACATCACTAGACAATTCAGTAAAGGTGAGAGGACATTCACATTCACTGGTTGTCCGTCAGCTGTTGCTGGTTTGTCGCTCACAAAAGTGCCGCCCCACTCGCCATAAAGTAATAACGTGAGCACGCGTTCCGCCAGTCGCGCCTTCTCCAACAACGGCCCCGCCTCTCCATAGCTAGAAACAGCGACCCACGACGACGACGACTACCTACGCAGGAGCAACGAGATCGAAGCGACGACGCGACTGCTACCAACTTTCCTACCACAGGAAACTGGCCAATCTCCCTATGGTTTGCTGTATTTGCTGCACACCCGCCTCTGCCGCCGCCGCTCGCCTCATCCCATGAGCGACCTACACGCGCTGCTGGCCGACTTCCCTTCTGTCGACAAGTATGCCTCTCTCCTTGCCGGTCTTGAGACGCACCGCATCGGCCTGAGCGAGCTGCTGACGCTCGACGCCGCCGAGGTCGGCAAGCGGACGCGGCTGCCGCTGCTCGATCTGCAGCGGCTCTGTGAGGAGGTGCGAGCGCAGTTGGCACGGGTGCCGGCGCGGCCTGTGAAGAGGACAAGGCCCTCCAGGGCGCCGTTGGAGAAGGAGGAGAGGGAGGGAGCTGGCAAAGACGAACATGGCCATGACAAGGAGCAGAAGCATACAGACGACCCATCTACCTGCGACACGGGCGGGCGCGTCAGCACGCTCGACCCAACTCTCGACGCGGCCCTCGGCGGCGGGTTCCCTACCGGGGTGCTTTCCGAGGTTGTTGGCGAGAGCGGCGTCGGCAAGACACAGCTCCTGCTTAGTTTGCTAGTGGCTGTGCAGCTGCCGCCACCGCGCGGCCTCGGCCGCAAGGCTCTGTACATATCCTCGGAGGCACCATTGACGACAAGCCGCCTGACGCAAATCATCCGCAGCCACCCGGACCACGAGGCGTTGCAGAAGCATTGCTCACTGCAGGCGATTGCGACGATCAACACGCCGGACCTCGAGGCACAGGAGCACATTTTGATGCACCAGCTGCCCGTGCAGCTGAGCAAGGCAGAGCAGTTTGGCGGCGTTGTGGGCTCGTTTGGGCTTGTTGTGCTAGATTCGGTGGCGGCCAACTTTCGGCCGTTCTTTGGCGGAAGTGTGGGCGACCGAGGAGGCGGTGGCACCAGGGGTCCCGGGGCCCTGTCGGGTCGGGGCAGCTCGCTGGCTGCCCGCAGCCTGGAGCTCACGCGACTGGGGATGCTGCTCCGGACACTCGCACAGAAACACAATTTGGCCGTCGTCGTAGCCAATCAAGTAGCCGACCGATTTGATGGAGACGGAGGGGGCATGGGAGATGGCGGGATTGTAACTCTGTCACAGCAGTGGAATGCGGGCGGCGAAATTAGCGGGAGTATAGCGAGGCATATCTCATCTACGACAATGTCATCCGCTAAACGTCCTCGACAAGGGGGCATGCTTCCACCACCGTCGGTGCGGCAACACCAACCACCACCATCCAATAACACACCACTTACTCAAGAGAGTCCGCTGGCGGCTGGGAGCCGGCGGCAACCGACAGCTGCGGTACCTGCTGCGGTAGCTGCTCTGGGAATGTCATCTCAACCTGAAGCTGACACAAAAGTCGAGGATCTGATAAAGCTGCCCCCGTCGAGCACGGACGAAAAACCGTCGATTGTTTCTCCGGAAGAAATACCACTATCTGCCAACGACTTCCTACCACCCTCTTCACAATATATTCCGCCATCGCAGTTTCCGCCATTGTCCCCGGCACCCCCTGTGCTCCAGCTCGACCACCAGCAACGGTGGTTCACCGGATGGGGAGACGACCCTAACGCGTATAGAGGTGGTGGCGGCTCGGATGCGCGCAACAAGACACCGTCGCTGGGCCTTGTCTGGGCGACGCAGCTCGGTATGCGCGTGGCCCTTATCAAGGCGTCACGCGCGGGCGGCCACGGCGGCAGCGGCAGCGGCTACCGACCGACCGACGGCAGCGGCTACGGCGTCGACGACGACGAGTACGACGAGAGCAGCAGCATTGACAGGCACAATACGGGCGCACCGCGGCTGCGACACTCGTGGCGGCGCTGGATGAAGGTGGTGTTTGCTCCGCACGTGGCGGCTACACGGGCGACGTCAACCACATCGTCGCCCACACTAGAACGATACAAGTCGGCGTTGGCTGTTCGTATGCAGGGTGCTGTCGAGTTTAACATTACCATGGGGGGACTCCGTGCCGTGTTTCCGGCTGCGGATGCGAAGCAGAGGTGAAAGGCTGCAAAGTTAACCAGACAAGCGAATAGAGACGAATGATTTAACTGTTCATGATAGACCAAATCCATGTATCTAATGGGAGGTTCAGCGACGCATTTTTATGAGAGAAAGCGAATTCCATTTTGCCAGTTGTGGACCCCTTCTGCCAATGCTACGTGATAACTATGCCTGCCCAGTCTAAAGTAATACAAAAAAAACGGATAACACCTTGCAATGACGCCGCTTGTCTTTACATTTATTTTAACTGTTCTCGTTCTTACGTCTTTTGTGTGCCGTGCGGGAACTCGTCTTCGAGCTGCAGCCGCACACCCACGTTCATGCTAATCAGCTCCTGCACCAGGAGCTTGGCCGCATACGGCATCGTCATCTGCGTCACGTCGCGTGTACTGCGGCACGTCTGGCAAAAGCCCTTGTAGCCAAACAGACCGCACCGCTGGCAAATGTCGAGCGACGTCGCGTCAGAGCTCGTCATCAGACGCTCCAGCAGCAGCTGGGAGGCGCCGTAGGCAATGAGACAATCACGCTCCATCTCACCCAGACGCAGACCACCGTCGCGCGACCGACCTTCGGTGGGCTGCCGCGTCAGGATGGCGCGGGGCCCGCGCGCACGCGAGTGCATCTTGTCCTGCACCATGTGCTTGAGACGCTGGTAGTAGATGGGGCCATTGTAGATATGGGCTTCGAGCAGCTCGCCGGTGACACCGGACGTGAACGTGTCCTTGCCCTCCCAGGAGAAGCCGTTGCGCACGAGCTCCTCGCCCATGGCCTCCACGGGGTGCGAACGGAAGGCATCGCCGTAGCCGTAGTCGCGGCGGCCGGCAACGACAGAGGCTTTGCCAGTCAAGCACTCAAACAGCTTGCCGACCGTCATTCGGGACGGGAAACCGTGGGGGTTCATGATGATGTCGGGCACGAGACCCGAGTCGGCAAACGGCATGTCTTCTTGGTCGACGATGATGCCCACAACGCCCTTTTGGCCGTGGCGCGACGAGAACTTGTCGCCAATTTCGGGGCGCCGCGTTTGGCGCGTCTGCACCTTGAAGATGAGCGTGTCCTTTTCCGTCTGCGAGATCATAACCTTGTCGACGTAGGCGGGGTCGTTGATGCGGTAGGTGAGGGAGGAGTCGCGGTACTCGTTGGAGCCGCTGTCCAAGCCGATGCCTGTTGTCGCCAGATCCACTGGGCTTTCCTTCTTAATCATGACGTCGCCGTGCCGCACGCGCCAGCCGACGGCTGCTAGGCCGTCGTTGTCAATGGCCGAGTGCTTGGCCAGGCGCTCGCCGCGCTCGTCGCGCTCGGGAGCGCCCACGCGTTCAGCACGGCCGTTGGGATACCGCTGCAGCTCGGCGACGTACTTGCGGAAGACCTGGCAGCGGCCAAAGCCACGGTCAATGGATGCCTTGTTCAACACGAGGGCATCCTCAATGTCGTAGCCCGAGTACGACATGACGACGACAGTCGCATTCTGCCCGGCCGGCAGCTTGTCATAATGCACGAGCTCGATGGTCTTGGTCATGACCATGGGCCGCTGCGGGTAGACGAGCGTGTAAAGCAGAGTGTCGATGCGGTGGAACTGGTTGTATGCGATGGCACCGATAGCTTGTTTACCCATGGCACACTGGTAGGTGTTGCGTGGCGACTGGTTGTGGTGGGGGAAAGGAATGAGGCCGGCGACAGCGCCGAGGATCGTAAAGGGCTCGATCTCCAGATGCGTCGTTGCCGCGCCGCAGTCCTTTTCATACAGCGCCACCAGTGCGTCCTGCTCCTCGTTGACGTCGAGGTATTCGATCACACCGCGCCGCAGGAAATCGTCAAAGGATACCTTGCCCATCTGGAGGAGGCGAAGGTGCTCCGGCTGCAGTCGTGGCTCGCCGTTCTTGACGATGATGTACGGCCGGCAGATACGCCCTTCGTCCGTGGCAATGTGCACGGCCGAGAAGTGCGCGTTGAGGTTGATGCTGACAAAGGGCGAGATCCAGCCGCGACGGCGCATGGTGCGGAACTTGGCCGCAAACCGCCGCGGGTTGGGCGTCAGCGCAAAAGGTGTACCGTTGACGTGGATCACATAGGCGCCAGGCCGGTGGATTTCGGCACCTGTGAAGTTGCGCAAGGGCTC